GAAGATTAAAGGGGGGGGGGGGGGGGGGGGGGTGTTCTAGAATTCGAAGGGGTCTAGGTATCCGGTGACCGTAACAGAGTTGAGTTAAGGAGAGTGCAAGAACTTTTAAATTTTATAAAATTTCAACGATAAAACCAGATAGTATAGTAATTCTTTGTTGACTGAGGATATAAGAGAGAGCGAGAAGAAAGAAAACAGGGAATAAGAGAGAGAGAGGAGAGTGAAAAGCGACAGCGACGACGACGACCCAACCCTCGGCCCAACCCGACGCGCTCTGCCGTCGCTAGAGTCGTCTCTTCTTAATCACCGAGTCACTCTCCGTTCGCTTTCCCTACCTCTCTATCTTTCTCTCCCTCTCTCGCTCGTTCTTCTCCTACTTCTCTGCGCAGTTTCACAAGCTTACTATCCTCTCTCTTATTCTCTCTTACAGTCGCCAACTCGGTATAACCCTCCCAACGTCCCTAGCCCGGTATCCCGAAGCACTCCTTCTAACATAACCATAACTGCGGGGGACTCTGGGAGTAACTCACCACGACGACGTTCAGCCTCGCACGCATGTAACTATAAGTGGCGCGCGTATCCACCTTCCTACCAGCGAACAAACATTTAAAAAGCTCCTTTTAAACTTTAAATAGCGCCCTTACGCCAGAGACACACGCTTAGCGCGTCAACCTGCCAGCGATGCATAAATATTCGTCGAGGACACGAACGTAGCGCCCTCAGTATTTTACGTCGTGTCTCGGTACTAATAACATCTGTAGAAACAAAGGGCGAAACCGATTGACAAAAAATAACAAGGAGGAACTGATTAAGCTCTATGCATCAGAGAATTCTTAGACGAGGGTGCACCACGTCGAAAAATAATCTGCTTGCTTTTCATATGACGAAAATAGAAATGTCGCTGGAGTCTCGGGATGACCCACGTATTATTCGCAATAACTCATAGCTGATTAGCTGAACGTTCACTTCCTCCCCAGTGGGCTTCGGCCTCTTTTGTCCAGGATACATAGATGACAGAGAGGACGGGATCAGATTTCGCGACGTTCACGAGTCCAGGATGAGGACGAACCGAGTGAAAGAAGAAAAAAAAAGGAAAAAAAAGTCCAATAGGAAATGTTGAAACATACAGGCGCGACTTAATGTTCTGTGACCGATAGGAGTGGTATTACGTGTAGCTATATGTATACGTATGGTACAGTAAAGTTTCCTATAGAGTGCATGATAATGGCGGTATACATGGTTAATCGGTGCCGGCTTTCACGGCAATCCGGTAAATATTTACGTAGGGTTTCGCGGCGTGGTGAGCGCAAAGCCGCGGGATACATTGATTGCAAATCCAGGCGTAGCGCGACGATGCCATTGTTTACCGGGACGCCTCGATGAATTGCAAATGGTACGTGGATACACCGACGGGAGGAAAGCTTGTCGTGCTGGGTTATCGAGGCAAGGAGCAACAACTGATTCCTAGAACGTTTTATCAGCTATAGCACGTCCTCAGCGTTAACACTAGAGGAATAAGTGTTATAACGAGGGGCAAGAACGTCTGGGATTTTTATGTGAAAAATGAGAGGACTGGAAATTCCTATCAATAATTTGAAGCTGTAGGTAAATCGTAATCGAGTGAAATAATTATAAGCAGTTTTACACACGAGGGACGAAGAAGTCAGAAAAGTCAAAGCGCGCAATCGTCGGAGACAGTGAGTACGAGGGTATTTTAAAAATGGCAGCCCGCGCTCTTAGTCGAGGCGACGCAGTTCGCTTGCGAGATTCCATTGTTGCGAATTTTCCAATATCGATCACCGTTCTGTGCAAACTTCCGAAGCAACGGGGTGTTCGGGGATGGAGTCGCTGGAGAGAAAATGGAACTTGGGGAATGAGTGATCACGAGAGAGACAGAGAATGGAGTGGAGGAGAGTGTATAGGGGAGAGAGCGGGTCCTGCGTCGGTAAAACCCCAATACGCGGCAAAAATGTATCCCTATAATAAAATACTCCGTGCACTTAAAAGGGATAACTGTATGCTCAACGGTGCTCCCGGGTCGCCCAGGTATAGGATTAACAGTAAATACATAAAACTAAAGATATTTACAATAGACTAAACAGATAAGTACAGGTATCGATATATCGACAGGGTACTAACCTCATACTTGATGCCATTGAGCCGAAGCCATGTCTCCACCTTCAAACAATACGGCGACAAGGATGGCACCGTCGATGTCCTGGGAAGCTGATAAAGATAGACGATATCTTTTTCGTAGTTGGTCTTATGGACAGATACGGATTTCGTCGGTGCCGACGTTTCAGGAGCAGGCTCGTCCTTCTTCTCAGCTTCCTCCTTCTTGGTCTCGGCTTCCTTGCCTGTTTCCTCCTGTTGCTGCTTGTTGTCAGGAGGCGTCTCGTCCTTAAGAGCTTCCTTCATTTCCTTTACGTCCTTGATTTCCTTGGTCTCCGCAGCGGGTCCGTTGTTTTCCGTCTCCGTAGCCATGGTCATATCTTTTTATCTTGATAATTCGAATACAACAGCTTCGCACTGTGTCTTCGATTCTCCGCGTTAACCGTACGTACGCGCTCGATAACTTCCTCTTCTTTGGGTTAGTATTAAACCGATACTCAACGCGTCTTGTTAAACGTGAACCCTATGGGTGTACTTCTACTACGCGCGCCGGTACTTGACGCTCTGTTAGCCGGCCGGTTTCTTGTGGCTGAGCGACACGCAGGTTTCCCGGTGCTGAACATTGGATGCGGCGCAGAAGGTCTGCGCATGCGCGAACGCCACACCCCACCACCGCCGCCATCTTTAATTGGTCGACCACCCCTAGACGTACTGTATAGGCCTCACCACAACGAAACCCATAGGACCTATGGCGACTGATCAGGCAGGGCGGGAGGGAGGGGGAGAGAGAGAGGCTTAAATACAGAATTCATGGAAGAAGAAAGAAGGAAACAGAATAGATAGAACCGAGGGCTGTCAGAAACCCGGGCCGTGGAACCGGCAACGCCGCACCCTACACTCACGCACAACGAGAACCCCTTCTCACTCCACTCTCTTCCAGACTTTCTGTTCTCTTTCTCTTACGATTTTTCATCGTGCCTACTCTCTTTCTCTTTATTAGATATAGAGATTCTCTACTATCTTCTACAAGGACCGCTATACAGTCTCCTGGACGAGCTCAGATTCCCCAGGATGTGCTTCTATGACTCTGTTAGTCTTAATAAAGTTCAAAATCTCGTTTCACATTCATCCTGTCTATTCCTACTCGGCTAATATAATCTACCAAAAAACAAACAGACTCGGGTATGTCTTCCATCTAATACAACTATGGCTTTCCCTTTAATTTTTTTTTTACTTTCAGATACCAAAAAAGAGATCACTCTCTGGCTAATGGATTGAAAACTATTTCTCCGCGTAAGCCTCGTCATACTCCCCTTCTGTCCTCGCCCTATGAAAGCAAACTATGCTGTTCGTTTTGGATCTGGAGATGTTGGTTTTCGTAGTATTCTAGTAACCGGGGCGGCCGATATTTTCACTCCCTGTATCTACAAGTCTACACGTATACACATAAGTTATATTGGAGAACGAAAGGGGAAAAAAAGGAAGGAATACTTATTGTTAGTCATCTATACAGATGCAACCAGGACGTAAAATTAATAAAATGAAAATGCTAATCCAATAAGGGATGATTCACCAATACTATACCTTATTATAGAGATGACCATAGGTTAGGTTATACACAATGAATATCATCAATGGGGCTCTGGCAATCAATTGAAACTTAGGGTGAATTTAATTTAGGATAAGAGTCAAAAGTACATCAAGAGAAAATTAAAAATAAGGCAGGACTTTGTTATACCATTAAATTTTTTTTGGCAATTGGGTACACCACTTCCTAAGATGCGATGAATATGCAGCAGGATTTATTGATAATTATACACTCAATATTCGTATAGCATAACAAAATATAAATAAAATCATTTTGTTGTCCAATATTAGATTTTCTCTATTAAAAAGTATATGTCTAAGGAAACGACGTACGTGCCTGCTTATCCTAGCTGCAACGAAAATAATGGCGTCGAGTTCTTCTAGAATTTCCAATAAATCAAGACGAGCGCGTTGGGTCTCCGCTTACAAAGAATTAATGGAGATCGGAAAAACCCGACCTATTGCCATTTCGCCATTGTCCTATCAGCGTTCACCTATGCGGGAGGAAAAATAAATGTCTCTGAAAAGGAAGTACTGAGGGTAAAAAGTCCCTTGAATTTTCTATCATGACTCTATGTATCTATGCAAGTCACACCGATATATAAAATGTTTCCTTGTTTTTTCGTCTTCTTCGTTTCATATATAAATTTACGAATACAAAGTCTATCAGCCTAACGACACAAGAATTTTCTATAAACGCTTTCAGCTAATGAACAGCAACGGAGAAACGAGGCGAGCATATTGCAATTTTATTTTTTTCATTTTTTTTTCTTCTTCATTTCGTCCACATATTCCTTTGATACAAAACTGTGACCAGATTGTTGTCATCTAAAAATTTTATTTACTGCCTCCCTTCTTTTTCCCCTATATATATATATCTATCTATATATATCATAATTCACTTTTCTCTCTAAAAAAAATAAGTAAAATTAAGAATAATAAGTATCTCAGTAATTGAAAATAGAAAATCGAAAGAAAGTGAAAAAAAAAGCAAAGAAAGTCACGAAACTCTTCACAAAATGCTTCCTCGTATTGATATTATGGCTATATCGCGACTCGAACACATAGTAGTCTGTCAGTTATAATTTTATGCTCTCCGGCGTGTCCGCTTAATACTGAAATGAAAATTGATGAATTTTAAACAGGTGATTATTGAAAATGCTCAACAGTTAAAAAAAAAAATCAGTTACCTACTGACGATCGCCTCCATAAAACTCAGAGGCAAGAATAATACTCGTCTAAGCGCAAGAGTAATAATAATTCACGAATCGTTTCGCGGTGCGACTCTTCGTTGTCCATGAAAAGTATAGTCATAGAAATAATAACCAACATAAGAGGACGGAAACAAAATATAAAACCGATGTAGTCCCAGTATACCGTTTGAAGAGATAAATAAAGAAAAAGTCAAACAATAGAATAAGTCCTGCTGTACGAAAGAATAAACGAGTCCACCGTGAGATGATGATCCACCGAATATCAAACTCAACGTAATTCTACTTTACGGTTCAGTAAGACGAACGATATCTGATTGCAAGGACAGTAACCGCCTGTCGTTACAAATATGTGTATATAAACATATATATATACACACACTATCGTTAAAAATCACTAGGAAACCGATCTACCTAAACAAGTAATATTTAATTCTATAAATCTAACATTAATTAATCCCATCGTCGCGTCTTTACCGCACTTGGGCGGAATGCAGTGCTGGTAAGTAAGTATAAACGAAGTCACAGGAAAGGGCTTTAGAAACGATTGGTAAATGGTCTCGGCGAACTTAGACTACCCCCCCAAGAAGGTCAAAGGGGATAAAGAAGTGGAAAAGGAGGAGGGATAATGAAGGAGCAGGATGGGGGGGGGTCGACTTAATTGCTAACGTCGATACATATACTCGTCCCTAGAGCCTTCCGTATGAGGAAGTGCCAACCTCCACCACAGAGTCCAAATCACGTCTGCGGTGACAGGAGTCATGAAATAAACAGAGTATTTCCAATCTCTTATGAAACTGCCTGATGGAATGAGTCAATCTCTTCCGGTTCTTAAGCATCCGGTGGACTTGGCGTCTGTGTGGTGCTTATGTGATCCTGCAGGCAGATTCTCAAATCCCTCTCGTCCAATTCACTCTCGGTGTCGACACTGAAACTCCTTGCAGCCTGCTGCCCTCCAGTGCCGGTCCAACGTTGCTTCCAGCTCTCTAGCCTCATGACCTGTTGACAGGAGTATAATAAGAGGATGAGCAAGATCATCTCTAAGAGATTCTACAAGATGGTCAAAACGAGATGCATATACATATATTTTTTCTTTATTACTCCGAATGGTATCTTTGGCAAGCATTTTACGAAACCCTCGTACACAGAACATGCAATTTCCAGTGCTGATAATCACCAGTGCCTTGATTACTCTTAGATAAGAAAAAAAGAAAAAAGAAAGAAAAGTATTGAGAAAGCATTGCGTATCGGACAAGGCACACACCCGGGCACACACTTATTCACAAGAATAGACAGACACATATCCGACCGGCACGACAAGACGCCCTGAAGTCAAAGACAAGAAGCTCTTGTTGACGTGGCTCACTTTCTTCATTTACAACTGCTGTAAAAATAGCCCCAAATGCGGGAAGTGAGCACTTTGTCAAAATACATTGGTCTGATAAGGACCACGATAATAATAACAATAATGCAGTCTGAATGCCTCTGGATAACAGTATCAAAAGGAAGGATACTCTGCGCATACAATATCATTCGGTTGGATGATAGAAGGACAGTGCAAAGAGCACGGAGGGTCGCGTGCACGCAAAATAAAATTTGAAAATTAAGTGCCGTGAATGGAAAAAAAAAAAGAATTACAGGTCCATTAACCATGTGACAGTCGCTATATGTGACTATACTATTATTATTATTATGCAAGGAAGACAAAGATACGATAAGGTATGATACGGTGCATGAAATCCAACACTATATAGGTATTATCTCAGGACTCCTGGGTACTCGAATTGAATAATCTATAAATAATAATAATAATAATATACGCAGAACAAAGTAAAGTGAGCGATGCAGAGAGATAGATAGGGGGACTTACTCGAGCCAGCGCCAGGGCTCTGTCTCCGGGCTGGTGATTGGCGTAGGGAACTAGGGAGATAGACAAGATACCAATAGTGGGTTAGTGGTACATATTAGCAATTGACTTTAGCTCATTCCCTTCTCATTAACTTCATTTTATAGTTATATTTAGACACAGCCGCGCCGATCCTTTTCGTTATGACAATTCTACTGTTCCTTGAATACACTTTGATTCCCTGTATCTTTGTATCAGTGTATATCATTGCTTTCTACGTACAATGTGCAAATGAATGAAAATATAGCTGGAGGCCTTGGTACACGTAGAGTATGAAAATGTATCGCAAGCGATAAATAAGACGTGTAATGGTCACGAAAATACGGAGCATCTCGTTCTGTCTCTTTGTGATATCGTGTGATCTTGCGTTTGACCCGTGAGTTTGCTCCTTGGAATTTCTTGGCTTAATTAATTACAATTACTGAGGCTGTGGGTATGTTACAGCGCGGGGCTCAATCCGAAGCGGTATATAGATGTTAGTAACAAGCGTGGCGTGTATCATTACATTGCAGTAAGAGGTGCAATTTATACATGGCACATTTTGCACTAGTGCAAGTCGAGACGAACAATGGAACAATATGGTTTGCGTATTGCTTAGGCTTTGCCAAGCCTCGACTGGTGTTGCCAAACGATTATGATGCAGTTAGAATATTATCATTGTATTTGAGAAAAGAATCCACGGGATAGCCGTACGAATGAATCATTTATCGGTAACCAGTATCTTCGGATTAATGTGAGAATATTATTACATGGTATACAGTGTTGTGAAACGTAAACGCGTCAAGTATATTTAAAAGAAAAGGTTACAAAAATATCGTTTGAATTTAAAAAAAAAAATTCTATAAGTGCGTGTTAGAGACGCAGACTTGAGGCTTAAATAGGATCAAGGATATTAAATCTTAACGAATCAACTGTGTCAATGTTCATAATTTATGAAACGTAATAACTAATTTCATTGAAAAATCGAATGGCACAATTAATCGAAAACCAGTAGTATTTTATGGAATGCACGTGAGAGCTCTGAAAAATAAAAAAAAAATTACTAGTGATAGCGGAATATATGATTTTGACGCTGGCAACACAGTTGGTATAACAGAAAAGATGGACACATTACAATAAAACTAGAAAATTCAGGCAATCTATGTAAACGACTAGTGAACGACTAGTTGCAACAATAATACTTCTATTGCTTAAGAATGTCTTGAGGCAAGTATCGCAGAGATACTTGAGCACTGTGCTCTTTGTTTAATAAGTTTTTTTAAGTTTCTAAGGGGATTCGCGAGATAGAGACTTTCGAAAATGCAAGTAACTTCTCGACTGCAAAATCTAGTTTGTATTACGGTACAAGATATTCTATGTGGAAAAGGGTATTATTATAATTCTACATTGTTCAATTGATCCAATAAATTGTCCTATCCAGTTATTCCATATATTGACTGAATTTCCGATTGTTTTTGATTTTCCTTAATTATCCTCTCTGCAGGATATCTGGACCGAGTAGAAGGTGTCTCACCTCTTACTGCAATTGCCTTGAATATCGAACAGTACTATGATTTTCTCGACGAACCTCTGTGTTATCCGAGTGACTTACCTCGGCTTTTAAATCGGCCACCTTGTCTTGAAGTTCACGCACCCTGTCACTGTCGTCCAAGTTGTTCCTGAGCTCGCCCTCTGTGTACATTTCTTCGTTCTGCATAAAAAATAATCATTAGAAGAGTTAAGCGAATTTTGAAAAATTCCTATCTAATATTTTCATACCTTCAGCTCAAGCAGAGAAATCCTTTGCGTGAGTTCGGCGACTTGTTGGGCATGTTCAGCATCACGTATTCTCGCCATCATCGTTTCATCTTTCATTTTTGACTCCAGGTCCGAGTATTTATGTTGCTGTTCGCGCATTTTCGCTATCAATTCCTTCTCCCTGGCCAGGGCGTCGTCCAATTCCTCCCTAAGTACTTGTCCTCCCTCGTCTTGTCTGCGTAGCTGATTAGTGGCGACCTGAACCTGCGTCTCCAGCTCCATAACCTTCAGCCGAAGTTCCTTAACCTCGGTAAGAGCTTCCATTTCTCGGATCCTTGTCGTCATGAGATCTTCTTCTAGTTTTTGAACTTCATGACCACGATTTTCCCAAAAGAGGAGCTTCTTGGGGGTAGAATCCGGAGCTGGCGCGGGCTGAGAAGCACGATGCTCCTGAAGATGTCTTTGCCAGGATCCACTGAGCTCACCGACCCTTTGTCTGAGATCCTGTTGAACAATTTAAAGTCATAAAAATTAGTACTGTATTTTGATATCTTAAGATCCTACGCCGCGTGTACCTTTAGAGATAAGTTAGCCTCAGCTTCTCTAAGCTTGACGGCGATGAGTTCCTCCTGAAGATGTGCTACCGAATTATCGGGTGTAGATTCTCTAAGGGTTTTCTTGTCCTGCTCTAGTTCCTGGATTCTGGCTTTCAGATCACGGATAGTCGCATCATTTTCAGCCTCGTGGAGTCTCACTTTTACCAATTCCTCCTGAAGACACTGCACCATCTCTTCCTTCTGACAGAGAGCCTCCTGTTTTAGGGATATCTCGTCAAGAGACGATTGCTTGGATGTTAGATTCTCTTCCAGCAGGATTGACAATGATCTGAGCTCTTCGTGTGCTTGTTCCAGCTGATGACTCGTTTCTAAATGAGTGTGTCGAAGCGCTGCTAATTCACGCTGTACTACGAATGCCGTTTCTTCCTCTTCAGCACGAGAAACTTGACCTCTCACTAACCGATCGGCCAGCTCGGCAGACTCAGCCTCCAGGAGTTCAGTCCTCTGTCTCAATAATCGATTTTCAGCTCTGAGCCTCCTCAGCTCAACCATCTCTTCTTGTTCTTTCATTTTCAGAACCGTATAATCTTTCTCTAATTTCTTCATACGTTTTGGATTGATCTTCATACTATACGCAAGGTTCATCAAGCCGTCCGGATCAGCTTCCGCCCTGCCAGGCAATTCTTTCTGGAAAAACTGTAAGGAAAGAAGGTGTACAAAAAAAAAAAAATTGTTCAATAATATTGTAAAATCATACTGATAATTTTAAAGATGTTCATAACTCACTTTAAGCATACCCTCCATGTCGAGGCTGAGTAAGTCTTCTTTGCCTAAGTGAAGCATCGCCAGAGCGACTTTGAAAATAACTTCCATTCCTTCTGAGAGAAAGACGTCGAAAATGCGACAAGCTAAGGGCAGACTAAGTGCTGTTGTAAAGAGAGTAAGGAACCAGGAAGAGGCGTACATAGAAGTATGAAAACTCTGAGCAGTGAAATGTGCATGTAGCTCAGGATGTGTGTCTGCTACAAGATGCTCCAGTTGATACATGCAGACTCCTAATTCAGCCATACTTGGTTTGAACATGTCGCGCAGTCGATACTCCTGCATCAGTGCGACAAGAACAGCGAAGGCTTCCTCTTCCGGCATTTGCTGAGTCATACAAGAACCATATTACTACTATAACTTAACCATGTACTTCATCTAAGTGACAATTAAATTAAGGCTTACCTGCATCAAAAGCAAACCAACGATAAATCCTGAACCCTGACAATATCCCACTTCTCTGTCATGTAAACTGTAAGCCTTCATCACGTTAAACAAACTCTCCTGACCCAGACCGCCCTTCTCCTTAAAAAAATCATGTTCAGGGTAGGTCCTGGCAATGTCCCGCTTGATTACTCTCTCGCAGGCGGAAGTGGCTTTGATGTATTCTGCAAACTGTTTCTTCACAGGTGAATCGTGAGCTCCGCAAAGTAGCTGCCATACTATTCCTCTGAAAAAAAAAAAAAAAAAAAAAAAAAAAAAAAAAAAAAAAACTTTATTCCCATCTCGTCGGTATAAGAATAAATCGCGAGGATGCTTTATTATGAAATCGGAAATTGGCGTCGATCTTCGGGCGAAGAGCGAGCGTTTCCAGAGTCGTAATACTATTGAAACTCAATCTACATATATCCACGTTTCTGTCTCTTACCTAAAGTGATGGGGTATACCCTGCCGTACTAATTCCTTAACAAAGTCTTTTTTCTTTTTCCAATAATTATCCCAATCGTTGACAATGTGCCCCCAGAGCGTCCAGGTGTTCTCCTCGCCATCGGTAGGCGTATGGCGTCGGGGTGCAGCGTCGCCACTGCCCCCCGACGCCAGAGAGACCTGCGATGTGTCTGATCCCTTTCTGCTGTGATTGCTCTGCAGCGAGTTCAGAGACTTGGCATCGGATTCAATGAGCCTAGAAGCAAATTTGAAAATATTAAAAATCCAATCTCACTCTACAATGTCAAAATTGATTTGCCCACTAATAAACAATGACTTTCCCCTTACCTATTGGCTTCTTCCAGCTTAGCCAGTAGAGCCAGCTCGTCGGTGGATATGTCTTTCTTTGAGGATAGCGCCTGCTCTTCCTCTTCCTCAAGGGAGTCAAGTGCAGCACCGTTCACGTTACTTCCGGTGCTACCGGTGCGTGCGTTGGGATTGGACTGGGGCAAGGAACTGCGTAAACACAGGACACTCATCACCTGCGGTCCATAACGTGACAGCCCAAGCCGTCCAACTGCTACGCCTCCACCCTCGTGACTCCTGGAAATCAGTACCAAGTGCACATATGTATAGTAAAGGGATCTACATCTGCGTTTCATACGTTCAATAATGAACCTGATAAAGGCTATAGGATATTTCGGTGCAACCAGACACACCAGGCTTATCGAGTGGACGTACAGACAGTGCCATAAATGTTAAAACTCATTATAAATTATTATGTTTCTTACATCATTCAATTTTCCTTCAACACAATCTTCTTCTACAGAGAGTATACTTTACAGCGAGAATTTCTCGCCCTTGCCAGCATACTGACACGATAAACTGAAACGTACAGAAGTATTTTTATGAATTCTGCACGCTTCCCAGACTCACTCGTTCAGTGTGGCTATAGCTCCTGGCGTAGGCGTATCGAGCTTAATTCTATGCTTTCATAAACATTATACCCATGAGAATTCTATTTTCGTCGTTTTACAGAACCCCTAGTAGCAAGTGAGCATACAAGTAGTCAGGACAGGAGCGACCTAGTTCGCTGCTTTAATGTTACTGGAACAACGCTCTTACGTTGTCCAAGTATGGCATAAGGTCTCTGTGCCAGTTCCCCAGGGAATCACTCCTCGAGATTCCTATCTCTTTTGGAGCCAATTGAGGATGGCAAATTGCCGACACTAACTATAACTCATCCTTGACGTGCGTCTTTACTCATTTTACCTATATATATATCATCCTATAGATATCCTACTATATGCTAGAGAATATTATACTCGAAATGGATCCCTTTACGGAATTTCAATAAAAATACGATTCCTATAAATTTTCAATGGATGATTTTACCTTTTTATACCTTTACCACGTGTCCATCTCGCTGCCGCCGGGGCGAGTAAACCACGAAGAACCATCCAGACGGTGTGGATGAATTATTCAAAATTTTATGAATGTACTAGGGAGCCACCACCGTATACCAAAGTTCTAACCACGTATTATATAATGATAAAGTAACTAGTGCTAAAGCTTCAGTTTTCTGAAGACTGACAAATATTAGTTAATAACTATTCATCAAATTTTTCCATGAACGACAAGCCTTGGGCGCAAGAAAATTTTTGAACAGTATATTTTCATTCCCAAAACACTCTGGTATATACTTCCTAAAGTTATTATACCTTCTGCACGTTATTTCAGAATTCCCGAGGACCAATGAAAGATCTCCAAATAATATATGAGGAACGATCAGTCCCTATTTTTCAAATAACAAAACGATCCAAGCCACCAGAATTCGAGGAACAGTAAGACTATCGAGATTCGGTTCTCCCTCGGAGATGATCCCTTAAAAAAAAAACAGGAAGTCACTCGAAAAAGGGTAACGAGATCCAAATACTTTTTCTATACTTCTAAAACTATAAGAGTAATGGATGCAATAACGCATTGGCGTAGGCAGCACTCGCGGATTCTTGTCGCGCACTGTCGTAGGAAGAACAGTAATGGTTTGAGGGTCGATGGAGCTCGCGCAGGGTCGGATCATCCCTTGCGCGGCGACCTCCATTCGAATTCCAATGTAAAAAGTCTCAAGTCCATCCACGACCTATACATAGATTACCGTTACGTGCCTTGGAAACGTCTTTCTAACCTGTTGAAAATAATTGCCTAATGTAACGTTCATATGATACAATCATATAGGTTCTCGATCGACGTGTGTAAACAGTGTGGTTGTAGAATCAGCAAATCACTCGGATGATTTAAAACTTTGTCAGCGTGACGAGGCGGAAACAGGAATTCCTGCAAGGCATTCACAAAGCATTGTACATAAAACATATATACGATTGTTTTCGTATAGATAGCATATAAAAGGATAGAGTATAATAAAATCAATGAGAGCAATAAAGGATTTAATACTGACCAGACCATTTATCGTATACCAATTCCATTTAGAATAAAAGACGATCCGTGACTGTTAAATATTAATTATAACCAGTGAAAGGTACAGTCAGGTGCATATATCGCCAGAGACAGATAAGCCTCTCTTCTCATGTGTCAGCCGCACGCACGTCATGACAGTGGTTCTATACGGGTCTAAAAATATAAGAATATAATGGTTTGAGAAAAAGGCAAAATTGTATAAATACTTAGGTAGAACGCGAAGGCGTGAAGACCCACGGGAATTTCGATAATGAGAAAATATCGAGCTGCTTTTCTCGCATCGTGAAATCAACGTGTTTCTGTATGTGGTACTCTCTCTCATTCTGTTTTGTTTGGCATGGAGCCACTTCCGATAATTTAATAGTCCATCTAACGAACTCGGCAACCTTTCAGGATCCGTTTAATACTGATAAGTGATAATGGAAAGAGCATCGAGAATATTCCGGAGAAATAGGTGAATTCGTTTTTCGTAAAAGTAGATTTGCTTTAAAAAAAATATTATTTCTTCAGTGAAATTCAAAGACACGATAGATATTATAGAGTAAAAAATTACGGTTCATTTTGTGAACGTGAGTTACTTAATACTGGCTAATAGTGATGGCTGTCTTTAACTGTTGTTTGAATAATTAGAACAATCGGTAGACTAATTATCAGTGATTAGCTGGACGGAAGGTGACGTTACTGATGAGTCGCGTTCCGCTTGGTAAAACTGTACGGTGCGAATTTCATACCGCGAGTTGAGAGACAATGGAACGAGGTAGAAAGAGAAAAAAGATCGAAGGGAAAAGAGAAAGAAGACTATAAACTGGCAGGAAAACTCGACGGTATTAATTAGGTGGTTTGGTCGTACCTGCTAATTAGCGTGTCCAAAGGGAACAGGCAATGTGTGAATAGGTGTGTCGCCAGAGACGCAGAAAATTGCAATGGCATTCAGTTCGGAAATCAAGTGTTCGAATTATTTGGAAAAAGAAAGAAAAAGGTATTATTCAGAAAACACGGTGTACCTCGTTTTACACAGAATAGTTCGCTTACATAGTCGGGCGATGAATTTTCATGGGACGCCGGTGGCCTGCGTGCAGGCGCATTTCTAATTTCAATTGAATTCGTTTCACCGGTAGGTGTCGACACTTTAGCTACGTCTACGAAATAATTTTTTCATTAGACGAAGCTCGACTGGTAGTTACTATTCTATGTATTTGAATTCTTTCAATAAAAAATAAAAGAAATGATACTGTTTTTCTTGATGATATTGTAATCGCGATTTCCAACTTTCTGGGCCGCCTCAGAGATGGCGCTACGTACGCTTGGAGATATAATATTCGTTATACTTCTGTCAAGTAATACAATTGAAGTTTATTTATTTGTATTACCTGGTGAATTCGCAAGTCGCTTGCAGTTTCTATTTTCGTATGTTCTTGTCAACTAATTTGAAATGTGGAAGAATAAAAGTACATAGATAAAGTCAAACTAGTGTTAACAACAAATTGGACGATCAATGCGTCGTTGCTGAATGAGACTCAATTAGTTCTCTGTCGTACATATCCGAACGCAACTCCAATCCCGTGTAAAAATTGGTAGTAGGTCAATTGGGAGATAATTGGCTGGGCTCGGGGCCAATACGATTCTTCGTCATGCGACAATTCAGTCGACGAATGCGAAGTCAGGATTCTGTTAGAATTCTATCTGAAAAAAAAGCCAATGATCCAAAACCACTGGCTATTTCCTGATATTACTGTCAGCTTCGATATGACATTAATACTTTGACTGACCTGAAGGAAAAGCCTGAGCCATCAAAAGTAACGTTATCTTATGAAACGACGATCTTTCAATGTCGCAATATTGATTTATCAATATCCGAATGCGGTTATTCTTTACCAGCTTTAATTTAATCTATAATATTTAAACAGCAAATCAACGTTGCTGTATCACTGCGATCGTCGTGACTGACCTCGGAGTCAATTGTGGGTGTAAGAACGCAAGGCATTTCCAGCGTGGACCATAATAGGGATTGAAAACCAGTTTCTCGAGACTTAAAAAAAAATAAAAGAGCAAAGCATCCTGATTACAGGATTCGACATAGTTTATCCAAGGAATGGGCTTCATTTTTTTATTTATACGCCGACTGTACAAGATGGGCATCGGCTGAGCCACTGTTTAAAAACAACAAAAATCATCATCATGGGCAAGTGAGAGATTACCGAGAATCATGAAACAAGAGACTGACAAGACTTTTCTCAGGATATTACCTAGTGACTAAAATGACTCACAATCAGATAGATTCATACAAGTCTGCGCAACCGGTTATTCTGTATGTACACTTGTCATCGTTTTATTTTTTTGTACTAGTCCCAGTTGCTCGAGTCATCAAATGATCATCAGGCATCTGACGTAACGGCATTCTACCTGTTCCGTGTTATATGTATAAATACATGCCTATCTACAGTAAAAGAGGTGAACAATAAAGCGTCACATCGTTCCAAACGATAAGCGTCGAAGCGACGTACACAATCCACGTGTTTTACCTATCAGCAACGACACAAGGTCAACTGATGCCAGCAATACATTTACCTAGTTTCTGTTCTTTCAATACTTTTACTTTTTTTAAACAGTATACGTTGGAGTAGTCGAACGATCACTAAAATGGTCCATGCATCGGTGGGTAGAAAAATCCTTGATGGCCTCAAGGTAGAGAAAGAGAGAGAGGATTGTGTTACTTTCTAAAGTTTAAAGAATTATTCTGTATCTGCTCGTTGGTACTCATTGCCACCGAAATACTTTACGTTATAAGCGAACAGTACTATGTCTTTGAATTTTATTGCAACTCTCATTAAGACCGAATATTAGTTTTTCTTTGGGTAAGAGGGACCTGTCTCTTATAGTTTACAATGGAAGTAAATCCATTGAGTCCATTATTACGATACGATTGTAATAATGCTTGAAATGTATTGGAACTTCATTGAAGAGTAACTCTTTGGATTTTTTAAAGTCATTTGGACTCTCTGGGTTCCCTCCTAATAAACCGAATGTACGTATGCAATGTTGGTACCGCTAGAATGTACAGACTATCGCTTTCGTACGCGTTTAGAATTTCTTATGGAGGTGTTGCTGGCAAACTAGGTAGCTGCCTTTAATTATACGATGAATCACTAGCGCGTAAATCTACTTTCGAACCGGTCTGAATATATATATTCCACCATATCGAGAATCCCGTAAGGAATCGCTCGAATATTTATAAAGTATTAAGACATAATGGCGCAATGAAAACCCGTTAGATTCGAAGAAGAATGTAAAAGACAAAAGTAAACTGTCTCTTTCAAATGTGGGTGGTATAATAAAGTACCTTAGGTAGACTTGACTAGGTAGGAACTGAGAGGTATGAAAAGGAGGCAGTGCACTTAACACATGTTTAGCAGTACATTCACCTTGTCTAGAATTTATGGTCACTGCAATACTCTTGCTATAGCAATTTCGCCTGACCCAGCACATTCCTAATTTTTCTCTCAAGAATCCACAAGCACACTGCCACACTGCAATTTAACTGAATTCTACTGCACTATACTTTCTTACAACACTGATTAACAAGAGTCTCTTTACCTGCAAAAGGTAACCAGTTATTTAGTTAGGTCGATGCTATTAATTCTAACAAGAATTTCTCTTAATTCTCTTATGCAGATTTTAATACTTTTAAGCGATTCTCAGTGCTCGCATCAGTACTAAGTAACGAGTGTGAACAATTCACGTATCCTAGGAAGCGGATGTGCCCGGATAAGTTTCTGTAACGGTTCCTCGAAGAGGGAGTTTCACAGAGAGGTGAACAACCTCGGCCACTGACATAATTACTATGGTAATAATAATCTTGCCGAAAATTATACCAATTGGCAGAGTCTTGCTGATCAAGAAACAAGTGTCAGCCAGGCAGACGCCCACCGGCAGCCAGCTGGTTATTCAGAATAAAAATTTCTCTCGGCTTACCCTCACCGTAGCTTCCAATTCCAGCGGGATTCATCAATGCCTCTCACTCAGAAACAGCACTGTCCGACTCTTTCTGATAATGAGTTACGTGAATACGGATGGGAAACGGCAGGTATTCCAAATTTTTTGACAGGAATGCGCGACCAGCGCGTATCCGGCTGTCACCAACTTTTGGCTACTTGTCACTAAACCCGATGCCTTGCGCTCTGCATCCTATGCGCTACTGTTGCTACAGATCGAACGCGATAGTAGGTTGCTCTACGTATCGTCGGGAGCCATTGAATAGTAAACAGGGTATCCAACATTATATGCCAAAAGTTAAACTTTTTTCTTTTGGTGTTCATTACCTTAAATGATTTATTATAATTGAAGGAGGGTTTTACTGTTTAAGTTTAAACTTTAGGTTAGTTAGGCTTATTCTATAATGATTTAGGTACTTATTGAGCAATTATAACCGTTAAATCATAGATTTTAATTAACTCCCGCTTAAACTTAGACGGTAACATTGGGCTTCAATTTTAATTAGCATTTGATTATCTTGTACAGGAATATTTGTATAGGAGTTGTATAAATAATCTTTGATTGAAGTCAGAAGTGCAATGTGTTTTTTACGTTTAAAGGACTGATCACAATTTGGTTTGAATTTGTGCTATAAGTTATTTATAAGTGAGAAACTATTTTATCTCTTTATATAAAGGCCAACATTATTTAATGTCATATGACTTTTGCCCTCTGTTATTATTGACATTTTTTAAATTATTTATAAATTGAGGAAGAAAGAATTTGCTCTTATTCCTATATGAAATAATTTGCTAGGGGAACTCGGTGGAACTGGAACAATTTTCGTTTCGCAATGAAGTTGGTAACGTTCGTCAAAAACTGAGGAACGAAGAAACAGAAGACGAAAGAAACATGGAATAGAAATGAGCACGATATCGAATAATAATGGCGGACGAGGAACTACCAGCGGGCTGGGAGAAACGCCTCAGCAGGTCTACGGGTGTGTTTCTAAATCAAAATTGGAGCGGACTGTTCGCTAGTTTTAACATTCCTGAAGAATTCTACAAGAGAATTTATTTGTATACGTCTGTAGTTCATTGGCAGGAGTAATTCTCCGGTTTGGGCGTGTGGCACCCATAACGGCCGGCACTTCTGACATTGCTCCAATATTTTTCAATAAGAACATACCTCTATCTACCTTTTGACTTCCTTTATTTGTTAAAACTTTCCCTTTCCAGAATCCTCTTTTGGAGTCAGATGTTGCTCTTTAGAAGTCCTCTACTCCAACATAGTTTGCAAAAATCATTAGAGGTGCTCATTGATTATTGTTATCAGTAGAAAACGGGTCAATGATTCCGGGTTTATATTTGAAATTCCTTTCCTCATTAGACAAAATCTTTATACTTCTATAATACATTTAATGTTTCCAATCTTGACATGGAACTTAAGAAGTCATGGTATCGTGTGAAATTTGTACTTTTTTGATTGCTATGTTTTCTCTCACAAAAATTAATGAACAGTTCTTATGGTGAATTTTTCTTTATGGCATGTGAAAATATATCAGACAAATTTTCATGCAATATGATTTTCATTTAGGTCAGCACTATTACTTAAATATATATACAAAGGAGAGTCAATGGGATAGACCAGACAAACCCGCAGACCCCTTGGGAGATTCTAAAGGAGATGGACCAGAAGAGGTACAATGCTCTCATCTCCTGGTAAAGCATTCAGGATCTCGAAGACCATCATCTTGGCGTGAGGAGAACATCACTAGATCTAAAGAAGAAGCATTGGAACTGGTTAAATGTAAGAAAACCAATAATGAAATGCAAATTCAAACTACAAACGTTCAGAACATAATTATACCCTGTTGTAACAATATTATATTAATGTTTCTATATTTTAATAGCTTACAGAGAGCAAATCGTCTCAGGTAAAGCAACCTTTGCAGAGCTAGCTTCCAAATACAGTGACTGTAGCTCTGCGAAGAGAGGTGGTGACCTGGGTCCCTTTGGTCGTGGTGCAATGCAAAAGCCATTCGAGCAAGCAGCATTCGCACTGAAAGTAGGAGAACTCTCGTCACCAGTTGTGACAGACAGTGGGATTCACATTATTCAGCGTATCGCCTGAATGCACCTCAACTATGCTGCAGTAAATGCTTAAAACAATAGAAGAAAGAAACAGCCAGTAATGATCGGTTATTCGTTCACCGTGGAACTGTCGTCGAGTCGATCATCCTGTCTCCATCAAGGGGACATTCCTATCACATTCCAGGATGTCCTGTGACATTCCAGGATGCACGGCTGGACTATTGACTCTACTAATCAATTTAATTGGGTCTTAATAAGCGTTTAAATAATCGTACGTTTGTTAATATCTAAGTTTACAAGAAATATCTCATGATATAGCAAAGCTTCCGTCATATAATCGAGTATAATCCGTATGAATTTGCTTCCTCTATAAATTGTAAAATCCGTTAACAATCATTATCAGGAAGAAAAGAAAGGCTTAATGCAATGTCAAGAGAAAAAAAAATAGTAAACGGAAAATTTAGGAAGAAAATGAATAATATCATGTCTGTGTTTATGTAAGTTATATCTAAAGCTAAGTCAAATAAATGCATTTACTCTGTTAAATTGTAAGTAAGTCTATATTCTTACTAATTAGGCATCATATTACAAAATTCTTTACTTATGTAGACAAGAGCTATATATATCTACGGATTTTTAGTTATCATTTACAGTGTTAAAATTGTAATTCAATAGTTATCAGTCCCTGTAGCAACTGTTAGCTAAAAAGAGTTTTACAAAGGAGTCGTACGAATTTACCTATCATGTCTAATTTAATATTTATAAAGAATCCAATTGAAATTTTCTCAGCACTCAACTGTATGTACCCGTGTACCAATAATAGAAAACACTTCGTAAGTTCATTCCTGTCTATCACGTTATATTAATCCTTAATTGATGTCGTGGAAAAAAAACTTACGCTTGTAGCGTAACGATTTTACATTGTTCCCAGGGTCCGACAACATCAGTTAAGATTAAGATACGAGGAGATAGGTGAATGCAATCAATCAATATATTAATATTTTATTTTTACCGGGATCATCAGGTACGATAGCGAAATAACAATGTGAGAAGCTAGCTGATATCTATCACTGGAGAATCGATGGAAGAAAGTATCTAGAAAATTGCGTATATGATAATTAATGAACTGACGATGATGATGTTTATTGCCTCGTCAGCAGGCAAGACCGACAATTTTGTTTACTATATGCTCAACAGAAACTTTTACTGGCGTAAAACTCGTTTTATAGATAAGCTTCATACGCGTGCCTTGACAATCTTTCGCTAACAAAAAATAATGATTACCCAATCGTCTGATAAAACTCATCCAAGATACGCACGATACCTCCCTCCTGCCACCGTCACGCTCTACTTTTATCTCATTTTAAGTCACATATTTCTCTACATAAAATCAACAAATGGACAAGAGGTTGATAGGTCGAAGAATTTTTTAATCAATAAATCAGTCAGCTGCTAACACAATTAATTAAGAAACAAATAATTTCATGGGTTATACTAATATAAGTCAGTAATTTAACTATAATACATGCAATACAGTATTACGTTCACTGCAGTCGAATAGACAATTTGGAAAACCTTGTAGCCGTATGAGTTAAGTGATACGTTACAAATTGAGATGGTTCTGCCGTCACCCTATACCAAAAGGAAATCCGCCACTCACTATCAATGAGTTCGCTGCTAGTCAGGATGAGCCCTCCTCGCTGATAATAGCCTTAAAATCGCGGAATTAGTTTCACCAGGCAACAGGTCTTCCAGCTCTACAGTTACCAACGAAACAAACAAGAATGAACCACGTACAGATGGTAATACGATATGAAACAAAGAAGTAACGAGAAGTAGAAACTGTTAGACTCAGGTGAAGTGAGCTCATTATCATTCTTGTATTACAATGATTCAATGGCAATTTAGCTGCAGTACTAAACTACGGGTATTTTATGGTAATAATGAATATACTATGTAAACTACGGAATATAGTAAAAAGCGCAACTACTATATTGAGCACATAATTGCAGAATAATAATCTAAATCGGTTATTCGAAATTTGTCAGTATTTACGTGACTTGTCTGACATTGTTTATACCACAAAGATAACGAACCCCCTCGAACTAAATAGTGCACAAATCGCTGATATTTGAAATCGCCAAAATATTCGAGAGTCTCGTTTACATTATTTGGAATAATTTATCAGGCTATCATTTAAGTTGTAAGTCAGGCTTAATATTAATAGATATCTGATATATGTTCCATACAGTTAATCCCCTCATCTAAAGCTATTTAGACCAATAAAAAATAAAATATTGTGAGAAAATTCGGAATTTGTAGAATCCACCCCGTTTTTCTTGCACGACAATAGATATATACTTGAACAATTAACATACTTTTTGACATATTTCGGTATCCTATGTACAGATTTTCAAAAACAGAGTAGTTGATGGAAAATATATTGGCATATTTATCAACATTCTCATCTTGACAAAAGTCAACATCAATTCCATAAAAAGCACCTTAATACTGCTTATAATTTAAAGCATGAAATATAGAAAACCCTCATTGTGACGGGTTTCATTGTTCTAGTTTTAAGTACTTATGGTCTTCTTGTTTGTAAAACACCTGAGAAGCAGTCTCTAGAACTGTGGTGGAATCATTGATAAAATAATTATCTCAATTTATTTAACCTTCCCTTTTACTTCCCCCCTCTTGATAACTGTTGTCCTTAGCTAGATATGGCGTGACATGTGTTGCGTTGCGATGCTTCGCGTCGTTCATAAGCCGAGGTCATGAAATTACCGACAGAGGGGGACAAATTGCATTTTTATTAGGGAAGGTTCCTCTCGTTGGACGGACACGAGATACTCTTTATCTGCACGCCACTATTTTGTTTTTTCACTTTCTCATGTTTCTAAGTGTAACAATACCGTCGCTACGTATACAGCATCATAATATACCCTAATGATATAAATGAGTTTTCGATACGCGATATATTTACATATGATATGTTAGACTGACTTCAAATGTCATAATAAATATAATTGTATTTGCAAATGAGACGCATTTAATGAAATGTCTTTCCTCGTTCTCACTCGCTTGTAAATAGGTAAAAACTGGTTAGGTACTTAACATGATAATTAGACGCTAAAAAGATCAAATTTACAATCGAATTTGAGCATAAGCGAAAGAACCTACACTAAACAGTTAAAATTTACAGTTGAATTTGAACGCACGCGAAAAAGGCACAGTTTATGCGTCTTACATTCGGACGAATATCTTTGTACGACAGTCTATGATTATTGATCGCCAATAAAGTGTCGTCAATGATATATTTAAGACAGCCTACAAGATAACGCGATAATAAGATCGCAGTAGAGCATCAGTAATTCGATAATGAGACAACCCGAAAATCAAAATCTTCAAAAATATATATTTAGGTAAGGTTGACTCTGTCGACACTTTTTCTCAGTTATCATTGACTCTGATGATACATAGTTACCTGCAACTCGAACATTTCAGTCTAATCCTCGGTGCCTACATAACGCTTTGTTAAGATCTGTATAAAATACAAGACGTCTATCGGGACTTGAAACGTTACATAAAACGTTGTGCAGATGTCAATTTAAAGTTTATGCTCGATACATCCTTACGCAATCTATTTGGTTTTGTTACAATTTAACATCGTAGTGACTAAAGTGAACGAAACATTCGAACCTCCAATAATAAGACGCTGATCTGATTGACAGATTAAGATAAAGGAAACAAAGCACCTTGAAATCGAAACACAGTTTTTCGATAATACCCTAAAAAAATTGACAACGTTTCAAGAAACTCATGATCATTATGTAATTTTTTAACAGATGCTAAATAAATTAATTATCAGTTATAAGTGAAGCACTTCGCTCTTTATTATTATTCGAAACTTATAAATATACTGAGATATGTATTTTTTATATGAGACTCTGCCGAATCTCTTGATTTGTCACACCAATTACCCAGAAAATATGACTCGTGCTTAAGATTATATGTATACTGTTGATATCACAGGTACCAGCTATTTCTTTCTCGATTATAGAATTCCATGGCGCTATACTACGAAACTCCATACTTCACAATAAGCAAGTCATTAGGTGTCAGTCGCTAGTATAATTTTCTATTTCTGACACACGTCAACACCCATAAGTCAAGAGTAGGCAATTTTCGAAATCCAAAATAATAGAATTTTTCCAATGGATCAATCAAGTTACGAATAATCAACACTTCCCTCGTACTTAACAAGATATACTGTCAAATATTACGCAGCTGTTCAATTTGTCTAATGCACTCAAGTTCAATGTCTCTAGGCGACACGGTTAGGGCCAAGTTACACTCGTAAAACGCGCATTTAAACGCAAGGCCCGAATGATAACGTAACGTGAATTCCTCTGGACGTGTTATACCATTGGTCGACAGTATGCGTTATTAGCGTCGAAGAAGACATAGTGAAAGTATCTCAAGCACGTGTCTGAAGGGGACACTAGCATGCGCCACTCAGCTGATCGTTCGGGATACCTTGGCAAAGCGCGCGATTACGTGAGATTTTCCAGACGATGCGTAAGTAAGTCAATAGATGAATATGGCCCAATTATAATTTCTTAAGAGATCTTTTATGGCTACAAATCTATTTAACGTTAATTTACAACTCTTTTCACAAGCGAGTCGTCTGCTAGAAGATACTTATTAGATTATCGTATAGCGTCGCATGTACAAAATTTGCATGATTGTGCAATTCATATGCTCACGTAAATATATATATATAACCATTTATGCGTGTCCGTCAAACAATACGAATTCGATGAATGGGAGTGTGTTTTTTTTGTTCTTCGGAGTAAGCAAGGTCACTTATTCATATCAGCTTTTCCATTTCCCATGTCGTCACACGTTAGTAACACTTTCCAGAATAGCTATTAAAACAGAGAAAAATAACATTAGAAAATTACTTGGTGGAATATTAATAAAGTTCATTTAGTTTACATGCTTATGGGCCTGGTAAGGAACAAGTAAATACGTTGCCGTCAAATAAAATTGATACTCGTGCCGAAGGACGACAATTTCAATGTAAACATGTATCCCAGTATCGAGAAAAATCATGCTTGTTTTTTTATTTCCCACGATATACGGATGTTTGAATTACCTGATTATTTTGCAAAAATTAATACAGAAATAGCGCTAGTGTCTATGTTTATAGGCTAGTGCGTTCGAATTTTGACTAGAAAACCGGTATCGTTAAAATTATCATAAAAGGTGCATGAATATATTAAATGCATATTAAATGCATGAATATATTAAACGACCGAATTATTCCAGTTATCATCTACAGCTATAGCGATCCACCAATTGACTCTATCAGCAGCGACAAAGCAAACTACTGTTATGAACGAGCATTATTTTGCGTCAACGGTGTCGAATTTCCATACGACAATTGGTCGCATTTCTCTTCGTACATCCTAACGTAACCCAAGGACAGTGAGCTATTTTGTGGGGAGCTAAAAAGAGCCGTGGGATCGTTCGTGATCCTATCCACGGCAAAGTACAACCCTACGTGACACAGTGTCACACGATTATTAGCAATTATCTATCAATTTATTATAAATAATCTAGTACAGTGAGCCCGCGTTCGATTCAATGAATTTAAAAAAAAAACCAAACAACAATTTCAAAGAAACGAGGGAATCTAGTCTAAACAATTCCCAAGAACCAGTCTATCTCTCAGATTATAATGAGTATAATGATGTAACTATCGAGTAGAATAAATTTGAATAACGATCATTTTCCTGCTGCTATCCTCTGTGTCAAGTTAATGGTTCATGTACCACAAATTGGTCATACACGAGAGAAACGAGTGTACGTGGTAGGTTGATACGTAACCAACTTGAGGAACTACAATGTTAGCTGACTGACACATAGAGCGATAAATAGAGAAGTAGTAGTATGAGTGGGGGTAAGAAGTGCTTTTCTAGTGGTAATGTTCAGCTAAACACATGATGTTTGACGAACGTAGATGAGTTTTGTGGTGGCACAGGGGTCGGGCGGGAGTGGTGACGCTTGCGCTCGAAGGCCCTACATAAGTATCGCAAGAACGCGCCAACGTCAGTTCACAAGGTATTTTATCAGCATAGAGTCAGTCTAGTCTCTCTGTGGCTCTCTAGCTAAGAGAGAAGTGCACTGTTGTTCCCTGTGATAAAATCGATCGAACCACATTCGAAGAAGAAGGCGGCAATCCCGTTGACGGTGAGTGTTCTCTACGTGTGACTGAGATTAGTTTGGTGTAAACTTTACCCTAAAAGAAAAAGCAAATTATGACAAACAGTCTGATACGAGTGGGATTATATTATTTTTTTTCCACATCTTTGCGTGGTACATACATACTTTTGTCTTTCGTATTTCACGTCATCGTCTCGTGATGTAAATTAATCCGCGTTTATTTAGTCTTAATTTCCTTTCCACACCACGTATATTGGATCCGTGCTTACGTAGGTTCTCAAACGGGGTTATCAAATCATTTTGGACCTTTGAACTCCTTGACTCTTCTTATCATCTTGTATTCCTTTTAGGCGTTGATTCGATACATTTTGATTTTGATGGTTTCTTCACAAAGTCTAAGACCTTTTGCATTAATCTGAAAAACGTATGAGCATTAATGATCGTACGAGAATCTGTATAATTAAAGTGTGTGCAACTAGTGATAAAGAAATTGTTTGATAACATTTTTAATATTCATTCTTAACAAAAGTATTCTAAATATATCTTTTTTATTCCCTCGCACTAGAGATAGGACAGGATAACGCAAATTTCTTAAGATCTCTTAGAGTGTCAGATAAAAGGTAAAATCTTGAAAGAAATCTGTGCTAGATTGATTTCTTACTGTATCGTATAATCAGTATGATGATAAGTTCGTTTGCCAATGGCTCGAGTGATGGCAAAGTAGTGTAAAAAAAAAATAGAAAGAAGAAAAATAAAGAAAAAGTCAAGCGAGGCGAGTGGAAGCCCTCTAGGTTCCAATTGGTCCTGGTATTCGGTTGATCAAAATCCCGTTCTCTAGGAAGAATCGCAAGTTTGTTTTCACGAGTCACCATGGAGACTCTGATCGATTCCACGATTCACATTAGGACTACGCTCACGCTGACTTGAAAGTGCCCTTTTTTTCCTCTGCTATTGTGTCCTTAAAGTTTAGTCAAATCCTATTCCCGATGTTCTCACCCTATATTTTTTCTGACGTTTCAGGTCAAGGACCTACCGTTCGTTTCACCTAAATAATTTGGTAGCAAATAGAGCTCGTACGCCCATCTGTATACCTGCATGCGGCTCCTGCTCACGAACTGCTTCTGACACGCACCTCGTTCTCTGAATTCATTACACCTCAACTCCCTCTAATTTCATTAATCCATTTTTTTGCCATTCTACGATACACATTTTGCGGCATCGATTTCCATTGATATCAGTCAAGAAGGCAGATTTTCATTAAAAAGTCAAACAATCTGGTATTTGTGGCAGCCAAATTCCTGGAACACCATAAATTTTGTTAAAAACATATTTTTTTTTGATTGCGTAAGATAATTCCTTATAAGTACACTTATTTTTCATATAGATGACGACGCATCCAATATTGGTAAACACATTTATGTCATGCGACAGAATTTTGTTTTTCGAGTTATATGAATTTGACGGTTCAATGGAAAAAAAAGTGAAATAACAACAAAATTCTAGAGCCACGCGGGATTCATGCTTGCTTTAGAGAAATCTCTAAATATGTTTACAAGGAAATCTAATTCCGTAACACGGTATTAGGCCATGCAGAAAATTATAGTGGATAACAAAGATTGTTTGTCACTGATAAGATTACCGCTACGATAAGAACTACGAAAAGATGCTATATATGTGTATAGATTACTATCAGACTATAGGTATACCCTAGATTCTCAATAATATTCACATTGTGAATCATACTTTGTATGTCCATTAGTTGTTTAATATAGCGATACGCTTTAATGTTAAGATTAGCGTTTAGCTAAGATAGCTATTATCACTGATAATTACGAAAGTCTTGCTTATCATTGTTCGAAAGATTGGATGGAAATTTTTAACTCTGAAATACTCCTATATACAATATAAATTTCTCATATATGCTGAATTCATTATCAACAATCCTATCTATTAAATTTGTATCTGTACCAGAGAATAGGATGCTTTGAAAAATTATCCCTGATAATTAGCGTTGGAGAGAGAAAGAGAGAGAATCAAATATCAAAAAATACTTTTCCCTGTTTATCGTGGAGCCTTGAATCTCGTCAAGGATCGATTTTATCAGGACGTGGCCTCTGACATACGTCGTTACAAGGCTTTAATTTCCGATGGTTCGGTTCTACATTTATTTCTTCTCTTGCTCCCTTCATCACTCTCCGTCGCTTATCTTGATGAAGCACCGAAGGTAGTTCATCGATACGATTTATGAGAATCGTTCAACAAGTAAAATATAAATATCATTTTCCTTGATTCTCAAACACTGATACGAATATGGCCTTTCCAGAATGTTAACTCTGCACGTGAACTATTTTCTCTTCTCTTGCTTTTTTCCTACGAAGCCACGCACGTCTCTTTCATTGATATTTCCGAGTGCGTAACGCCAATTAAAGATTAATTAACGTACGGGTGGGGAACTCGTTAATCAAGACCAGCCTAATCCCACTACGTCACAATTAGAAATGTCGTTGTAAATATTTAGCAGGAGTCGCTTACGTTCTTCTAGCATGATCGCATTATTGACAGTAGGTAAACAAGTTGATATCCGGTCAGCAAAGTCGTCCATCGTTTTTCTGAAAAACACGCAGAATCAGTAAACAAGTATTGGAAAACATGCGATAAAAGAATTTCAAGATTGTCTTAATCATTAGATGCCACAAACTTTCGTTAATTAAAATGATGCCCAGGTATGAGGATAGATTCCTTTGACAAAGTTCTAACTTTAGTACCAGAGTATTGTAATGGGAAAGAATTTTCACGCATCAGGTTTACTCGTACTCCTCCTGGAAATAATGACCAACAATTATTTTTACTTCAAAATAAATACCGAAGACGAATCCCATGCTTTTACATCATAGTCGGTATCTCGTCATGCAACGGAAACAGGTTTTTGACCCGACATTTACTCCGCCTATACCCAAACGTGTATAAATATCATCCAGAAATCCTGGAAATTTCCTAGCGGTTCTTAAAGTGCAAAGATCACTTCGAAACTTCATCTCGCACAGCAAACTTTTCGAAAAATGATCGATTTCCTTTTCCTTTGTTTCATGATCACAATTTCACAGTAATTTCTATTCTATCAATATTAGTACTGGATATTCAGTAAAAAAAATTAATGAAAATTTATATTAATGATATTGCATCTTGTCACAGTAATGAAAACCTTGTAAATGACAATATAACAATAATAGCATCCATCCATAAATAATTCTCTGCGTGTACTATCGTGACGGCCTTGGCATTGAAACGAGCAACATACATAGTGATCGTACGTAAATACAAACGTGCATAGAAGAAAAAGCCTTGAAACGCCAGCGGGAAATACTTGGCAGCGACTGAGACACTTCCTGGCTCGAGATGCGTCCCAGTCATTAGGAATCGATCTTGATCAGTCGCTCGATGTACTCTCGACCAGTCGATTCAATTGGAAATCTCGATCACTCTAAAGATAGTGAGTAACTCCTCGTTGACTCCTTGGCCCCCTGAAAATACAATTAAGAGAATTTTTAATAATTGTTATTAGCATGATCCAAATACCTTGTGTACGACATTCTAATCGATACCTTATTGATGAAATTGAACAATGGTACCATTGGTATTGAATATGATAATACGATAACAAAGCTTGTCCTAAGTTTTCCCATGCGTCAGATTAGTTGGATACACGTCACCTTCGTTAGAGCTTTGCCAATACCATTGCTACTGAAAATAAGAGTTAAATATAGTAGCTAGGGGAAGAATCCACAATATCAAAATATACAAAGACACTGAGAAGAAAGGAGAAGTTTAAAGTGTTGGTCGACAGTGAGAGTTCTAAGCCTCTGCTAAGATGTCCGGCCACTCTTGAAATAGAGAGCAGCCCTCTCCTAGCCGGCACGAAAATAAGAAACAGACAGCAAGGAAATGCAACAGGCATGGAGGTCAGTAGCTGAGCAGCCGAACAGCTGAGTAAATTCAAAAGCTGTTCGTAGCCATGTGTCAAACGGAATTCTAACGCCCAAGATCCAGCTACGCCCTTCGAACATCAGCTGTTTCTCTGAATAACTTAATGCAATACGTACACGTTTGGTATAAGATGGAGTATTACTATGTACATTGACTGTATATACTATGCTCGATAAGACTGAATATTTTCTTTGGACGAGTAACGAAGCTCCCTGATTACTATGTGGATATTAGGGCTTCAGTTTAATTTATCATGAGCGACGGATACTGTGACAAGGCTAGATGAACATATTCGGTTGTCTCTTGTCACTGGAAAATACCCAAGGAATGAAGCGAAAAAGGCAAATAAAATAATACTCTGTGGTTGGCAAATACTGTCGGTTACAGCTCTTTTTTAATCATTGTACCAGTCATATGTCAGGGCAACGCGACAAAATGTCTCTCTGTTGGGGGGCTTATGCGATAATTTTATTTTTTCTACTCCTCGGGTCCTTATCGTTTAATGGAACTTTTGATTCGGACATCGCCTACGCTACTACTCGAGGATTAAGTAACTAGCGTGGTAATTTACGCCGGACATTTTTTTTCTGTCGTCTGTACTACTGACAGGAATGAATTCCAGTAACTCAGAACAAGCCAATTGGTACTTATTAACATTTTTTTGCAAATTTATACTTAATACCTTGACATGATTCTTTAGTTCTAAAAAGTTATATAATGGAAGACTTGACTTTATAAAATTAGACTTTATTAATCTACTCAGACCACTTCATTTACACTTTGATTTCTATTACATAACCTATCGTTGAAAAGAAAAAAACTGACCTTACTCAATGTCTAGCTTACTCCTATACAGATCGAATCAAGCACTTTGAACGATAAGTAATCGTTCACAACACTGATTATCTGACAATAGTCAATGTCAATAAGGTATTTTGAATACAGAAGTAAGGTAGAAATCCAGTATTCCTTAGCGACACTTATGAGAAACAGCGACAAGCTGTCTCCGTTGAGGAGCACCAGATGCATCTGTTATGTTTCTTTAATAACGTTAGTGAGTCTCTACAATTCCTGTGCCGTTCACAGAATCAAGATAAATGCAGACGCAAGCGCGTAAGATAAACTGTCGTTGGAGCAACGCGTAGTAGAGGGTGAGCAGCCGAAAATCCATCGAAAAACAGAAAGCCAGGTTAGGGATGGGTTCCCGGCGAGTTTGTGGCGTCCGGGAGGGGCGCCTATATAAAGGCAGGCGTCGCCGCCTTCGTCAGTGCGTTGCTCTCACGGCCGAGTTACTTCAGGAAACTAGAGTTACACAGCCGCACGAATTGAATTTATATTTTCACGTCTAATTGTGTCTTTGTCAAAATTGAGACGCAAAGAAATTGTTGAATATCGCCAAAAACTCGATAGCACGTGTAGCGTGTAAAGCGAGCGTGATATACATATCTAACTCTATATCTATATACCTATACAGTATCGAAGAGTGTATTGTCTTTTAATCGGGTGACGTTTCTGGCAATCTGGCATCGTTAATTAAAGTATACTCCTCTAATTGGTACCGGATCAAATAGATACAATGAGCTTCAAAGTTCTGATAAAGATTTGCGAGACAGGCATCTTCCAGCGCGTCTCTGGACAGAAGCCAGGATGGATTTCTGTGGCAAGGTGCTTCAGGTGAGTCGAGTATAAAGAGAGAGTTTGACTTTTTCCAGAGAAATTCTCTTACGTGCTTGGGCCTTCATGAAAAATGTCGCTGGGCTCAGCTGGGCTGGCTTTATAACACATATACGATGAGGATAGGAAGCATTCAGATTTTTTTAGCTCCAGTTATTATGAATATAGTTTAGTTCACCTTCACACTGTTCACGAAGGATATGAGATAGCATTACTCAGATAAGATGAATATGTATACTACTTTCCTACTAACTTGTTGAGTTTTATACTGACTAGTTTAAATTCTCTCGATTCATTATGAAATTACATGTCCTAAATTCGAGACCGTTATTAAGTCTTGTTAATTCAACTGGTAAAGCATATGTTTATATTATCTACTTATCTTATACAGATGTTTACAATGGCAGAGGACACGAATAACAGAACATTCGTGGAGAACCTTCAATTTAATGTTTCCTTTGTTTTAAAATGGAGTAGTAGCACACAGAATTCAGTATCCGGGTGCTGTAATTAAAAGGAAAATATTTCGTTATGACGGATAGAAAAAAAACTTATTACCGACACACTGCAACCTTCGCAAGATTTAGAAAATTATTTTTCACGCGTGAAATCGTGCATGAATTGATATATTGCGAAGTCAATGCCTATCGGTATTTATCAGCCAATATGAAAGGGCAAAATGGGGTCATTCCATGCACAATACCAATACATTATATCCTAAGTTAATTTAACATTAAATCATCATAAAGTGCTAAATTTGACTGTTCTCGAAAATATGTCAAAAAAATTTATTATCAATCGGATGAATACCCTGATAAGTCAATGAGATAGCAGATTTTATTATGGAAACTTGATAAAGAAAACCATATTCATTTGGTCCACCATTTCATACCTATCTAGATTATAAAATAACAAATGACGTGACCTATCTCCGAACGATAAACACTCTAAACAAAATTATGAAATCTGTACTGGTTCTTTTTTGGATAAACTCATCAGGTGCATTATCGATATAATAACTCAAGGCAACTATCACTATCTAAACTATAAAACAATTATACAATCATTTCCATAATGACATTAACATATCATAAGGAACTAAGAATTTCATCGAAAAGGTTAACGAATGATATTTCAAAACAATACCATTCTCAGGCATGCTGGATTGCACTTTCAGTTCATGCGTTCACTTACAATGGTACTGAATATACATACATAGCTTGTATTTATGGTGATGACAGATCGGTAATAGACAGTGGCAGTGGCTCGGGTCATGCTTGATTAAAGGAAAGCAGGCGCACCAATTATGAATACGAAAGGTCGGCCGTCGTTTAACGTAAAATTTCAAAAGAGAAAAAATGAAAATTAGGAGAAGCAGAAAGAGAAAGATATATAAGCGCTGTTCGTTAAATGCTCGTCATAGCATTCACAAGGTATCCAACGTGGATGAAGAGTTGCGCATATATCGTGCATGCATGGAACACGTGCCTTATGCGTGTTATGTATATCACACTCCCGTGTGCGTTTAAGTGTTAATGGTTACACTATGGCACTGTGGGTGGGTGTGTATACGCCTTCATATGCATTGCTGCATGGATCGGACATTCCTACAGCTTGATACAGTAGCCAAGAAGTGTCATGGAAGAAAACTGAAGAATGAGTTGAATTAATTAATAAAAAATTACGGATGACGCTTATCCATGCTTATAAAATTATTTTAGGTTATGATATCTCGTTTACTGCCTTACCTCTTCATGGAAACAGCTGTTGCTTCTGATATTATGTTTCTATTTGTTTGTATCATAGTGCCCTAGTCCCTATTTTTGTTTGCAAGGCTCTTGAATCTAACTTCCATATGCAAAAGTAGCCAAAGTCATACCCATTTCATAAATCTAATATTAGAGTTGGCGTTCTATCAATAACCGCGACACGTCCTTACTCGTTTGACGAGGCGATAACATTATTTTTATGAATATGTATCGATCGTACCGGGTTTATTTTAGTTCTTACATTTCTCATTATTCGTAGGGCAATCTTATTTATGTGACACTACTTTGTTCTCTTGGTGTTCTGCAGGCGAATGTATTTACCATTTAGTTTAGCAAAATATGCACGAACAACTAACAACACTGTATAGAATATGACTGTACACCACCGTATACATATGCTACTGATTCTTTGTATCCATCATGGAATAGTACTGAATATGTTACATGAAAATTTAAAGTTTGTCATTGTCTTTACAGCACCACTATGTCTCGTACCGTGCTCAAGGACTCGCCAAATGCGGCCCTCGACAAGTCTCTCCTACAGCGTTATATAGATCTTCCTCAGCCAGATAACAAAGTGCAGGCGAAATACATCTGGATTGATGGAACAGGCGAGGGACTTCGATGTAAATCAAGGACTCTGGATTTCATTCCGAAGGATCCGAAGGGTGGGTATCGTTGCTGTAGATAATATGAAAGAGTAGTGGTTAAGATATATAGAAAATGTATGAGAGATACAGTAAACAAGCTTTCCTTAACCTTTGTAATATCCCCTTCTAGTTAATTATCAGAAAACAAAAGATTTCTCAAGTTTGCTTCAGAAACGATAAGACCAATCTTTACACGTTTGTTAATGTACTTTGCGTTTTGCTGCAACAGAGTTATATGATTGTACGTTTAGTTCTGCCCGCGTATTTTATCTTCGCAGTAAAATCATGGAGAAAGTTTTTATCCTACACACGTTTACCTTAAGTCTTGACCGGTTTCTTAATTTCTTTATGTGGATATGGCTGTCCCATGTTCTTCGTCAAGCAGACACGATCGACAAGTTTTGAAACTTTATGGACAATAACCGTTGGAATTATCTTAAAGGAGAGAAGAAGGGTTTCCAATAGATTGCGTTCTTAAGGACTGATTCTCATCGCGGTTTAAATTAAAAAGTGAGGAAATGTCAGCATAGAAATAGATATAAAAATAGAACGTTACGAATACATTTATTTTGCTTTTTCTTTGTCTGCTGTTAGCATCCAAATATAAAATGTCTATTTTTTATATCTGCGCCGATAGATTTAATATATGAAAATCGCAGAATACTAGAAGTGTTTAGTCTGTATGCTGCACACTCTGTCTCATGGAGCTTTGTCTATTTATATTTTCGTTTAGCTAGCCAAATTTGTCTAATATCATTCTTCTTTCATATTAAGTGAACTTTCGACAATGTCCCATAGATTTACAGTTCTGTTTAAATTATTTTAGAATTACCTATGTGGACCTATGATGGCAGTTCAACGTATCAAGCTGAAGGAGGCAACAGCGATATCTTCCTGTCTCCAGTAGCAATCTACAACGACCCATTCCGTCGTGGAAACAACAAGTTGGTTCTATGCGATACCTATACCAGTGACAAGACTCCAACCAAATCCAATCGACGATATAAGGCCAATGAAGCCATGGAGGCTATCAAGGATGTGGAACCATGGTTTGGCATCGAACAGGAGTACACGTTCTTAGACTTCGATGGCAGACCTCTCGGTTGGCCCAAAAACGGTTTCCCAGGTCCACAGGGCCCTTACTACTGTGGTGTAGGAGCTGACAAAGTTATCGGCAGGGAAATCGTTGAAGCTCATTATAGAGCTTGTCTTTATGCTGGAATCAACATTGCTGGCACTAATGCTGAGGTTATGCCTTCGCAGTGGGAGTTCCAGGTTGGACCATGTGTTGGAATCAGTGGTGGCGATGACCTCTGGGTTGCCAGGTTTCTCTTGCATCGTATAGCTGAAGAATATGGTGTGATCGTTACTCTTGATCCAAAACCTGTTGAGGGAGCATGGAATGGTGCTGGAGCACATACGAATTTCTCAACCAAGGCAATGCGTGGGGAGAATGGCATTGCGGAAATTGAAAAAGCTATTGATAAGCTTAGTAAGAAACATTTGAGACATATCCAGGCCTATGATCCTCGTGGAGGAAAAGATAACGAGCGTCGCCTCACTGGACATTGCGAGACCAGCAGTATACATGACTTCAGCGCTGGTGTTGCTAATAGGAATGTCAGTATTCGTATTCCTCGCGGTGTGGCCGAAGACAAAAAGGGATACCTCGAAGATAGAAGACCTAGCAGTAATTGTGATCCCTATGCAGTTTGTGAAGCTTTGGTGCGCACTTGCGTTCTAAATGAGTAAATTGTTCCTTTCTTCAAATACTGCATTATTTTAAATACTCCAAACATCGCAGTATTTTAAGAAAGATGTTATTTATAAGGATGAGTTAAGTATTTACTCATTAAGGAATTCTATAAGCGCACTATTATCCCCTACATGAAAGTGCTCGTTTGTTACGTTATTAAATAAATCGTTCTAAGGATATTTAATAGAAATTTCATCTTTTTACTCTTCTTTCCCATAATTACCAAATCTTGAGTTTTCGCTCAAAATTCTAATTATTATTTTTATCACAAAATACTGAGAGCTTCGTGAAAAAGAATATATTCTTTATAACTTTGAGTTTATGTAATATTATTGAAAATAGGATGAAATGCTGCATTTATCATTATATAGAGCCATATGAGTAACTTCAATAGTATATGTAGCAACGTTAAATAATTATTAGATTTTGAAGATTCTTTGAAAATCTATAACTAAGCCTTCATAGCAGCCTTCAACTGTGCCTGCTGAAACTGTTGTTGAAGTTTCCCCAAGACATCCCGTTGCGTATCTTGCTTTTTGTCCAGGCTTGCTATCAAGTCTTCAGTACGTTTTCTACAAAGGACACCATATGAACATACTCTAATATCATACAGATGTCAGTTGTATTAAAGAATGACACATTATAGTTACTTACAATTCTCCAGAAATGTATTCCATTCTCTTGGCAACATTTTGCTTAGCCTCGTCCAATTCTTGTTTTACGAGTACAGGACCAATGAGTTTGAAAACCTCATTACCAGATTTTAACAAATCTAATTCCTCCTTCACAGCTGTATTTTCATTAAGCTGTCCATCCAATTGTTGTCTCTGATTAAGAGCTTTGTGGTAATCTAATTGAGAGAAATTGCAATGAAATAGCAGATAAATAATAAAGGTATAATTTTATTGCCATGTACTAACCTTTTTGAATGTGTTTGAACTTGTCAAGTTCACTTTGTAGTTTCTTTTGGAGTTCCTCAACCATTTTTTCGTGCAATACGAGAGAGATAACTAATAATAAATGCACAACGATGTTCCTGACTTATATGGTTATGAAGCGTTGGCTACAAAATCAACTTGAATCAACGGAGTCAACTTCAAACGTAATTTCAGAGACGAGTAGAGAGATGTACAACGTTACGGTTTTAGGCGATACCAAAAACATAGCGCTGAATCAGAGCGGCGAATCCGGAAGCAGAGTTTCGTGATCATCGCCTTCGTCGATAATGTGGATCCCGTCGTAACCGAGCTGACCGCAATCACGAACGTGTGGATTAGTGTGGATTGGCAGGTACAGGTTCTCCGCTACTTATCGCTCGTTCCCGAAGCAACACTTAGAACGAGGAAGCTCATCGGACATAGCCTAAATATTTTTTCTTTGCAATCCTAAGTTTGAGCGCACAGTATAAGCTCGGTAAGTTTAATATGACAAAAGCCAGCAACTCATGCCTGCCTGCACTGAAGTGTATGATGCTACCAGTATATTTAATAGATATTTTACCGATGTTGCGTAGCAGAACTATTGTTAAAACCTATCAGGAACTATAGAACTCCTCAAGAACTATTGAAAAAGTGTACTGTTGAAACATTTTTAAGAAATTGCGGTGCCAACTTCATACCCGTGCAACACCACAATATTTGGAAAATGATTCATCAATAGGCTTTTTCAATAGTTCTCGAGCAGTTCTATAGTTCCTGATAGGTTTTAACAATAGTTCTGCTACGTAACATCGTTTAAATATGAATTTTTCAAAAATTGAGGTGGTACACGGGTGTGGAGCTTCAGCACCGCACGTTTTTAAAATTTTTTAACAAAGAAAATCTCAAAAATTTTAAATCTTTTTACTCTCGTCTTCATGCTTGGGATATTGACAGAGAGCAAAAGAATATCAATGTGTATAAGTGTTTAAAGATAATTTATTCGACAAACGCAATAATGATACAGTATACAAAATACAGATGTATATATATAGCTAGCGAAAGATTAGTAATAACAATGCCATTAGAGATACATTTTAAATATATCACTACAAATATAATATACGTGTGGTATGTTATATGCGCTACCACTTTGGACTTTTCTTTTTCCAAACGATTTTTTTTAACAACTTAGTTTTGAATGATATAGACATAGGAAAGAATAGGAAACTTAAGAAATAGAGTGGAAACGTTTGGTGGCAGCAGATAGGGTAGATGTTGTTTAGAGAAAAAGAGGAAGATTGAATACGAGAATTGATGAGAACCACAAAATGAGAGCCATGCTGGGATCCTACATGTGAATGGCCGGAACGCCGAACTGGACTGCACAAAGTTTCAAGGCAGGTAAAAGCAGGTTACTTCAGAATTGTATATTCAGAGATGAATTTAGTTGGCGTCAGAATATCAAGGGAATTGACAAGATTCAGTAAAGTTAAGAAATTGTTCCTTGCAAATGGAATTATTCACTCAAATGGAGGTTTTAATACCGTTAAACGTTCTAAAGTTACAGCCAGTGACCCATTCAGAATAGGAGTAACATCCGATAAGAAGGATGAGGAAGAACCTATTGGACCATTTGGTTTTTTCTTGTTGGCAAGTATCCTAAAAATTATTCTTTTCATATTATTAATAATTGTTGAGTCTATTAAAAACATTTACAATGATTTCACAGGGTTTTCCATTGGTCACTTTAGGCCTTGGAACATGGCAAGTTTACAGACGTAAATGGAAACTGGAATTAATAGAGAATCTTAAGTCAAGGACCACTTCTACTCCCGTAGAATTTCCAGAGGAGTAATAAGTGTTATATTATTTTATCTGTGGAACAATTTCATAAATGTATTTGGTTTATTATATTTATTCATTATATTGCAGTTACTATGAGCTTGAATCAATGGAATATTATCCAGTTAGAGTAAGAGGTGAATTTTTACATGATAAGGAATTTACTATAGGACCTAAGAGTCTCATTGTGGATGGTGCAGGCGCATCTGAAGGTAAAAACGCTCTAATTACTCAAGGACAAGCTTATACTGGATACTATGTTATTACTCCTTTCAAGTTACAAGATCGAGAGTAGGTATTTTATAAAGTTTCTATATTCTTTATCATATTTCTTATCAAGAATTAAAGTTATATTATAATTCTTATATCAGTTTAACAATACTTGTAAATCGTGGATGGGTATCCCGCAAAAAGAAAAATCCAGTAACAAGACCAGAAGGACAAATATCTGGTCCAGTAGAGATTACAGGTATCGTGAGGCTCAGTGAAACCAGGCCCCAATTTATCCCAGAAAATAAACCAAATGATGGAATATGGTACTATCGGTAAATAATTTATAGTCTAACACGTTAATAGATAAGTAGTAAATAGAGTAACGAACTGTCCATTTATAAAAAGGTAATAAATTTTAGAGATTTGGATGCCATGTCTGAATTAACTGGTGCTGCTCCAATCTATCTGGAACAAATATATGATGAAAGTGTACCTGGTGGACCAAGAGGTGGACAGACTCGAATAACATTAAGAAATGAGCACTTAAGTTATATGATTACCTGGTACTCCTTGTCAGCTATCACTTCATGGATGTGGTATAGACAATTTATCCAGAAACTACCGCTACTTTAGTCTTATGGTACATAAGTCTACAGTATTTTCACCATTTCGTTTTCTTATATTTAAATGATGTAAACACACACATCGAGATACGTGATAATAATCAGTAGGATTTTCAAAAAAGTATATCTTTATTGATTTTTCATTACTCTTTCACTGTCTCGCCAATATCGTTACGTAGAACATTCGAAATGGATACTGGAATGTGTTTTGCTTATTCCGCTCGTAAAATCCTCACGAGAAAATCGGTTAAAATCATGAAGAGAACAATCGTCATTCAAATAATGCTAACTACAAGTACATAGGATAATGCGCCGTAAGTCTAAAAAACAGATTTCGACTGCGACAAGGTAATGCTAATAAAAAATATATAGGTTCTACGACGAAGCTAGGAGTATGCACAGTCACATCTTTTTTTTCGACAAAGTATTCGGTAAGAATAGTCACTATGAAACACCCACAGATACGTTCCAATATTTCTTATCACAAGGGTAATACATATTCTAGAGTGGAGTGGAACGTTCCAGCTCTTTACAATAATAAAAAGATGTAAACATTTTAAAGAAAGAAAGGATATTCCTTAAAATTCACAGTGGGGTTCTTCGTCACTTGTGCATTCTTACGTACATGTTACTTGTGTTGTAATGCATATACCAGGGACATTGGACCTTTATATAGAATCTAACAATTGAATATTTTGCATCTATAATATAATAGCGCCCTTTATATTCAATGAGTTGGATAACTCTTAGATGAAATACTAACTAAAGTCCCTGTATTTGTCATTATCTTTTATTTGATTATCTAGCATCCCTTCGGCATAACGGCGTCCAGCTGTTACTTAATTATTTATTTATAATTATTAGACTCTCTCAAACCCAATGAGATTCTCATGCATTTCGATAATGTATTATTATAATGTTCACATTACGTCGATTGGATATTACACGACGAAATACATGTAGAACAAATCTCACGGTTAAATATATCAGGGAGTACATATTGTGTAGACGCGATGAATGGCGTTTGATAAACTATATTATAACGCTTGATAAATTTTATACTCTGTGGATATTAAGCCTAGCTTTCGTCATTTTCCATTTATTTCATTAAATATAGAAGATCTCGGCATTGTCGAATTTGAATGATTATATTTACTGATTAATGCGATACTAAATACTATCATTATGGCCTTTTTAATTCATTTCTGTTATATCTGGATATATCCTGCTTATAAGGGCCCTATTTTGGGTACAGCTTATGGTGAGTGACCCTTATTGAATGACTCCATGGTACAACATAATTTATAACGGTTTAAGCTTATTGTATACTTGTCAACAAGAGAGCACGCATTTACTTAACATATCACATTTAATAATCTAAGGACTTTCTTATGATCTTTCAGCAAGGATTTTAGTGATTTCTTTAATATACTTTTATTCTTTATCATTCAAGTATAGAATGACTGGCCGTTCAAATTAGTTTCCCTGGCGTTTTTACATGATATTTTTGTACAACAGCCTCGCATTTGAAGATTCATCGATTATTATAATAAGATATTATTTTAGTTTTTTTACTCGCATTTCCCTTCTCTTTTTGGCACAATTCATAAATCCTTGGAAGGAAGATCAGTTCTGAGATTACTTAAGAAAAAAAAACCCATGAATATTAAATGGTTATAGAAACGTTCATTTAGAGCTGGGCCACATTTATGTTCAAGATATTCTCAATGTAATCTTGGCAGTGTCGATAAGACATTTGTGGAATTAATCTGCTTAAGATTCTGAACTGAAATATCTTTACTAAAGGTGTTACTGTGCGATAAGGTGGCCCGTTTTATATATAATATCTATACATAGTCGAGTTTTTAAAATCCAGAATCGGAGATAATATTCCTAGATTTTTTTTTTAATAAAATTTGATATGAAGCGAACAACTATAATGTTCTCGGAGTCGTGTTATTGCAAGATGAACTCTTACCAATCTAGTGAGTCTTAGCCGGACCTGAGGCACGCTGATCCTCCATACGGCCAGCCTGGAGCCTTTGGATCAAGGCAAAAAGATCTTCTTCTGGTACTGTCGCACCTGATTGAGTATTTCCATTAGATCTTTGGTTCTGTTCCTCTTCCGCATCGTGTAGCGTCGAAGCAGTTGGAAGAGGACTTCGCTGATCCTCCAATCGAGATCCCTACAAGACATATAAATAAATATCTTGGTTAATTTCTATTTATTGACTTTTATTCCTGAGTCTGAGGACATATTGGTGAAGAGGGCCAACTTCTATGTGCACCATGTCTTAACACAGTAAATATAAGGCATTTCAATCCTCTCCAAAATTTCTATGCTAGTTCCAGCATATATCCCGTGCTCACTGAGACCACCAGTGCCAGACCGTGCTCACCAGACACAAAAGTCTGGAAGACTGGCCTTCTTCACTAGTGTCTCATCGGAGTTCCTCATCTTCCTTACCTGGCAGCGTACGAGCATCTCTATGAAAGAATCGTCAGTATCCTGTTGCGGCTGCACTGCCGTTCTGTTGATCGCTTGATTATTCCTATTAGTATTCAGTCCAGGTAAGTAAGGTAGCGTTACTCGTTGCTCATCCATTCTCTTGCTCTGCATTCCTGCGATAAGTTCCAAAAGGTCTTCGCCATCTCTAAATATGAAGAAAAAAAATAAGGTAGAACATTTGCATTAGTGAGTGTTACTATGTTGGTAAATCTTACTTTTCCTTCTCTGGCGATGGTATCCTGGGCCTTGGGCGAGGTTTCCGATTAGCATGTAATGCACACCGCTGATCATCCATTCTACCAGATTGGAAACGCGAAAGAAGCTCAAAGAAATTCTCCTCTTCTTCTTCTTGGGATGGCTGAGGTGCTATTCCTGCTCTAGCTGGTGGTGGCTCGCCGGAATCTTTCTGCTTTCCATCAGGCGTCAACTGCAACATACCCAACGAAAGATTATATATGAAAGACTCATTAAGAATTTCTACAAGGGTGTTGTACCTTAATAAGATCCAAGTTGTCCATGCTCTGTCGACGGAGTCTGTACCTTCCTGGAGATGAGGCTGCCATACTGGATGCTGTATTCGTGGATAGTAAACGTGTTGTTCCGTTACCTTTGTCCGCATCCAGTTCACTTTTTTCCATTCCTAAGATTTCTTGCAGACCTGCGACATTCATCTGTGCTGTTGCTTGTCCCATAGGATCACCAAGTTCCTTGGAAATATTCAGATGTAGATTAGCAAAGTGCAATGCCTTCTCATGATTGCCCATTGCAGAATACGCGTTTCCTAAAGACCAACAGGCGCGACCTTCTCCGACGCGGTCCATTAGCTGCTGAGCAATCACCAGGTGTCGAAGATGATATTCCACAGCAGCTGGATAATCCCGTAAAAGAGTATACGTATTCCCTAGGGAGTAACAGGCTTGTGCCTCCACGGCTCTATCTCCTAGCTCTTGTGCTAGGATCAGTGTTCGCCTGTAAGAAAATTTGTCTTAGTTCCAAACATCGAGAAGAAGCAACTGACACATGAAATCTTAAAATCTTTATACTTGTAGTGTTGTGCAGCCTTTTCAAATTCACCCAAAAATATGTGAGAATTGCCAAGATTACTATTAGCTCTTCTTTCAGCTGCTTTGTCACCAAACTCGCGAGCAATTTTTAGTCGCTCATTATGATAGTGAATCGCCCGTTGAAAGTCTCCTAGCAAGTAGAATGTGTTTCCCAAGTTTCCACAAGCTCTTCCTTGAGCGGCTGTATCACCGAGTTCACGCATGAGCTCTAAATTTTCCCTAAATAGGTGGTGGAGTATGTAGAGATATATTTGGATTGTAAAATAATAAGATAACTTACTCATAATAGTGCACTGCTTGCTGGAGACATTGTCTAACATCTTCAGAAAATTCTCCAGGATCTTGTTGACCAACTCTACCCACTTGCTTTCCTTTTGCGTGATACACATTGCCTAGGTTATAAAGCGCTCTTCCCTCACTCAACTGAAATAGATCATATAGGATTATTTTTAAAACTTATTACTACAATACTATCAATATTCAACAATCGATTTAAAGAATACCTTGTCTCCCAGTTCTCTAGAAATTTCTAAGTGGCGTTTACAGCATATCATGGCTTCATCAAATTTTCCCATGACTTTGAGTGTGTTTCCTAAGTTTCCACTGGACTTAGCCTCTCCTAATTTGTCTCCCATAGTTCGAGCAAGTGTAAGATCATGCTTATGATACTGCATAGCCTTTACATAATCTCCTAAATAGAAATAAGCATTTCCTAATTGGCTGTAAATGGCACTGAGAGTTCTCAAGTCATCGGTTCCAGCTTGAATAGCTGCTTGAAAGAATGCAACACCCGCTCTGCAATCTCCAGATTTACAAAGACGTTCTCCTTCCAATGCCAATTCCAAGCACATATTGCTATCACTGGCACCATTCTAAACAGTAAATCAAATATATGCATGATAAATATTTTATTGGATTTAAAGCAATCATAACTTAAAAACTTAGTGTAAAATGTGGGAGTAGGCACGATGAAGTATGAGTCATAGTGAGAATAAAGATAATTAAGTGAATCACTTACTTGGCCATCGCCAGATAAATTTTCAGCACTGGCACTCAGAGACATATTTCCTCTAAGTTGTAAATAATTGGGTCACTTTTTTGAGATAAAAATACAACGTTTAATGATGATTAACGTTCGGTTTGACGTGCGATAATGGACTCTTATACTGGGGCTGGTAGCCGGTCCTTCAATAAAGTGAGATTCCTAATGCTTCTCAATGCACACCATTTTTACAATATTCAACTTTCTCTGACATTATCGCCCGTAGTTCCACTAAGTTTATTTATAACGATACTTTTATATTGGAGGAAGGCGCGTCGTTCTACCACACGCCCAGCGCGTTCAATTTATTCCCTGCTTCGCATTGCTGTGAATAGAGGACTCTGAGCATTGATATGGATGTCTCTCTCACAGCAATGCACGGCTCTACTGGACTCTACACACTGCCCAGCACTCTAGCTTCGTATTCACACATGTAAGCTTGTGTTCCTAAACTTTGTTCCACGTTCTGGTGTACTTGTTACACTTCCAACATAATTAGAAAAGCAATAGGAATAGAAATAAAGACAACATAGAGAATACTTGTATTAGAATGCAATTTAGTGTGGTTATGAAGCAATATATCTTTTTAGTAGTAAACTATAAAATTGGATATTTTACAACAGGAAATAAAAATGACTGAACCTATCAAAGAATTGTTCAGTGTTTCTATTGCACCGCTAGTGACAAAGAGTTTTGCAGTTCGCTGGACTCAGGATAATCATATATCTGTTATTACTAAAAAGGGAGTTCATGTTTTTGTAAGTCTGTGAATGTCTGAGTTAACAGAGCTAGTTATTAATCAAGCATCTTGTTAATTTTATATCTAGGAATTAATTCCAACACCAACTCAGCCATGGCCAGTAGCCAAATTCTATCGGACCTTTGTTTACCCTCCAGAAAATATGCCAGCAATGGAATTTGTCTCAGTGGTGGAGGGTGCTCTGTGGAAAATGAAGAAGGAAGAAGTTTATTCGCTATTGATGGATGAAGCATTAACTCCATGCATTCCTTCCATCTCTGATTCTACTCCATTTATTACAACTACAGAATGGTCTCCAAGTGGTTTAATGCACCCAAGTAAATGTCTTTTAGGTATTGTTACCTCAGTAGGAGCTGCTGTAGTACTTTTCAATATTTCTACTAGTTGGTATCAACTCATTGACGTGTCTTCATTATGGTATACTCAAATTCAAGAAACGTTTCCTTCTTATTTTACGAATTCGTCAGACATCAAAATTTCACATTCAGTCTTGACAAAAAATCTCCGGCGTTTACAAGCTACCTGCATTACTTGGAGTAAATTATTTACGTCGAACAACTCTTGCTATGCCTACTTCAGCACTGCTTATCGAAGTTCTGATTTAGCAGTGTGGAAAGTTTTTAAGGTATCCCATCAAGCACTGGATGCAACTCCTACCCTTGTCTATACAATGCAGACAAATGTTGATTCCAAGATAAATTTGATGACATTTAATACTCTTAAAAATAATAAACATCTCTTAATCATCGGCTACATCAATGGCTTGATACATGGTGTTCTTCTCAACGAAACTGAGGGAACACTAAAGATGCAATCATGTCAAAAATACTATAATTGTGCAGATCGCATTTCTGTGAACTGCATAGAATTATTACATCAAGACCAATATGTGTCTAATATACTTATAACCAAAGGTTCCATTCTTATATTCTTAAAACTCAACTCAGATGGAATATTACTCGATATGCAACATATACAATTAGGAACCTTTTCAATATCAGGTACGTGTTAGAGTTTTTTTTGTGTGAAATAAATGCCTTTAATGACCTATTTCTTCAATCATAGAAAATTAAACAATATTTCCTTTTTGTAGGACTAACAGTCACTGGCAAGGATCAGGCTTACATAACTACGCAAGATGGTGCACTGATATCGTTATACATACAAAATACCAAGATAACAACTAAACGCATAAATCACAGTACATCCCAAGCACAGCTACAACAATATTTAGGACTATCATGTTCACCTAACAAAATATTATTTGTAAACGTGACTAGTCCCAATTCCATGTATGATCATTTGGTCATACGCGAGCCAAGCAAAGTTTCTCTATTCACTTTGGAAGCAAAGGAATTTGATCCAGTGTCATTATTATATGAAAACCCAAGCAGAACATTAAAAAATCACTGGGATTGCTTAGAGACAATTCGTTTGACGGCAGCAAAATCAGAGAATTTTTCAAAAGTTTTTCCAAAAGTGCCAACGAATCTAGAATCTCTACCTTTGTATGAACTCCGTATTGCCATGTGGATCTCAACAATGTTGGACATCTGCAAGAAGAAGGACCTTCTCAAGAGATCACAAATAGTGGTAGAGATATCAGAAGCTCAACCATTAGTGTTCATCCACTGCGCAATAGACATTTTGGAACGGCTAAAAAAGAAGACCTCGTTATCCAAGGATAATAAAATTTGCATACGTCTTTTGAGGTCCTACTTGGAGGTATATCTGGCCGGCGAAGAAGATGACGAAGATACAAACTTGACACAGTTAGTTAAAGAAACTCTTAAGGATACTGCTCATATGAGCACACCAGAGAATGAACTTTGTACTCTCTGTGGGGAAGTGATAAGCGATCTATCTTGGAATGTAACCCGCTGTCCTTCAGGACATCAGATTCCTCGTTGTGCACGCAGTCTGCTACAAATCTCGTCGGTACAATATCGCTCCTGTCCCTTTTGCGGATTACTCCTACATCCTTGGCTTGATGAGGAGTACGAGGAACCGCTCTGTCCATATTGTCAAGTGCCAGCTCTTTACGATGGACGCGTCCTCTCTGTCAGTGATACGAACGGAATACCTTTCTTGAACTTATCAGAACGAAGGAGGACTATACAGCCTCCTGGAAAGACTCAAGGGTCCGAAAATGTTAGTAAAGGACACTTACGTAGGCCTCGTACGTTTGCCGTTGTTGTTAATAACGAGGAGGATGACGCGTGTAACATTACGGAGACTTGGCAAGAATTTTAATTCTCTTGTAAGTCTATTTTTGTTTGTAACTTATAAAATGTTCTCAACCTTTTTTAAATTGTACATTCCTATCGAGGAAAAGTATAACAATGAAACAATGATTAAATTCATGATTGTATGTACAGATTATACGCATGTTCTTACAACATTGTACCCCTGCCGATAGGCAATATTTCTTCACTTGAGTTCAACTATATCAGTGGTTGCCTATTCGTAGGCATATTGTTTTTGACAAATTTCCACATTCAGGGGTTATACTCATATCTTTAGTACAGCTATATTATATTTATATGAATTTTACTTCTATGCAAGTTGTATAGAATCAATCTTTTTATAAGAAAATAAATAACGGCAACGAGAAAGTTTCACAGATTACTGTAAAGATGCGATTACATGTACTTCCTGGAAGGGAGGGGGGAATTGTCTAACAAACTTATAGGTTATCAGTCTGTTTCTGTCGAACGTATATCGAGAAAACAGAGACAGAATGAAACTCTGAAGTACGAAAGTTGGTTTTAGGACCCATCTATTGATTGCCTTTATCTACGGTCGACAGATGATATTGAAAAATGTCTCCTACTAAATGTAAATGTTATAGATGTAACATACATTTACAGGGGAACATAATTTGTGTAAATATAAAATTATTGAATGATTTTACATACAATTACTAATTAATATTTGAACTTTCAGTTGCAACATGTGAGGAAGTTTATTATCGAACAAACTTTCAGCGTGAACGTTGCCTAGAAATGCTATAAAACAAGAAGCAGAATTACTCATAACTGCATTTGTTTGTCAGACGGAACTCTCTACACGACGCATACCTACGACTTCTCTGTGCGTTACTATAAGTGCTAACTTAATGAATAATTTTCTTTAAGTACCACTTTATCTCTTTACCCGAATTATATCGCGGTCAAAATTATCGTGTTGAAAAGTAGTGCCGGTCATGTCTTTCTCTGAAGTAATTCACTGTAACGAAAATATTAAAAGTTTAATTCCAAAACCTGAGGTGACGCCTCCAGCTAGTCCAAGGTAAAAAAGAAACAATTAAAAATGAATGAATTAACACAATTATTAATACCTTTTCCTACATCATTCAAAACCATTCTGCTAATCTCCAGGTACGAGTCCAAATATCACAGGAAGGTTACAAAGGAAAGAGCAAGAAGTAAAAGTGCCCATCGCACCTTGGGAGTACCAAGTGTCACCTTGAATCCCCCTTCAGAATATTTAAAAAAGCGAACTCGGGTTGAACCCCGTAGAGATGACGTGAAGCACGTGCACTATCATCGTCCGGATTATCAGCACAAATTGCCATCCTGGGAACGAATAAAAAAACAGAGCAAATCTGAAGACGATTTACCGGCTCTTCCTCAGGATCCTTTGAAAACAGGCCGTATAAATTTCCCTAAGCAGAACATAATCAACGTTAAGAAGTCTAAAGCAAAGCAACCAAGAATGCGATACGTAGATACCCGTTTCGGCGATGCTCACGATTTGGTACCCAGCGGTCTCCTACCCTCTTACCTCTATAGAAAGGTAAGAAACGTACACTAAAAATCATCGATTGATAATAATCAAATCGAATTAATTGTAGGACTATGGTAAACCACCGAAGTACGTATTGGAGAAATTTAAGCAAAAGTCTAAGACTGTCAAGAGTGACAAGGATGGGCAAGGGTCATCGGTATCATTGGACGTGATGCACCCAAAGTGTCGCTACGTTACAGCACCAGAACGTGCCAATTTACTTTATGTAAATATTTCATCTATATATTATGATCTCAACTAAAGATACAAGTTGATTCTTCAAAAGACCGTATCTATTGTAAAAGTTATATTATACATTAACAGGGTATGAAGAAACGCTGGGAAGAAATGACGAAAGAATTTCAGTGCTTACCATTCCTGACGGATACACTACCGAAGGTTAAGAGGAAGACGAAGTTGGAAAATGATCTTCGTCAATTGGAGAAAGACATAGATATAATAGAGCGTCATCCTTACATATATGTGTATAGTGATACCGAAGAGGAATCCTGAATCCCATATTAGCAACCGTAGATCAATTTCAAATATAAAACGGCAAAGAAGTTTATACACGAAACAAGATCAAGAATAAAATATTTAAACCCCGTCGTAACTACCATACGAATAGTGAGAACCTGCCAACCGGCTGATTTTAATAAAGGAGAATTAAAGCAGCCTACGTGTTCCTAACTGGAATCATTGAGTAACTCAGAATGAGATCATTCTACAGTTTTTGGACTGCAGGTGGGGAATGAATCTATACGTACATCACCAATATATATGTATGTATATATATACCAGGTGATTCAGCCCAAACGCACCACCTGAACATGGTGTTAACATAAGACTCAAATGGACGCACTAACTTCAGGTGATGCGTTTTTACTGAATAACACTGTATACCTATATACATATATAAATAGGTAAATATCTATACACAGTCTAAATTGTGTTACTCCTCCTTTTTACGTACACAAATAATAATAAAGCAGCGCTCACACAAAATGTATCTCCGTAAGCATACTATTACTGTACTAGATAACTATAGTCGGGTCACAACATCAGCGCCACTTTCAGGTGACTTCTTTACATTGTTATTCGTAAGAAGATGGCCCTTTATAGTGGAACTGATGCCGCGGCCCGACTATATACGTATATTCACTGTGCGTGGAGAATGGGAGAATAGTGTTGTTATTCTGAGATATATATACGCATGTATACATATATGTTTGTATCCACAAGACTCATGGTCGTTTCTGGTGTGCCTATGTACGTTCTCCAGTGTATTATAAAACTTGGAGAGAACTGGATAGCCGGAGAGAACTGCGCACTGTTACGGCAAACAAGAACAATCCTCTCCGTCGGCTAAAAATTTGTTCAGAGTTTCGCACGTTAGTTATTTCAGAGCCGTGTAGTCCCCGTGGGCTTTGTTCCTAGCGGTAACTTATTAACGGGAAAGTGAAACGTACTTTTGAGTTATTATATAGCGTACTCGGGTACCTGAGGATCATCCTGTAGTTTCAGATACTGACAGCATTACGTACGTGGTAGATATAGTAAACGGAGTTCGGGGGAATATATGTTGGTAATATTTTCATGATGAAGAGCCTAATATTTGTTCTTTGTGTAACGGCAATGATCTTATGTGCCGAGTCAGCGCCTAAAACAAGCTGTGTGAAAAATACGAATGCGGTAAAGAACTATTTAAAATAATATAAAGAGATATTCTTTGATATCCCTTCTACTTGCGAATAGAATTATTCTTATTCATTTTGTTTTTGATAATAGTGCGTGAGGAGTGCTGAGTGCTGTACCGGTTGCTGTCATGAAGAGAAATGCGTCAGCTGTAAAGAATCGTATCCGATCTTAAGTTGCTTTATATTTATTTTGTTCCTTATATCGTACTAATCACGATTTAACTTTGTTTTTCATTATAGTCAGTGAATCCTGCCTAAGTGATCTGACGCAATTGGGTGCTGGAGTTAAGGGTGGTCCTTGCGCCCTTTTAGATCCTCCATGTACTGCAGGACATCAATGTGTTCTTCAACCTGTTCAATGCATTCAGAGTCCCTGCCCTCCTATTGCTTCCTGCGTGCCTCCTGATTATCATGATTATGATTGAGGTTGTTACTCTAATGTTGGATTAATTATGGAATATTAATGAAGCAATTAATTACGCATAAAAATGGGATTCTGACCAGAAGCGCCGAATCGTACTATATTAGTTATTAAGTAATTGATGGATTTTTATGTAATTAATATTGTTGATGAACAATAATGTCATAAGGGCTTTGTTTCATTGTATCTTTTTATTATTAAATACGTAATGTATATGGGGAAAATAACACTTGGAAATTAATAAAAAGGCAGAAGAGGGCACAGAGTGGACGTGGAAAAAGGAGGTTGAGGATGGAAGGGAAATGATGAGTGTGGGATGAGAGGAATTATTAGAGGAAGAATAAGGGGCAGAAGGAGAGACAGAAAATAAAGTAGGATAGGAAAAGTAGTTTTTACTTTTTCTTTTTGTTGTTAGTTTTAACAATAGTTCTGCTACGTAATATCGTTGAAATGTGAATTTTTCAAAAATTGATGTGCTGCACGAGTGTCAGAGCTCCAGCACCGCACTTTTTCAATACCTCTTAAAAATGATTCAACAATAGGCTTTTTCAATAGTTCTCCAGGAGTTCTATAGTTCCTGATAGGTTTTAACAATAGTTCTGCTACGCAACATTGGTAAAATATCTATTAAATATACTTGTGGCATCATATGCTTCACTGCAGGCAGGCATGAGTTGCTGGCTTTTGTCATAGTAAACTTACCGAGCTTGCACTGTGCGCTCGAATTTAGGATTGCAAGGGAAAAAAATATTTAGGCTATATTCGATGAGCTGTCTCGTTGTAAGTGTTGCTTTTGGAACAACTAGGATGTAGCGGAGAGACTCTGCTCGCCAAGCGACACTTTCGCGATCGTGGTCAGCTCGGCTACGACGGGATCCGTATTATCGACGGAGGCGATGATAACAAAATTCGACTTCTGAACTCGCCGTTGCGATTCAGCGCCATGTTTTTGGTATCTGCTAAAACTATAGCGTTGTGCATCTCCCTACTCATCTCTGGTATTGGAGACTTCTGATTCCTGTCTGAGATCTTGCTAGTCAATGATCCTGATATGTCAGTGGACCTCGAGCGCGAGGAAGAATAGATAGATTGAAAGAGAACGTGCAATGGAGTCGGTGAGATTCAGTTGAGTCGCACAGGCGCAATGCCACAGCGTGTACCATCATCGGCGAAACATCAATGGGCGTTCAGTACCAGAGTGTAAGATGGCGGACTGCGAATCGGAGGTGCAGCGTTCGCCAGCGAGGAACGACGAAGGAATGAACACGACGGTGACGACGTTGAACAATGGCCGGTTACCTCAGCATCCGACGAATCCACAAAATTCCTGCCAGGGACAAGGACCGAGGTGCGTCACCATTTACAAGACAGAAACTGGATTCGGGTTCAACGTACGAGGACAGGTCAGTGAAGGTGGACAACTCAGGAGCATCAACGGGGAACTTTATGCACCACTTCAACATGTAAGCGCCGTTTTACCTCAAGGTGCCGCTGAGAAAGCCGGCGTACGAAAAGGGGATCGTATTCTCGAGGTGTAAGTACCTACTACTTTGCATTTCCATAGTACACTTTATTCTTGTATAGTGTCAGATAGCAGATATTTAGTTTTTTGTTGTTGCTATCGATCACATTAACGTTTGACAGTACTGGATTCTTATGTTAGAAAGATCTTATGTCTTAGGTTGCAAAAGGTATGATCGGTTGGATACTGGAAAAGTTTTGAAGCAAGCTGAACGGAGTTAATTACTTTTATTATATTTGAGTCAGTGAATGTGACAGCTTTTTTTTATTTGACAGTACTTTGTGAATGTGCTGGATCTACTTTCTGTAGTGTATTATTTTCTATTATTGCTTGTCAGAGTAATATGTTTTTTGTATTGATGGTTTTGAAATAGGTAAATGCAGGAACTGAAAGTTACTTTTTAAGTTATTTCTAAATTGAATACCAAGTTTTGCTGTGTGTATTGTTGTTTATGTTTAAACTGATATCCACATTAATTTCAGAGCTGAGTAATACTTTCATTTGACATTTATTAATTTGATGAAATACAAAACTACAGAGATTAATTATCTAAATGTTTTATCGCTTGAGTGTCGAATAAATTGATAATTTGCAGATGGCTCAAATTCAATTTAATGTAAATGTTATTTCACTTTCAATGTTTGACATTCAAACAATTATTTCATTATGCTACTGTTAATTAAAAAATATATGTATATTAATATACAAACTGTATGATTATATATCACAAGCAAACAACATATGTATTTAAATCAATGCTTAGCATAGTTTGCTCAGAATTTTCAATGTGTTATATAATATTTGAATTGAAAATCCATGGGATGCTAGATTGAGAATTACTTGTAAATCTTAATGAATGATTTCTTGATTAGAACATTTTACATTTGATTTACAGATCTAACGATATTAACACGCTTTGTATATATTAGCTTCGAAGAGTACAATGAGTGTTACATTCTTAACACGAATCTTAAGACTATTACCTTTTATAGAGATGTCATGATTAAAGGAAGAAAAATTAATGGAAGTACAAAATTGATACGTTCTGGCGTCGCCGAATTTTAACTACTTATCATTGACAATTTGTTGATTTACTTGGCACTTGACAAACACGGTCAATTACGGCCTGTTTAAGATTGCTTCTTGGAAATTTACTAGCGTGGAAAGTTACTCCATTTTGATAAGAAAAACAAAATGCAATTAAACGCGAAAGGTTAATGATTGCAAATGATACAATTGAAACTTCAAAAAACAAATTCAAGAACTTTAATTATTAATAACTTTTCATGTCAATCCATTTAATTGGGAAATCCCATCCAGTTATCGACAAATGCTTTTAATTTCATCACCGTACTTATCTTGAGTTGTATTTAAAAAAAATTTATTCTAACGTCTTCTAACTAATACGTGCTTTCTGTGCATTCAAACAAAGAGAACAAACGGATCAATAATAACTCGATTAAAATATGCAAATAGACTTAGAGCAAACAATACCGGATATTGACTCCAATAAATTCAAGAAATTAACGTTCTATATGATGGCTTTTAATATTCATGGAAATCTGCAGCTTTCTAGTCCGAGAGGTATTACTTTCTAATTGCGTTACTGTCGTTTATGTCTGTTCTCTTTTTTCCTCCCTCATTTCTCTAACTGCCGGCTGCTGCGTTCGCGTTCGTTAGGATGAAAATGTTTCTGAAAGGTTTGTCGTTCATACGGCTTCAGACAAATGGCCGTCCCTAATATAGCCAACTACGTGTTTCAGTTGCTTGGTCTTAGGATGGATTCACTTCCGGTCAAGGACAGTGTAAAAAAATATGTGGACCTTCAAACAGTATTAAAGTAATTAAAACTGTCATTGGCTCCAGTCCAAAAATCTTCTCGACAATGAATATCTTCATTGATACATATTCGTTCTTGATAACCTTGCAGAATGCACGATAAGCCAAAGATGAAAGTCGTCGTTCTGAGAAATTAATTATTGTCTAAGTAATTGACAGTTTTTTAAATAACTTCAACCCTTGTTCACTGCCATATCCCTGACAAGGGGATGAACAATGAAATATGATAAATGGGGACAAAGTTTTTCCCATTCACAAATTAATTACCCCCGGCCTCCTAATAATCAAATCAATTATTTATCTCGTTCCACTTACGTCATAATTTATGTCAACATACTTTCACTCAAGTTCAAAAATTCATACTCAATATACACGCATATTTTATTATACACATATATAAAACTCTGTTCCTTGACCGAGTTCGTCACACGATCTTATAAATATTCAATTTGCAAATCCGCTAATTTCAGTTCCCATGAAGCTTGACATTGAAAAAAAAATAAAAAGTGCAATAAATATATTTACAACATATATAACTTCGTGTATACATGTGCAGGTTTGTCGAATCGTTATTGTAAAAAATTTATAGACGACGATACCGGGCGACACGTATATTGCCATTTTGCCAGATTTGCTTTAATTTTAAATGATTTAGTATTGTAGATGACGAATCGGAGGCTGGAGTTTACGTTTCACGGTAGACGACGGTGGGGAGGATGATAAAAGAATTGAATGTTGACAACAATGGGCTGCGATATCCTCCAGTGCTTTTGTTCCTCGACGTCATCGAGGAGACTGAAGTCATCCGCGGGTACCCACTAGACACTACACACAGCTAAGCATCAGGAAGTGGAATTGGAGTAAATCAAAGTTCCACCCAAGTCCTGTGCAGATATCACTTGAGGGACACGTGCTCTTCGCTGTGACGTTTCACGAAGGTTATGCGAACGCATTCCGAAATTCCAGACGGATGATAACACGTCAGAGAGTTCTCGCGCTCTTATCAGACTCTACGAGCACGAACGAATCGTCATACATAGAATTAAATATCTAAAAGAGAGTATTAATTATGACGCGTAATTATTAGTCGAAAATTAATTAAAATTCAAACAGACAACGAATCAAGTATCCCTCTTGGTATCAGAGTAAGAATGTGACTGAAGTCTGGCAAAATAATTGTATGAGGATTCGGCTTGAGGTCATATAAATCTCAGCTTCGATTCGTCTATCTTTAATATAAAATTATAGAAAATTCTTTTAAATGGCAAAATACGTGGCGCTCAGGATCGTCCTTAGCGTCGAACCAAAAACGGTTGTAAAGTTTATTTTGAATCATCGGTATCGTTAAGTACGTAGCTTGTAACTCGTGGTAAACGTGGCCGAATGAAATACGAAAATACATTCCTTGGCATTTTTTAGTGGGTTCTGATTCTTATGCCATTCACGAAAATCCCCTTTTTTTTTCTTTCACCGACCCTTCTTTTGCTTCGACCGTTTCGTTAGCAACTGCCGCGCCTCCGGTCTCCGCCAATCACAGCCTACCTTTCACTATCGGAATTCAAAGCCTGCTTGGCAAGGCCAATTATCTTGAAGTTGTCGACTTTCAGTTTCTCGTTTATAACCGAGGAAGTTGTCTTTGTGTACGGAACGTGATTTCTTGCTGGTGACATTGTTAGATATTGCTTCTGATTTTTTTTATCTGTCATCCAATAGAAGTCCGATTATCAAGCTGATCGAGTGTATTATCAATTTTTATCGGATTGACAATCCATATCAACTTTTAAGTCAATCGGTCGATCGTGTTGTTGTAAACTTCGTAATTTTACTTGTGCTTATATATAGATTTAAATTTATATAAAAAGTTATCGTGCATTACCGATATGTATACTTTTGAATTTCGCGGGGATCTTGTCCTTGTTTAACGAGATGTTGACCTGCTACGTCACTGCCGTTCAGTGCGATTGGTTGGAGAACAGGAAGCGATGCTTGAGAAAGAATGAAAATGCTCAGACGGGATTGCAACTTGTTCACGTTAATAATACGTAAGTTTGATTACGTAGTAAGTTTTTTATTTTTTGAAAAATTTCAATTATGCAGAATTATTACTGACCCGAGTTAATTGCATTACTCATTGTTATCAGCAGTGCAATCTACGTTACCCTGATGTCTGAAAAAATCCAAGATACATATGGATGACGTGTTAAAAAAATACAGTTTTCATAGACGTCATTCTTTTTAGACGCACTTTTATAAGTTTGATATCTTTCATTTATTTAGTTTTCAATATTTCACTACCGTAAATGATAGTCTGCGGAACAATTTTTTTAATATATCTTCAGGTGACGAATTTTTTAATATTTTTTTTTTTTAGGAATAACGTAAACGTCGAAGGTGCCACACACAAGCAAGTTGTAGATTTAATAAAGTCTGGAGGTGATGTGCTGACCTTAACAGTAATTTCCGTAACGCCCCAAGAAGCTGAGAGATTGGAACCCTGTGAAGACTTGAGGTAATTCATACAATAATAACAGAAATTTTTGAAAAAGAAAAAAAAGTAGTTTTCAAATGATTCGATTTTACGTAAGGAATACTGAATGTTTTCATTCTTCAAATTTGTTGACAACAACAACGTCCAAAGAACATAAAACGGAATTCTTCAGCGATATGATATCGGAGCAGCTACTCCGTTATCAAGAAATTATTTGAAAAACTTTATGGTCGCAGTTGCTTGAAAGATCCATAGATCCATTTATTATTACCTAATTTAATGAAAATATTGTTTCTATATTTCAATAGTTACGCATCAGTCGACTACAGTGAAAAACGATCGCTACCAATCAGCGTGCCGGATTATCATGTCCGAGAAAGGAAGCACGAACGTTATGTGGTATTCAACGTTCACATGGCAGGACGTCATTTGTGCTCAAGGCGTTATCGAGAATTCGCTGCCCTCCATATGGCGCTTAAAAAGGAATTTATTGGATTCAATTTTCCAAAATTGCCTGGAAAGTGGCCATTCCAGTAAGTATTTTGACAACACAATAATAATGGCGATTAAAATAGATCAGAGTGAAGTTCGAGAAAAACATTTCGGTGTTGAAATTGAGTTGAAATTTGAAAGGAAAAAAATTTGAAAGGAAAATCTTTTTTTTTATTTTAGACTCAGCGAACAACAGTTAGACGCAAGAAGACGTGGACTGGAACAGTATTTGGAAAAAGTATGCGCGGTCCGTGTGATCGCAGAGAGCGATGCTATGCAAGAGTTTCTTACTGACAGGTTTGAGGAGGACGGCGATCAAGGTCCTGCGGTTGACCTTAAGGTCCTTTTACCTGATCGGGAGGTCATTACCGTGACAGTAGCAAAAGCTGCTTCTGCGCGGGATGTCTACGATGCCGTTTGCTGCAGAGTGGGCCTCCATCCGGAAACGGCCAAGTACTTTTACCTTTTCGAAATCGTCGAGTATAATTTTGGTGTGTATCCGCGAATCATAATATCAATTAAAATTAGTAATTTCAACTTTCCTTTTCGTTCACTCGAGACCCTCTGCTGCGGAAGCTTCGTGATCTTTGTGTCAATACACTTTCTTTGCTTCAAATACTGTGAATATTTTTATAAAAACTTTATCCGTCAAATAATGCCAGTTGATGTATATCTTTTCTTTTTGTTTTTTTTTTTAGAAAGAAAATTGCAACCACACGAACATCCTCATACTCTCTATATTCAAAATTATTCTACGGCAAGTGCAACCTGTTTGGCTATTCGAAGGTGGCTCTTTAACGTAACGATGCCACTGAGTGAACAGGCACTGACGTGGATTTTCTGGCAAGCCGTGGACGAGGTCAATCGGGGTCACATCAGTGCCGGCGAAAGACTGTACCAGCTGAAAGCTCTTCAGGACGCATCGAGAAAGCACGAGGTAACGATGATCGTCGAATGTAGTTGATTCGAAAAGAGAATTATTACAAGCATAAACGTATAATTCTTTTTATTGCCTCGTTTATTTTCAGTACCTGAAATTAGCAAGAGAACTTAGTGGTTACGGTGACATAGTATTTCCACATTGCGCCTGTGATTCGAGAAAGGAAGGACACGTGGTGGCTGCCGTGGGTATGGCTGCCTTCAAGTTACACGCAGCTAAGGAAGACGGCACCCTGGAGTCTCAGGTCGTCGAATTCCAATGGAACGCAATAGCGAGATGGGAAGTCGACGAGGAGGGGATGGCATTCTGTTTTCAGTATACTCGTCAGGATAATCGACCTCCTAGATGGCTCAAAGTCTTTACTCCATACGTGAGTGAATTTGATCGTTTCCGAGGAGGCTGATTTATTTTCTATTAAAAAGATAAGAATTTTACCGATAACTCCGTTTATCTATTTACAGTACACATTTCTCGCGGATTGCTTCGATCGAATAGCTGAAGAGGCCAAATGGGACGATCCTGGAGAATGACGGAGTCTATGTATCTAATGTGACTTTCCGTCGGTAAGGTAGACAGCGAGTACGTCGCTAGTAAATAACGAATATGTATCTTCCGGCCTCGTCGAGTTCTCAGCGACTTTCCGGTGTGCCGTTGAGAAGGTGACATTACCGGTAACGAGGAGTTGCCGTTGGATTAACGCTTAGGAATTCCCGACTAATCGAGAAAAGACTTTAAGATAAATCTTCGGCACGTTAAGATGGAAAAATTGCCGCATCGTAGACTTGCACTGTTTCCCTGGTTACAATTATTTTTTTAGGTTATTATAGATCTGTTTAGGTTTAAGTAGAGACTGTCTTTCGAACGTCAAACTTATTTCTTATATTTGAAAGACAATCGTGCCTCACATCACATCTCCTCTGCTATCTGACTTCTTAAGAATATCCTCCGGCAGGAATTAATGAACACTATGGTAGCACTTTCGACTTTAGGTTTAATAATCTCGTTCGGCCTACGGCGAGATCGAATTCTGCGCTGGACCAATAATCCCCGCCTAATCTGTACACTTTGTCTTTTGAAAAGTAGTCCTTAAATCCTTGTCACAAACATACATCAGAGGACAGAATTAATTGTGCGTCATTTGTTACATATTTTTTATTTTTCCTTGTAAGATTCAGGGACGTACGCGAGGTGCCATAAATTTCGAAGGAATATTTTGTTAGGCAAAATATGAGTAGAATGAAGCAAAAATAAAATTCAAAATTCTATTAACGTTAAAAATTTCGTACGTCTCGTCGTCTTGGCAAGTATTTCACCCATAACGTTACATGCAAATTAACGTCGCGGTATGTCAAAACGGGTATAAGAATCACGTGATTTTCGGCGATGGCGGAGGTGCTGAAAATTCGAAAAAGAGAACATAAGATAAATAAGAAGAAAAAAAAAACGGTGGACTTTAACGAACACCATTAACTTTAATTATTAGTCTCAAAGTAATATCCTCTCTATCTCTTTCTTAATAACGCTAAAATGGTGGCGTTTGCTCCGCTAATGACGATCGCGATTAAAATAAAAATGAGGATGTAAGGAATGAAACAAAAATTAAATTTAGAAAAGAAAAGGAAAACACTGCTCTCAGTCACAGAGAGGTAAACAGATTTTAGGCGCAATTTAGCGAATATAAAGTATGAAAGGTATATATATATAAATATTCACAGAAATATATACTATATATAAATACCTATATACGATATTATATATACATACACATATTATAATTGTCGTTAACGTTTTGAAACTTTATTGAAGAGGGTTTTTGCGATGGCGTTTTACTAACGATGGATCAAAAGCGATTAATTAAGATAGTGATAGAATGATGCGAAGGATGATTCTGATGGTTATACCAGTCGGTGATAGACCAGGTGAAAAAAAAAAAAACAAGAACAATGACTATACACAATAATAACAATAGTAATAATAGTCTTAACGGTAGCGAACCTTCGAGTATTCGATTTAAGTATACGTATTCGTACGCGTTCCAAGACACGATATATATATGCTTGCAAACATATCGAATTTAAAACATATAAAACATACGTATACACAATGATTCCTAGTACATAAGGTCTTTCATGTATTCTGTGAAGAAAAAAAAGAAGTGTATAAATTGTACGCGGTCTGTTAAAGGCGTACGTATCGGTAGAATTCGTCATTGACGTCGCACGTTCGCTTAATGATTATTCAGGGCGCCGATTGATCTGTATATAGAATTGAGAGGTATATAAAATATATACATAACGATATCATAGAAATTTCACAGGGATCTATATATGTATATAATGATTGCGGGTGTATCATGCAATTGTGTATCAAGGGATTGTCTGGTATACATATATATTTCTTAGATACTTGAATGATCCCGAGTCATTAAGAGAAATTGTACATAGACTGACTCCGAGGATGATCATTATATTATTTAACGATTTTCATGCATAATATTCCTTGCACTGTCCTGTAGGCATTAGACGGTGTCACTGCAATCATTCCTAGGCATATTTTAATTGCATGATGATTTTCAAGCCGACGATGATTATCATGCGTGCTAATGATGATTGTTGTACAATGAAGCTTTGAGTGACTTTCTTTTTAAATTCACTGATTGTAACGAATCTTGTAATGGGGCTGATGTTGTCCTAAGATTCATTGTTGGTTTGATGATTATCATTGAGGCTTGTTCATCATCATTAGTTTATCTCTGTTACTTTCAGCATGATCTTTATGCCCAAGATCAATGACTCTAAGCATAATTTTTATGAAGTTCAAGTCAGAATGGAAAATTCGTTTTATTAATTATCCAATAATTGAATTTAGGTGTAAGTTTAATGATTGCTAAGCATATAGATGTCGTGGTTTGGTATTGCGTAAGAGTCATCGTCGTTCAAAGAGAACCATACGTCATTATGACGGTTGGGATACATTCGATCGGCCTCGATCAGTGAAAATACAATAATGTAAGATGTTATTTTTTTTTGGGCTCCTCGATTAACATGAATTACAAGGGATCGAAGAGGGAGCAAAGGAAGCGTGCGAAATAATGACTCGAAGTCTGTCGAATCGATGATTTAGTCTAGTGATCGATGGTAGCGAATTAGTGAAAAGTTGAAAAGATCGTTTTCTCGGATAAAAACGAGCGAATCTGAATATTTGTCAAAATTTCGACGGGGTTTACGATATGTATTATTTCATCGGTCGATCGACGTTTCGATTGATCGTAATGTATTAATCTATCGCTATTTATCTTGTATCTTTATTATCTTTGTCTGTTATCTCAATTATCTAGTGCTACCCTCTTCCCCCTTTGGGTTTTTTATCTTTTCGCATACATTCGTTCAATTGTAAAATTGAAATGAAAAAAGACAAGAATATCCAATCCCTCCCCCCTCCACTTTTTCTCTTATTTTTTTAGCTGTCTCTCACTTTTTTTTTTATTGTTCTATCTTTCAAAAATATCGATACCCGAGAGTGATCGGTCCGGCGATCGATGGATCGAATGCAAATTTGACCCATGGGATTTTGCGTTAGGCGATAATTTAATTGTATTTATAGTAAGACCATATCATTACGATTAACGAATTAGGCGTTAATTGATTGTATAGCGAAATTAAACGTAGAATCGTAAATCATCCTTTTCTCAGCGCGTTAACGAATTTTAACGATCAAATGATTGGATCATCGACAGGCGTCTTGTTTTTACGCCACTTCTATTGGCCATTGAATTATATACTGTTTGCTCGGAATTTATTTTGATTTTTTTTTCGTTTGTTTTTTTTTTTGAATTTATCTTTTCTGTTACTCGTCCTAGCCAAGGTATTATTTGTATTATGTATTTCTTGGGGGTAAACGTGAAGGCGGTCTTTAGGTTAAAGTTTCAAGAGAATGGGAGAATTTTATTAGGATCGATCGTATTATTATTAATATTATTATTATTGTTATCGAGTTATTCTCTCTGTCCTCGTCGCGATAACAGTATCGAGAGAGACGGAATTTTATTTTATGAAACTTTAATGTATCTATTTTTTATCTAACTTTTATTCGTTACTCCATTCAAGATTCAGGATACGTATCTGAATTTGATCCTGTGCAATGGCGTCATAATAAATTATATATATATATATTTATTGTAATATAAAAAAAGTATCTTACGTCCAATTATACATATCAGATATATCTGATCGATTAGTTTTATTTCATTTATCTTTTTTTTTTAGTCTACTGAAAATTTTGCATAATTTTTTTTTATACCTCAAATATACTTTTTGCACTCGACTCAATAAATTCTAATTACGAAGGAAAAACGGTGGCGATCACAATCTCGTATCTTGGCTTTTTGTGATATTTTTGAAATTGATAATACGTCAAATTGAGCGGATCGCGAGGAAAAGAAAAATCTATCTCTCTCCCTCTCTCTCGATACTATGTCCATTTCTCCCATCTCTTGCTCATCTCCCGTTATAAGTGCAACTCGCTCAGATCCTCCTGGTATTTTACACTTTAAAGTCTTTCGTGGTGCTTATTAAGTTATAGCTCGTTATTAAGTTATCATACATAATGTATATCGACCGATGTAAGAACAAATAAAAGTAACGTCAGTGATCGTGTAATTTAGTCATAGGTATACGTTCCATTGATGAAAATTAACTTTTCCACATTGCATTTAAATTTTCAGGCTGCTGTCACTTTATCTTTGTATAAAATTAAAATTATCATTGGATGAACGCGTATGGAAATATATAATAGATGCAATTAATAAATCGTCAGGTTGCTTTGTTATTTATTGATATACGACGTCACTTGGCTATCCGTATATAAACTCTTTCAATTATTACCTATATATAGGGTCGTTCGATAAAAACGTATCAGCCGAAGGTGATTTTATCGTAGAAATGAAAAGTACAGAGGCGGAACGTTTTTTTGTGAACAACCGTATATATAGTTGTCGGGAGTGGGGAGTGGGGGAGGGGGTAGAAATACAAAAGAAGAGAAATTATACGTTATCAGTACCGCGTCATCATTATCAGTCGCATGGCGAGAGTGCATAATGTTTTTCTTTTTCAATCTCTATCTCCTCCACTCTTCTATTTCTTTTTACTTTTCGCCATTTCTTTATTCGCGAATTTGTGTATTTTCACGTACGACGGTGCTCCGACGTGCTTGGTACTTTTGGAATTATTTTTTTGGGACATTTTTATTTAGTGCCGATGAACGTCGAGAAAAATTTTGACGAATTTTGTATTTCGTGAAAATAGGGGAAAATTGAAATTTTTTTTATCCAATGGATTAACGCGGTAACAATATTTTTGTTTTAGTAATCTTTTTTTTAAGGATACTTTGAAAACACGAAAAATGAGATATCGCGGTCATAACATCGATGGACGTGAATCGCGTGTCTAAACGAACAAAAGAATCTGCAAGGAATAAGGAAATTTGTTTTTGTTTAAAAAACTCGTTATTACTATATGGATTTTAGGAGAAAAAAAACTCATTAAAATCATCGTTCTGTTTTCAATGCTTAATGTCAATTTTATAAATACCGATGATCGAGAACTTTTTTTTTTTCTTTACAAAATTCCCAATCTTTACGTCACATAGTATAAGACATACAGAGACAAGAAAGTATCAGTTCGGTAGAAAATTTTTGTCTAATTTATCATTAAATATTACGCAACAGAGACAACAGTCACACAACTCGAGAGAATCGATAACCGAATACGAAGGATTAAAAAAAAGTATATTAATCGAGAACTCGAGTAATTTTGAGAATGGAAATTTTTAAAAATTTATCTCACTAAAATATGAGTTACGAAAATTATTTAATTTACACGCTGCTGGAAAGTTAAGAGAGCCATTTGGGAATCGCGTCATAGATTTCAAGAAGAGCGAATTAGTCCGGGCAACAGAAACAGATGAGGGCCTATCTTACTTAGAGATATCCTAAGCTACGTACATAAACTCAAATATGCTTTACCAGATCACGTATGGAACATCTTGACGATTCGTGTATGTTTATAAATATATATGAATTTTAGTATCCAATAAACTATGCGTGTATATATATATACATATATATGTCAAATCATCAGTAATCATACGGCGATACACAAATTCATCAATGGGACACTTATATTCTATCAGACCATATCAGTTTGTATAATACTTGGTCTGGGCATTTGATACATAATAAAGATACATATATACCCATATGTACTCATATGCGACTACTGGCGCTGTGACTTGCGAGAGAGGAGAAGATATCGCTAAGTGGTTGCCCATATGTATGTATAGCGTATGACCAAGAAAATCCAACATCAGTTCACGAGCACCTGTCCGATGAGAACTTACGCCTTTATCTAATTTCCAAAAAGTTATGAAATTTTAAAAAAATTTTTGAATTTTCATTAAGACTGCCCGGTTACAGAACGCGAGTAGGGAAAAAAGTGAAAATAAATAATTTTGACTGGTGAATGTGATTTTTGAAAAATCTCTATGAGTGGTTGACGCTTTTTTTTTTTAAATTTTTTTAAGACCAGTGTGTGCTTTTTTCAAAAGTGTCGTAAGGTTACGACTTTCGAAGATTAAATATATAGGGAGACGGCAGAAATTTTGTTTCTCTATGATTTGTTAATGCTTCGAGATTGAAGGTTGAATGTTTGAAGCGTATGTGATATCGGTATGTGTGTGCATATATATATAGATATATATTGTAAAGAGATATCAGATTAAGAAAATATCGAATGAACTTTGCGGAAAGGAAGCAAAGAAGAAATAATAAAATTGGAGGAGGAAAGAGAGATTCTGAAGAGACTTTGAGGTCTGTGCTTAAGAGAGAAGCTGATAATCAGTTCAGGTCAATTAGAACCTCTCGAAGGTGATCCACCCTCTTGGCGTATTCTTCATTAGAGTTATCGTCACCTCGTGACGTGGATATTATTTTAAAGAAAAAAAAAAGAAAAGAAAGAAAAAAAGTAGTTGACGAATAAAAGGTAACGGAACTTGACAAAGCCATTCTTGGCGATTCACGCTACCGAAGATAGTAATGAGATTCTAAAGAAAAAAGAAAATTTTATTTATATCAAAGAAAAGAGTCAAGCGAAGCAAAAGAATAAATTCTTGAACGATAAATCAATTCGCGCAACGACGCGTATGCTGTAGTAAAATTTTTGGATTTATCCAAAAAGTTATATGAGACGTTGAAAAAAAAAATAGAAGACAAGAGAATCGTATCGGGCAGGGGAAGGGAAGCAGGCAGTCTTGCTTGGAAAGATATCGCTCTGCTTCTATGAGAAGTTTAGATCAGTTCAGGAACACCTGTCTTACGGTGATGGTCGTTCTTTGAGAAAAATTTTTTTTGGAAACAGACTTTTAGACTGGTTTTTTTTAAATTTTATTTCCGTGATAAGAAATGTGCGATATGACTGTTGTTGGTTGATTTTGTGAAAGGGACTCTTGACTTGAGACAGATATGGATCGAAAACAGCGAAAGAGGAAAAGGCCAAAGGAGAAAGACAAGGTAAAACTTTTTTTTTTCGTAAATTTAATTAATTTAATTATTCAACAATTAGATTAGCTTTTATTATGAGAAATAAGGAACTCTGAAATTTTATAATGTTGCTTAGATCAGAGCAAATTTTTTTAACATTCATTTCAGCCGTACTCAAATCTTGGCTGGACTGTGATGTAAAAATTTGACTTCGAAACGAAATGCTTTTATATCAAATTAACCAACCCACTTTGTAGCTATCATTATGTAACATTTAATCGTCTGGTTGACACTATTATCAGGACACCCTGTACAAGTAGTAAGAGTCGTTGGTTTTTATCGGTTGTTAAAATTTCATTATTACTACAGACTCGTTCTTTTCTTTTTCAAAGTAACGAGCGACCGTATAAAAACACTCGGTATTCGAAACACGTATATCTGTACTGTGATTAGTTTTAATCGAGATTAGGGGAAAGAAAAATAAAATAAAAATTTTTATCCAAATATCGTGAGAATCAAAAATATATTTTTTTTTTTCGTTCGAATAAAAATAAAAATCAAAGCTTTTCGCACACGGGAGAAAGTATTGGATAAATTTTTGTCATTAGGTTTATCTGTAACTGGCTGTTATCATTGATCCATTTTGATCTACCGATCCGTCATTGTCGCAATCGACAAGGACTTAATCTGATCACGAGACTCGTGATGCTCGCTATAAAAATATATAAAATTCGCTCGTCTTGGATTTTCTTTAATTTTAATATTCGAGGTCACCCGTCAACTTTATTCTTTTCCATGAGCAGCCAGTATTTAAACATTTTTTCTTCCTTTTCTTTCATCTAAATTTTTTTTTCAACTTGTTATTTTCTTTCTCAACGAAACCACGGAAAAAAATCTCTTGCCCTATTGTTTTCTACGCATTCTTAGGTAATGTATGTAGAACGTCATTACAATGAGACAAATATTCTTGACACGTGGCAATTTCTATTGGTTTCCTGATCCATCCCCCCCACTTTTCAACTATTTACACTTTGTTATTGAAATTTACAAGAATTACAAAGCGAACAAAATTTGTCCTCGCGACGACAACAAATGAATTCGTTGATGAGATTCTTTGTGTAGTCATTTTTGTTTTGTTAAATTGGAGTACATTGATTTTTGTATGGTAATGATCATTATGCATTCCTTGTCTACAGAATTGAATGACAATCGTCAAGTGTCAAGTGACAAAATGATTTTGTCATTCGATGATTTACGAGTCACACAGGTTAAATGATTTTTGAAAAATAAAAAAAAAATGCTAAATAAAATTCAACTGGGAATAACCAAAAATTACGTCATCAGGTAGAGTCATCAAACGTCATTGATGACGCCATCGTTACAGCACGAGATAAATTCTGACCAGGAAAATCTTTCCAGTATTATTTTACAACTCCATTACAGAATTCTCAAACGAGATGACACGGTCATCCAGATTAAAGGAAAAAGACATGAAAATAGACAAAAATCCAAAAATTCAGAAACGTCATTGGTTTCGAATAAAAATTTGGAAATTTTTTTGAAAAATTTTGAGCTAATTAAATTATGATTTTGATATTGAAAGTCAATTCTCGGTCCAGCTGTCAATCGACGTCAATATGTTCGATGTTAGACTGTAACATGACTTTTTTATGATATTTTTGGGCCTATTAACGACTGATAAGCCTCATCGACGTCGAATACCTTTATCACTATATTTATTATCCGACGATAATACGATCGTCCATAAAAATATATTTGTCAAAAAGGTATTTTTGCCGGTTGAGTCAGAGAATTTTCAAGATTTTTTTCTGTCTCGCACTATTACGTAGTAACGGTTTGCAATAACTCTTATCGGCGTAAAGTCACGATAATTATTAACGGTCAAACAAAAAATTGCACTTTCTAATCTGCATATTAAGATTGCAAAAATTTACTATACTTCCCCACGCCTTTTCTTGGCACACTCGTGATAACGATAAACGTTATCAATTGTTGTATTCGAATTAGAAAAAAGGTTACGCGAAAAAATATACTTATATAATTAATTGACCATTTATAGACATACGTAAATACAAAATTGATAACTGTCTACATAACAAAAAAAATTGATTTATTTTTTAAATCTTTCATATTTCCCGCTCACCAGTTATTTATTTTGTTATTGCTGTCCGAACCGATACAATTATTGTTCCAGCGATCACGCACAACCGGGAATCCCCTTTTACGTAAGAATAGGACGTCGATTGTTTTGATAGTATTTACGTCGAGTAATGATACTGCGCATTCGAAATCTCATTTGTAAAATTTAACAAATTGAAGTCCTTGAAGCGAACGAGAATTTAACAACCAGTTACATAAAGTCCTAGGTAAATAAATATAAATGTTAAAATAAAATTATAAACCCAGACGATCACCCTGATAACTATCACGTAGAAATGTTATCGATAACATAAATTATACCAACATAAGACATTGTAAGACATAACGTTCTCTGCCCAGATACATCAAATTAGTTGAATGTGTATAAAAGCATGATTCATAGAAAATTATTTATTAGGATATGGGACGACTTGAGCGATGACTATGGCAATTGGTAAATGATTCAAGGCGATTGAGCAGGAACTAATTACAAAATAAAAAGGTTAAAATTATAAGAAAATATATTTTCATCGGTCATTAAGTTTGGTCATTGTTCAAGCTAAGCGATACTCGTATATGTAACTACTTATGAATCACCCTGTATATGTATATCGGTTCATAGTACAGAGTTCAAGCAGTTTATCAAAATTTTCGAATATTTCTATATGTACACGATACGCCATTATATTTAGAATGCAGCCGCTTATTTTAATGTAATATTTGCTGTTGACTGCAGTTATATTTAGTACGGACTGTACCGGCTAGACAACGTGAATCAAGTTGAATTTTATTTTTCAAATTAAATACCAAAAAGTGGGTCAATTCTGTAATATATTTCACTCGCTCGTCCGTACATGGGAGAGACACGAGAATTGAGGAAAAATAATGGGTAATTAACATTGAAATACACAGTGAATTATGCAAGAGTGAAATGAGGAATTGAAATGTTTGGAAATTCATTAAAATAGAAAAATTCGAATAATTAATTTTTAATGAACTGAGGTAACTCAATAGGAAATATAGAAAGTAGATGAACCAGGTGAAATAGAATAGTTGAAAATTATTATTTTTTAAAATCACTGCCTGATGAAAAAATCAAAAATGACATTTATCAATTTGAATGTCCTCAGCAATGAGAGCAGTGATGTGGTACCATGTCCAGTAGGTTACTGCTTGAAATACTTCATAGGGACTGTACCAGCTAACGAGACTTAATGACTTGTATCCACTTTATGGAGCTGAGCGTCATTCAGATCATCGCCATTCTCATTCACAGAAAGTCCTGCTGTCCATTCTTGATCCTTGGGACGTGAAAGTAGCCAGTGTTAATCCGGTTGGTCTAGCGCAGAGACGAGGGGTGTCGCTTGCAATTCTTTCTACGGAACCGGAACCGGAAGCCAAAAGTTGGCCAGCGCCCGCAGGCCTTGTGAAGATACCGTCGCCTTGGTACAAACCAGGTACAAGCTCATCCGGTGGGCTTGAAGCATCCAGGTCACAGGATTCTTTTTCGAGGAATACTCTTGAATGGCCGGATCCTTGGTACAGACCTCAAAGGTGATTTTTTATTGATTGGATATCGATGAAATATTTTGAAAAAAAAAATTAATCGTACCTTGTATACCTATATATGTATACTCGTATAATGTAAGTATAATAAAACAGTTGTATTATCGTTTATTATAATTCTCTTATCAGTCGGAACTCCACGAATGACACTTTGAGTTCGACAACTTTGGATCTTCCTGTGAAACCTCCCCGAACGAATAAATCAAAGGAGAAAGTGAAAAAAGAGTCCCAGGATAATTTTGATGGTGTTGATAGTAATAATGAGATATCAGGAAATTTACAAAATGGCGATCCTGGTGTGGTGAACAATGGTCTGGTGAGGGTGCATTTTGAAAATGAGAATAAATTAGAGAGTGAGTCGAAGATTGTATCAGCTGTTGGGTCTTCATCGAAAATTTTGATAAATGGTAACGATTCGGTGTTGGAAAGGACCGATGACGTTTTTAAGGATACAGATATTGCTTGTGAGGATTCGAAAAAGGGATTGAATTTGGATAAAACTGTGATCGAGGGACACGGTGAAAATTTGAAAAACGTACCAAAAACCGATGAGGACAAAGTGGATTCAACTTTGGAAGAAAATAATAAATCGCCTGAAGCCAAACTGAATGTATTATTCGATGATAAGGGAACATTGACATCGATTGTCGAAAAACTTGTGCAATCTAGGTAATTTTGAAAATTTGTAATTATCCATTATTTAATTTGGGTAAAATATATCTGCACTTGAGTTTGATGTATTTGATAATTTTGATATTGAACTTTTTATAATTTAGGTATACTCCACGGCAAACAGCCACGCAAAGAAGACTAATACGAAATTCACCTCAAGGCAGTATAAAGAGCGCAAATAAAAGTGGTAAGAAAATAAATTTTTATATTTCTAAAAATATTTTATTCAAATTACTTTACATGCGGGGAATAGCCAAATGCTCAGGAAGTTTTGGTTTGTTTGGATTATTCAAAATTAGCCAATGTGCCAGCCATAAGATTGGATCTGGTGGTTTCGTTTGGCAACACTGATTTAACAAGGCAATGATTATTAAAATTTTTTAACGATATACAAAAACTAGTGAAATTTACCGTAGTGAGTCCTTCCATCAAGACTTTATTGACGACTTCCAATAAATAATCGACTGCGACTTCGCCTCTCATTAATGGCTCAGTGACAACTAAAAATTGAGGGATAAGGAAAAATTTTAATTATTAAATATACGCGTAAAAATAATATTGAAAATGAAAAAAAAAAAAAGAAAGAAACGTGCAATCTGGAAAGAAAAAGTGAATTTCTCTCTCAGCCATTTCTCGATTAGCACTGCCGTGAACAGCATTTTTAAAATCTTCACCACGTCTTCCAAATTTCGCTCGAATGCTATCAGGAAAATAAAAACGAGCTTCCGTGACCTAAAAAAATATTTTCAAAAAAATTATGTAAATCACCAATAAGAATGACTTTACCTTCGTGGGTCCCATAAGCATTCGCCAATCCTGAATGGCCTGTTGTTTCGCCAAAACGAAAACGATTATTGAACCGGAAGCCATATAAGCCACAAGATGGGGAAAATAAGTCTCTCCATAATTATCCGAATAAAATTCTGATGCCTGTTCAGGGGCCAATAGCAGCCATCGAGTTTGAAGAATTTGAAAACCCTCTTCCAAAATTCGATTTTCGATTTCCTTCCGGCATTCCACGGCTTCCGGTTTAATGATGGCAAGAGTGTACTCGATATCCGGTTCTTGTTCTTCCTCGAATTCTTCATCACTCTCAGATAAACAGGGACCACACGGTACAGGTTGATATACCGGTTCCTCTTGTTCGTCATTTACAAAATTTCGTGATTCCCAAGAATTTATAAATTTGTACTATTCTTTTAAAAAAACGATATTAATTCTCCGAATTTTTCTTTTTTTTTTTAAATCAAAAATATTCATACCGTTCTCGTAGAATCGCTGGAGCATACAGAACTTTCGGTTTTTTTGATTTCATCGTAACACAAAAAACGATCAGTATCGCTGTCATCGATTTTGGCAGTTTTCCAATTTTCCATTAAATTCCCCCTATCGTTAACACTGCCCGGACATTTTTCAAATAACGTCACAGCTTCCACGGCATCTTTTTCATCTTGTCCGGCGCAGTCGCACATTATAAATTTTCAAAATAAAATTATCAATTCAAAATCTTGTCCTATATCGCAAATACAACATTTCCATAATACACCATCAAGAAAATCAGAATGACCTAATTTCCTAGGTTATAAAAAAAAACACTATTCAACTGTTTTCTCGTATCAAAATTAAATTTTTTTACCCAAATTCAAATTCGCCAACCAACTTCAAACAGCATAACAAATACCGAAAAGGCGTAACCTTTGATCTTCTCAATACCTTTGGCGGCTCCCTCATAATTTTTCTATGTTTTTCTTTGAGAGTGTACCTTACGATAAAAGATAAAGATGCTTAACATACTTCTGCCGTCATTGACGCAACATTAATAAAAAAAATTACGTAGCTTCTTTTTATTACTAACATTAAACATTGTAATTCTAATTACAACGCCATATTGTTCCACTGCATACAATTTTCGAAATGTACATTTGAATAAAGTTCACAAACAAAATCGAAAGACAATTTTAATCGTAGCTATTTAATTAATCCCTCGATTGACATTGTTATCATTCTTAGCACAAGCTTCAAACTCTATTGACTCTTGCCAAAAATCTTCACATCTACGACTATACCCTTATGACTATTTGTAAGATATTAGAAAATTACAAAAAATATTTATATTTCATATTAATTATTTTCATAGTTACAGATAATCAACAAACCACATCGACTCAAAGTACAGCTACAATAGTCAGCTTTGAGTCGGATAAAAAAATATCAGATTCATCGGAAGTCAAAAAATTAACAGGATTTGGAAATTCCGATATCAGAAAGACAAGTATTTCTGTGCCCAGCAAACTCAACGACATGGACGATCTACGAGTGGATAAGAACCAGGTGAAACGAAAAGTCATTAGTATAATGATGATAATTATAACCATTACTTACATGATGGTATGAATGCCAATAAAAAATAGATACGTATATTAAGTATCGATCTAGTGGATCGATATAGTTATCATAAATCTTCATCGTTAACGTCGTCATATTTACATGAATTATTTTTTTACAATTTTGTAAAAAAAAAATAATAACTTCGTTATGATAACATTGATAAGGATACAGTCATACGTCTATACAATGATATTGACCCATAAAATGAAATTTCAAAATACCGTACTACAGTGACAGGAGTTAATTTATTTTGAATCCGATTGAACCGAGTAAAGTAAACACAACATGACAACACATTTGACATTAAGACTTGACAACCATTAATTGTCAAAAATTTTATTCTTGACAATCATTCAAAATTTTAGTCTGTCAGTGCACGTGGAATGACAACGAATCGCGTCAATGTGTCACAGTCAAAAATTGTACAGTGAATCATTACCATTGTGATTATTGAATAGTATTTTTTTAGTTGTAACAATGGAGAAAGATAACAAAGATAACAAGGATCACAAATACAGTTCGATTTATTCGTTGGAAAGAGCTTTGTCAGCCGGTACAAGTAGACTGGGTTCGATAGCCGAGGTGTGTAATTTATGAAACGTCCAGTATAATAATAGAACCAAGAAATGACTGGCTGTGCAAAATATTCGAAAATATCGCATATAATTAGTATAGCAATACTTAACCTCGAAATGGTTCAGTGACTATCAGTGATGAATAAAAGAGCAAATGATTTTTGAAGCGCCAACTATTTTTACTGTCAGACAGTAATAAACCGTATTATCGTACACGTATGTCTAATGCATTGAAAAGTCCATATGTGGCGTTTGTAAGCGCGCGAAAACCGGATTTCATTTGAAGGTCTTGGCTCAATTGATACGAACGTGTACTGCGTTGTATCTCTTCACTTTCCGGCCCCTTGCGTTTACGTTGCGAGTTTCTCTTTACGTAACAGACAGCCAGACCAGTTGTTATTATCATGTCGCGCAGAATGGACTGTCAGGAATCACGATACTGTTCGATGATTTTTTGTTAAATTGTTTTAGGCACTTTTTAATAAAGATAGGTCGCTACAGGGAAATTTTGAAAAAAATATGACAAGACTCTTGGACGGATATTATTTTTTTTTTAACATAACGAGTTCGCGTTGCCATTTTTTTAATTAGTCGTTTCGTGATGAAAGACGACAGTGATAATTACTCTGGATTGAAGAAACAAGTATTGGTTAAGGTTGTTATATTTGTTTTTGTGAGTGTCAATAGGTTATCAATGAATGAGTTATCATTGGATACGTGTTTGATAAATTAATTGACGTAGTTGGCTCAGTGGTACGCGAATTAATTGAAGCCAGTAACAAATTAATAACAATGACAATAATTCATTGGGATTACATAAATATTGTATAATTTGTGTTTCTTAAATTACATCTTTATTTTAATAGTGCAAATTACATTATAGGACACTGTTTCGAGATTTACGCGTACTGAAAGCGACAGTAGCGCCACGTTCAGTAACAGCGGATCTTCGCCAAACGGCAGTCCTCTTGGTTCGGAAACCGAAGATGAAGGTGATGACGAAGAAATGTCCAAGTACGTAGTTAAATGTTAGACGCAAAGAAAGAAAGTCAAAAATTTCAAAGGATACGTTATTGCCAAACATTGTCACTCACTGATAACTATCGTTCACGGATAATTCGTAAAATCGAGAAAAGTATCCCAGACCGTAATAATTAAATCTTGTGAAAACTGTTGGAAAAAATACTTAAAAAAAAATACTTAAAAAATTACTTTAAAACTTTACGCAACTTTTAAAACGATGCAACGAATCTCCATTAAAAAATAGGAATGACCACTGTATATAAATCAAGTCTAAATATAAACCACGACGTAGTTCCTGATAACATAAAAAAGAAACATAAAACTAAATATTCTCATATGTGCCGAAACGAGCACGTGGTAGCAATGAAAAATAAAAATAAGAACCGAACATCTACGATAAAGACACGTCTGATCATCAGTATCAGTGGCATAGTACGTACAACGAAATAGTGAAATGCGTACAGCATGTTGACTGACACAAACTTACCAAATTAAGTTAAATTGCGTTGCAGTGGCGTTCAGGCTGAATATTCGACAACACTCCTATCATAAACGTCGCCTGATGTGATCAGTTTTTGAGGTTATCGTAACGTGTCTTCTCCTCGCTCGTCTCTACACTGACAAACGACACTTCTGCGTACAGCACTTGATAGCAGGTGTCGTTTTCAATTCACGACCACTTGTGCCGACGGATAAAAATTCAAATAACTTGGTCAAAAATTCACTACAGCTTCTGTTTTTATCACCACGCAACTCCCATGGCCGTCGATGTATTAAGTACTACTGTCGCCCGTTACGTACTTGACCCATACATATGGCTGCGTCGTGCAGCCAATTGAAAACGGCTACAATATGGCTATAAGAACTTCAAGTCCATACGTGGTGATCGGTTGGCAGTGTAGTCTGTTCTAGTGGCGTGGATTGTACTTTTATAGTGACATTTAAATCGAAATATTTTAAAATCGATATTGGACTTTAAAAATCGATCGATACCGTCATGGTTATATACCGAATAATAATTTTGTTTACCAAGATTAATTTTAAACGACTGTTTTAATTTATGCGTTGCTTTCATTATAGTAATGGAGTAATTTTGACAAACGAGAAAAATTAGTAACTTTTACGTAACATATTTTATATAAAAATGATATCGATGTATGACGTGAGAAAGTCTATTGCACTGCAGGGGTATGTATAATTGGTAGATATGATTTGAAATTTTTTTTTATTGATTAACATTGTTAATTTAAATTTATCTTCCCTCTGTAAAATCTATTATCACTGCGTTATTCTTTATAGGCTTTTATTATTTGCGTGTTTTATACATTTTTTAAATTATTTTCATCAATGTTTATGACATACGAGGGAAAAGTTGGAATCATTTTTTTTTTCATTCCACAGGGTACCACTGCAGGCGCCGCCCAGGCGAAAAGGAAAAATCGTTGTTTCGACGACAAATCAAAAATTGGGTGGTAACGGGATCGAAATTCCAGGCGTACAAAGTCCTAATTCAACAATAACCAGTGTGAATAGCATCTCGAGTTTGCTTAAAGAGAAACTTCAACTATCGATACCGCAGGCACTTCGCAGTAGCAAGAAAAGGCAAAATGCTGATTACAGGTACGAAATAAAGTGAATGACGTCACAATCAATCGATCGTCGTGTTCATTTTTATAATTTTTCTTCGTTTACATTAATCCTGACTTGTGTAATTTATTTTTCAGAATACGTGCCTTCGTAGGAATATTGTTTCTCTGCGTTGTATTTCTCGTGGGTTTTGCCCACATCTATTACACTCAACATGTCCTACAACGTGCATACTTCGATAAATTCAGGTATTAAAAGAAAAGCTGAACTTTACTTTCATTTCTTATCGATGACTTTCTTTCTGAAAAATCCCCTTAGTACTACTTACAATTTTTCTAACCACTTCCACGACCATCATTCAATCATCATATCAACGACCCTATAATAGTCGTCTCAGGAAATGGTTAATATACTTGATTATGGTTTGTCCGTTCGTCTGAAACATTAGGGAGATTAATTCAGTACCAGCTACAGAAAGATATAACAGAAAAAAGTAAGGGAAATGAATAACAAACAAAAAAGAACAAAAAATATTTTTTTAAATGTATTGTGACGTGATTTTTCGAATCACGGTCCCAAGGCGGCTCCGGTTACCGATACAGATAACGTTCTCGATTCCTGGTTTCCTTCGGGTCGCCACCCTGTTCAGAAGCTACGCTCTCGGATTGATTCGTATAGTTATGTCAAGGCTCTCGTAAGATTTCGTTATTGTTTAGTTGAGGTCGAGGTGCTCGAATCTGCCGTGGGCAGATAGTCTCGACGTACCGAGTTGCCCGGCAGAGGAGACGACCCGACGGAGACGTCTCCACGGACCGGCAGGAGCCCGGGTGAGATATCGGCGCCCCGCTGGAGATGGGCAAAGGGCTGTAGAGCGGGCGGAGGTAGTTTTGATACGGTTAAGGGCAGGAGAGGAACCTCCTGCCCGAGTTAAGGACGTGGTGCCCAGCTGTCGCCCGATGCCCTGGGAAGCGGCCGTGGAGGATCTCCAGGAGTTACGTACCGATTCGCTAAGGGACGCTCTCGATTTGGTTTAAAGGGACGACTCGAAGGAGATAGAAGAGTTATCGGTTAAAAGGCTCTCGACCAATCAGAATGATTAGTTCTCGGAATTGGATATTTTGTCAAAGCAGTCTGTCTCGGGGCACCGACCGTGGTGTCACGGGCTGCCCCGCGCTCCCGTGCTGTCTGTTTATAGTTTTTCTTGCCGTGTTTCGCTACGGTATAGCAAGTTCTCGATTCGTACAGTTCTCGCGTTGTTCTCGCGATATCCAGGCAATTCTATGAATTCCTGTGACTGTTCCGGAGGTGTAGTGCAGTGTTTTAGTGCAGTGTCCAACAGAGTGTCCTTGGGATGCAGTTCACGGCCTCCACGGATTAGCTGTACCAGCTCCGGTGAGTCTCCCAATTTATTAATTGGTGTCGGGTCGTAAGTTAAAAGAATTACGTTACAATCTATACCAGAGATCCTGTGCCTACACGTACTACACACGTATGGGTGCTCGTTTGACGTGTCTCGCGAGTTGCGCTGCGGGAATCTCGGATAAGAAGAACCTGGCAGTGAGGTTCGTCACGTGGCAGATTTCTTTCTTCGTTTCACGCGACCCCAAAGATCAGCTCCTACGGTTGCGTTTCTCGATTTTACGCGTCCCCAAAAATCGACAGGATCCGTTAAGCTATCGCCTCGTCTGATAGGTTCCGTCAGAGCTCTCGTTCTTAGTGGAGTTGGGCCTGTTCCATCCCAACTCCCAGTTTATACCGGCTCGTCAGTTCCCGGGGAAAAAAGAACCCAACTCCCAGTTTATACCGGCTCGTCAGTTCCCGGTGAAAAAAGAATTGGCTGGCGCCCGCCTGGCTTGCGGATGAACGAACGACGGGTGGACGGCCGAAGGTAACGTAGGTTGGTTCTCGAAGATAGTTCGTTCTCGTATGTTTTGCTATCGGTGTCGGGTCATAAGTTAAAAGAATTACGTTACAGTATATTTTCCAAACAAATTTTTTTTCATACAAAAAAAATTTCGTAAAATGACTACTACCATTAATCCCATACAGGTTCAACAAAAACGAAAGGATGATGTACGTGTACAACAATGTAGGCGCAGAAATAATAGCTGGTAAACTAGGCGAAGGAATTCCAGCAGACACAGGAGTGTTTCCATGTTTGACGCATGATCAGCGATCAGACTCAGTATGTCTGGAGTGGCTTCAGCAGACAAGGTTGTACTTGGCGCATACGCAATCAAACGACATGAACTGTTACCACGTGGCCTGGCAGAGCTTGAGCCCACACTTCAATCCAATGGATTGTTTCGATTGGTCATCCAAGAGAGGTCACTGGTACGGCGCAGGTCAAATTCAAAACATGGCTTATCCCCTAGAACAAGGAAGGCTGGACTTGAGTCCGTTCATAACCGGCGACATAAGGAAGCATCCATTCGGCAACGTCCTGAAACCCTATTTCCTGAACTCCAAAGGCGCCACCATCTTGGTGGACTCGCAGACGCCATTGTACGTGTCGATAAATGCAAACAGGACAAAGGACTTTTGCCTTCAAGCAAAGTACGACGCTTTCGCATACATCAATCACTTGACTCCGCTTCCCCAACTGAATTACACGATTTGCGCAACGGACAACATGAAGACACTTCACTCTTTAATGGCGGAGAAGTCGCTCTGGGACGGTTTGAAGCCGGATGAATATTCAGCAGTTCACTCCTTGCTGTCAGAACCCGTCTGGCAGATCTCACCAACGAACGAAGCAACCATTTACAATTATACCGAGGACGTGATCGCTCTTGGATTTTTACGTCAAGGTCACGTTCTTCTGAGCGAGGAATGGCAACCCAGTCCGGGTGACTTAGTCCTTGACGAGACTCGTTTCCCAACGATGGAGGAGACCATCAACATCTTTCACAGAAGAGGCTTCAGAATCGTCCTCACCATTCAGCCGTTCATCTCCACGGAGTCTATAAACTTCAAAGAGGCTGTTGCCAACAGACTTCTTATATCTGAACGTGGAAGTGATCCTAGAATTCCAGCGTTGGCCAGATACAAGCAGAGCAACAGTGCTGGGGTCCTGGACATAACCAACAACAAGACTCTGCCCTGGCTCCAAGCTAAACTGGAGAACCTGCTGAAGACCTATCATATAGACTCCTTTTACCTTGATCTTGGAAACGCACAGGATATGCCTCATTATTACAAGTGCGAGCAGCCTCTGACCAATCCGGATCACTACAAGTCTGTATTCACAAAATCGATCCTGGGGTCGGTACCGGTGATCGGTGTGTCCGGAGCCATTTCCAGACCAAGGGCACCGGTTTTCGTCTCGCTACCGCCGTTTCCGTCCTCTTGGAAAGCCATCAAGACTGTCATACCGACTGTACTGAGCTATGGGATCATCGGATATCCCTTTATCATGCCTGGTGCTGTTGGGGGTGACGTTGCTCTGCCTATGTCCGATAACAATCCTGATAATGATTATGAGGTTAACTTACCTGACAAGGAGCTCTACGTGCGCTGGCTTCAACTCTCGACTTTCCTACCTGTTATCAGATTCACGCATTTGCCTAGCAAATATTCCGATGACTCTGTGCTGGAAATGGCCAAGAGACTGACTACCCTCAGACAAAAGATCGTTACTCCTCTATTGAAGAAGTACGCTAATGAGAGTTTGGATTCAGGATTACCTATTGTCAGGCCGTTGTGGATGCTGGATCCGGCTGATCCTGCTTGTCATGTTGTTGTTGACGAGTTCTCTGTAGGGGAGGAACTCATTGTCGCTCCGATACTTTACTCGGGGAGCAGACAGAGAGAAGTTTATCTTCCGGCTGGTGCCTGGAGGGATGGTATTGATGGAAGTCTCAGAAAGGGTTCCAGATGGATTCATAATTACAGGGTTGCCGAAGACAAGGTTGCTTATTTCTTAAAGATGCCCAACAATACGAGATTTTAGATTGTTTAGAATTAAATTTTTAAGGATATTTTTTTTTTTGCGAAATGAACAATTTGGGATCGATATAACCAAATCGGGAAATGTGAGAATTGTAATGACTCGTGATAAGAACAATGGTTTTGTAGTAAAGATCAAATTTGACACGTGAATCTTTGTAAGTGTATTGAGTGATAAGTCATGAAAATAGTTAATAACGTAATATAAGGTCAAACCATTTTCAAACGATTACTTTAATAAAGAAACGAAAAAGTATTTTTTTAAACCGTTCGTCCTACTTTCATCTAAAACAATATCGAGATACGAATAATGTGCTTAGTGACGTTGAAAAAGAGGAAAAGATTAATCAGACTATGGTGTAGTGTATATTTATTATATTATCATTTTTATCATATAGCATAACATTAGTATTTCTATAATAATAATCATAGCACCATGAACACTCCACAGTAAGTTTTAATTCGTTATTCGAAAACGTAGTGCGCCGATGCGCTCTCTGGTGGTAAAAAATGGCAACAGGCGTCACCTAACAGGATTCAAAGGAAAGTTCCGACGAAATTCAAAAATCACGATCATATCGAACACCCAATGACTAGATGCATTTTCAGTTAGGAAAGGACTCGCATGATTACTGACTAGAGTCTCGCGTCTCAAAATATAAAAAAAAAAATCGAAAATTTACTAAAAAAATCTACTTTTCATAAATTTTAAAATACATCACTATCATTTAAATTGCCCAGCAAAATTTCCAAAATTCACGACACAAAATGCGTCGATCTCTTTAAAAAAAAAAATCATAGATTACCGAACCCCCCCAAATGATGTTTATTCGAGTACAATAAAATCGCGTCAATGATATCGAACAGACAAAAAGCGATCAGGCGCATATAAATTTCATATCTAATTTTCAAGATTTTTCAACCATCTCCCTCGTATCAAAAGTCGCCATTTTAAACCACCATTAAAAAAGAGTCGCATCGTGACCTCGGGGGTTCGTAAAGGTGTTGTTTCTCATCGCGTTACAGCAAATCACTATCGTCATTAAATCATCTCACTGCATCCTCTCTAAAATTGTTTCATTGAAAGCTCGCTCCTAATTGTAATTCTCACCATTAAGTTCATCGGTGTCTCTGTGTATGGTTGTGTATGTGTACGTGTGTGTACATGTGTGTACTTACGTAATCCTCCGTATGTATCGTTAGTATATCACGTGTCTGTATCATCGTGTTTGCGCGTACGTGTTTGGTTATGTACCGTGTATATATATATAGAGAGTTTCTCGCATCACTTCCGATTGACAATATTAAATTTAATTTAATTTCATAATTTTAACATCCTACCTAGATAGCTGGTCATTCTTTATTTCATCATAAATCCATCGTCAATAAATAATAGATAAATACAAAGGTACACCGTATAGTCGTCAATCGTTAGTCACGTCAACAGTCGTCAACACCATCATCATCATAAGTATCTTTATAAGCATCTTTACTATCATCGTCCTAGTCGTCGTTTTCATCAACTTTGCGAACACGTCGGTAATTATTTCCCGCGCACTGTCGCCTCGAATTCCATTTTCGTTCTCTCTACATTACCGACCGACTTGGATTACCGAGCGAGAAGCTCCGTGAAGTTACAGGAAAGAACATTAAAAAATACTTTGATCCGCGGAATAAATGTGAACGATAATAATCTGTTAACGTTGCTGAATAATAATAAAATATATTGATAATATATTAGCAATAATCATAATAGCAATGATCTCTCAACGTCACTTCACTCTCTGTCTCGTCGCCCGGCTCGCTTTTATTTACTTTTTAATATCCTAACCTAAATCTCGATTTCATAAACGTCCTTACGCATAAGTCATGCACATGTACGTATGTCTCATCTGTGTACATATATGTACGGATATATGTACGGTCTGTGTCGTTGTGTATAAGTATGTGTATATATGTGTTTATCTTCGACCTCATTCTGCCCTATTTCGTTTTCAACAATCTGCCTCACCATTTTCCCAATATTTTATTGTGTCTCGGGCCACTGAACGAGCAGCTGTTATACAAATCTCATTGTTTCCATAATAAAAAATTTTTAAATAACATATATTAAAGAGACACTTAAGTATAAATAAGTGACGGAACGTGCACATAACCTATAAGGGGGTAGAAAAGATATCGCGGGTATGTTTATACGCGTAAATAAATAAATAACGAGTCAACGCAATGGCACATTATGCGCGAACGATTAAATAATCTGGGCTATTAATTTTTTCATTAATTTCTTTTTTTTCCGTTTTATAAGCCACCAGGAAAAAGTAGGCGGGCGGTAGAAAAACTTACGTACTAATTTGCTGCGACTCGATCGCCACCGTCCACGTGGTAGCAGCTATCGACGCAACTCACTTCCGCTCTCTCTATTCGCTTTAGGTTTACTTCCGCTATAATACACAACTCGCGGCAGTTTTTGAATTTGCCGCGCTTCTGGGCTGGTACCGCGTGGGGGCCACCGATCGCAGCGCTAAAAGTCTCTAGGTTCTAACTATGCGTAAAAGTCAAACAATGAGTTTTCAGCTGAGCGATCGCAAGGTGAATTCTGGCGACTCCATTGTTCACGGACATTCGACACTGTTGACAATCGTCAGTCGAGTCATCGTCAGACTGTTCGTGAACAATTTGAATATCCGTAACGTCCACCTTGGTAAAGCAAATTAACCGGCGCGCAATGACTGCCGGGAATAAATGCAACCGATTCGGAAAATGATAATCGTATTACGCCGATACGAATTGTCTACTGGTATGTATAACTTAGTCGATAAATCATCGAGGATAAACAAATTCAACTCAATAACGTCGTACGATAAATCCACTAGACCGGATCCATACGATTTTCCAATAAGAGAAACAATTACGAAATTTCATATCTAGTCATTTTTTTTTCGCAAACTTTCGCACATCCTCATACGTCAATCTCGGTCCTCAGGCATTCATCATCATCATTATTATCGTCACGTACATAGTCATCGCCACCGTCATCATCATCATCATCCACGTTTATCATCGTCAATCGCATCCAACTATAAATCGCTATAGCTGACAGAGGAATAAGTACAAAAGTTTTAGAACGCTCGTATCATTATTATTATTATTTTTTGGTTTCTTTTTTCACCCACGTTACATTATTAAATCAGCATTTTTCTCAAAAAAACTCCCCTCTCCGTCTCTCACTATCTGTCGCTCAACACTGCCTCGGCTATGAACTAATATATGTAAATTTAAGTTTTCTAAGTTCGGATTTTCGAATTTACGCGGGTCAATGATTAACCTCTAATACCAATGACCGTCCGCCATTTTTTCTATCCCCATACGTACTCCGATAGTATTAACCACGGACGTGCGTAAATTCAAAAATAGCATACGTTCGCGGACCTAAGTCCGTTGGATGGATCTTGTCTTTCTTTTTAATTCTGATTTCCCTTTTTCTCTCTTGATTATCGCGTTCCTCCTTATCCGCCTTACTATTTCGTGTCACAATTTTCATCCCAATCCCTTGTCCCGAGTGTTACGCACTTTCATAATTGAGTCGTCTCACTTTGTGTCAGCTTGTACGTCTTTTCTTTTTCTTTAGCTTCAAAGTACTTTCGAAGGAGTCCGTTCAATGTTCGTTTGGTTCAAAAGGATATTTTTTTTAACAACAACGCGAAACGCGAAACACATTTCGATGACCATCTTATTTAGTTAACGTTCAACGTCATCGTCGGCCATTTTTGTTTACCACTCTTTCTACCCCTCTTGTTCCATAGCTCTCTCTCTCTCTCTCTCTCTCTCTCTCTCTCTTTCTCTCTCTCTCTCTCTCTCTCTCTCTCTACCATCTTGACGCCCTAATGACGTCGCACGAGTTATGTGTGTGTATATATATATATATATAGGATATATATATATATATAATATATCTATGCATTTTTAAACATGGCGCGCATATCTCTCCCACTTCTCCTATAGATACATAGAAATACGATATAGAATAACGTTTATGTACTCCCTCGTGTAAATATAGTCATTTATGTAGGCATAGACATTTACGACACGTTAAATCATTAATCATTGTACGAGGCTTTTCCGTCTCTTTTTTTTTTTAAATTCGTATCACGTCCACCCCCTTCCCCATTTTAGTCCCTCGGCCTCGTTATCACTATCTATTATCTGAAAACGTTACTGTTCATTATTATTTTAGCCACGCCGCTTTTCTATTTGAATCGACTTTCAGTACGACAGTTATAATTTAGTACGGGGAATCCTCGACTGGAGCGCCCAAGTCGTATTCCAAATTTCGTATTCCAATGACTAGTATCGTTACGAATGTCCGACAAGTAAGATTTTGCTTTGACTTGACTTATTTCCATTCAAAAAAACAGATTAGCCTTCTTCGATTAAATGGACCATCAGCATTTCGGAATCCAACTCGTCCCCAGAGTTCTGGCATCTGGGATCGAATAGGCTCTTCGTCACACGGTACGTTTCGCTTGCGTCACATCAGGTCGGTTTGTCAAATGTGAAATAACTATACGCGGTGCTGGTAAAGCGGCAGCTGTGTCGAGATATTAAAAAGAGTAATTTTTTTTGTTCCTTTTAATTTTCTATCTTTAATGGGATGATGTTTGTCTGTTTTTTTTTCTTTCCTTTCATTCAAACCCTGCTTGTTCTTTTGTCAATCGGCTTTTTGACTTCTCCTCGCTATCTTATCTAGTTTTACACTCTTGTCCGGGAATTTGAAAATCCTACGTAATCTCCTCGGTTCAAATATATAGGGATCGTGGTTTGGTGTGGGTGTCCCATAACTTGCGCATACGGACCGCGTGGTGCGATTCTTGAAACGTGATCGAGTAGAAAATGTTTAAGAAGTTATGTCATCCGAGTTGTCATTCACTTGGAAAAGACGTAATGCTAGTTTAGCGTCCTGTATATATATATCACTGGGAGACAATCGCATGATCGGCGGATTAGATTATCGTATATGAATGTGTTCCAGAAAAAATGACCGATAACATTTCTTTATCATTTTCAACTAAGCCATATACAAGAAGTTGGCGTGTTATTCGTAGACAAAAGGATTTTCACTAATTATCCTTTAAACAATCTTACAAGATTGTTTCTAATAATTTATTATCTCGTCTATCGATTTAAACTCGATCGATTCGTTTGGGTATCCTAAGGGAAGCCACGTAACGAAATTTGAGTAAGATAGGTTAGGTCTATGATCAACAATGACCGGTTTGGACCTGCGAGAATTCAAAAATTCCTAAAGATGAATATTTTTTTTCGAATTTCTAACCTATAATGCCAACTTGTAACGATCCGCAGCTTTTCTTGTTATATTGTACTCGTACTTCAGATGACTTACGGCCATAGTTGTACATGATATTTGAGGTATCAGCGTGATGACGTCATAAGCAACGAACCGGTACAAAGGTCAAACAGTGATGATCTTTGATGGCGGCTTTTCTATTGTGACTCGTACTGGATTGTCCGGATGTGGAATGACGAGATAATATCCGGACGGAGCTCAGAACTCGACTATTACGGCTGAGCATGCTGCCATTCCCTAGAATTCAAGCCGGTAGGCGCTGCAGCTAGTTTCGTGATCTTGAAGATTGATCGTGCAACGTGAAGCTGATGGCGACAGATCAATATGATTGGCAGCCAATGCCTCTTCGTTATCCGCAACCCAGTAACCCAACGTGTCCGTATCGTAAGTTGGGATCATGGTCACTTCTGTGAAAAAAATTATTTTTAATAAAAATATTTGAAAAGTGATAATTTGAAATGGATCGTGATCATATGATCATCGTGATAATCATTAAAGCAATTATTTTTCTTACCTAAATCTTTATCTTCCCAAGTTTTCTTGGCTTCCAGAAGAGCATCGTAGACTTCACGACTTGGTTCAGTTCCACTGAAAACGTAATATCTTGCTCTGATCCTCTTGAAGAATTCCAAGGAGGTGTAGTACGAGTTTCCATGATGAGGTACGTAGGTCAGATCCATATAAACTGGCTGAACTTTGTTCTTCGAGTCCTTGTTCTTTTTCTCATTTTTACCAGGACTCTCCGATCTCTTTTTATTCTTGATATTTTCAGACACAACCTTCTTCGGCTGCTTCCTTTCCTTCTTCGGTGTACCCGGTGCACCCTTATTCGACACTTCATTAGCCATTGGCGCAGGTGCCGGAGTAGGAAGTGCCAAGGGTTCACCCCAGTCATTAATCACGTCGAAGTTCAAGCCTTCCAAAGCTGTTTCCGTCGTTTCCACTGAACTCGCATTTACTGCAGATTTCCTGAGATTGAACTTTCTTGGTGGTTTTGGCGACGGCAATCCCAAAGGAGCACCCCATCCTGCAAGAGGATCTTTCTTGTCTTTGGGATCTTTGGAATCATCGGAATCTTCAACGAAGGAGGCAGCCATCGGGTCCAGCTGTTTGGAGCCATTGGATAACTGTGCAAGAGTACCGTTGCTATATCCAACGGTATCCTTGTCCTTTCCATCCATAAGTGCTTTTTCAAAATCCATATCAGCTTCGTCAACATACTTTTTGGATTCAGATTTTGGTTCGTATCCGCCAGCGAATTCTTTCTCAACGGTGAATCTCTTGAACGAGTAGTCGGACTGAATTGGAATTGGCTCGCTGATCTTTCTGCTGGCAGGATCAGTAAAGGCGGGTTTGACAGTTGTCAATGGTGGTACAGTTGGTAGCTCTCCGTAGAAGCTGCTACTCATGGCAGCCGCTGAGAATTCAAGAGACTTCCCATCCTGGGACGTCGAAGATAATGGCGAAGCTGGCGTCTCTTCATCGGAGTAGCGCGGTTCCTGCGTCATCTCTGAACTGGTCCTGGAGTCGTCAACCTTGACGTCGGTTTTCTCTGCCAGGACGACGGTCTCGCCCTTTTCATTGGTTGCCTCAGTGATCTCCTTCGTAGTCGTGATGATCTCACCGTCGTCGGACATCGTCCTGGTAGTCGTGATGGTCGTGCGAATCACTTCACCTGATCGGAATCCTTCGGGAGTGGCGGTCCTGGATCGGCCCTCGGATTTTCTATCGGGTGTTGATCTTCCAGAGGGCTGCATCGAGGCGCCATCTCTGATCAGGGGTGACACTGGAATTTCTGGGGTGGACTTGCCAGTGGAGCCACTGAAGACAATATCTCTAGGTAGGGATATATCTGGGGATGATTTTCCAGAGTAACTCTTGTCGTCGGAGATCAAATCTCTGACGGCCGGTGACACGACCACTTCAGACTTGTCCAGTGGTGCCCTGATCACTTCCGATTGATCCTTGGAATCCGGGGTAGACTTGCCGGAATCAAAGAAAGTTTTGACGTCAGGCGATGACGTTCCTGAGGTCGAGGTTACCGTGGTTACTGTCCTCCTGATGATCTCTTCAGTTCTCAGTCCTTCCGGTGTCTCGCTCACGAATCTCTCCTCGCTGACTTTCTTATCTTCGTCGTCCTCGCGTCTTTTGCCGGTTTTCTCTTGACCTTGGGAAGAGTCGATTAACTTCTCCAGAAGATGCTCGCTGTCTAGGACATCGGAACTTTCCTTAACGTCCTTCTTGGTGATGACCTCACCATCAGGACCGGTTATTGTCGTCACCGTTGTCACTATTCTTTTGACGTCAGTTGTTTTTTGGATTTCCGGTGTTCCTTCACGACTCACAATCCTCGTCACGTACTCCGGACCGGATTCTGAAGTGATCTTCTTTGTTCGCTTGATCGTCTCCACAATTTCCGGTGTACCTTCGCTTGAGATTATTCTTGTATAGAGTTCCGGTTTTTCTATGTCTGATGACGAACTCGATGGCCTTCCTATGGGTGCTGCATCAGTTACGATTGTTCTTGATGTCCTTGTCGTTATTGTTTCTGTAACTTCCGGTGTTCCCTCACGACTAACGATTTTCTTGACCTCACCAGTCCTTCCTGTTGTATCGAAATCTTCTTCGGATTCATGAATTTCGCGCTTTATTATCTTAGTGATCACTTCCGGTTCTCCCTCTTCGATTATTTCGCGTTTTATGATTCTGGTGACTATCTCTTCCGGTTCACTCTCTTCAATGATCTCACGTTTCACGATCTTAGTTACCACTTCCGGTTCGTCTTCGTCAATAATTTCTCGTTTTATAACTTTGGTGACTACTTCCGGTTCTCCTTCTTCGACGATCTCACGCTTCACGATTTTTGTAACTACTTCCGGTTCTCCGTCGTCAACCATTTCACGTTTTATAACTTTCGTTACTAATATCGGGTGACTGTCTTCAACGACCTCGTCTTTCTGCACCTGCTTCACAAAATCTTTACCATTCACATCCGGAACTTCGTGCTTGGTACCAATTTGTGATACGGAAGATGTCGTTGAGGTCGACCAGGTCACTGTCGAAAATTCTTTACTAGTCTCCTTGGATAGGTTTGTCTCCTTCGCCACGACATCCACAAGTACATTTTTACTTTCAGTCAACGACGTACTCGTAATGGCACCCGAAAGTTCAGAGACGATCTTACCAGTCTCCTTAACTTCTTTAATTTCTTTTTCCAAAATATCCTTATCTTCCTTAAGCATCGATGTCGTGACCTTACTCGAGGTATCAGTAGTAACATGACTGACCTCCTTAACCTCTTTCTCAAAAAGTCCTGTCTCCTTGACACTAGAAGTCGTAACAGTGCTAGTAACTTCTGGAGAAATTTTATCCAAGTCCCTAGAAGATTTAGCCAGGACATCAACCAAAACGTCTTTACCATCAGTCGCTATAGTGCTAGTAATGGCGCTCATATAGTCTGTAACAAATTTATCGGCTTCTTTAGATTCTCCGGTATCCGTATCCTTAGCCATGACATCCACAAGGACATCACTTCCTTCCTTAACGCAATCAGTCGTTGTAGCAATGGCGGCTGCTGCTTCAGAATCAGGAGTGTCACTTCGTCCAGCAAAGTCAGGGGTGGATTTACCAGAAAGTGTTGTGATGTGCGTAGTCCTAATTTCTGTAATACCGCCAACGAAGGCTTTGTGAAATTGGCTCTCATATTCGGTTCTATAATCGGGAGTTGATTTTCCAGATTTCTCATAAAAATGACGCATTTCCGGTGTCGAGTATCCTGACCTGTCCGAAAACTTTTCCGAAAAGAGTGACGATTTTGGATCGGGCGTCGATTTACCAGAGATATCGATGATACGATCTCTTGCCGATGATATGTCCGGTGTCGATTTTCCGGTGTCTGGTTCTTGATCATCAAGCGATCGTTTCCGACGATCTATAATTGACGTTGACTCTTCGTGATCTTTGATCGACGATACCTCGGGACTTGACTTTCCTTCCGGTGATCTTTGAAAACGATCCAGTACCGATGCCTCTAACGATTTTTCAATTGATGACGACTCTTCGTGATCTTTTCCTATCGATAGATCCTCTTCGTGGAAGATCGTCTCGTCGATCACGTTGCGACGAATGATCTTGCGCTTGAAAATGATTTCTTCTATTATTTCTAGGATTATGTAACGCGGCAAAGATTTCTTTATGATTATTTCTTGCAAGATCTGCTCCGTGATGATTTTGCCTTTCGAGATGTAATCCTCGATCAGATAGTTTTCAACTTCCGTACGCTTTTCCTCGGATATTGAAATTTCCTCGTCAATATGCGGCGCGGTACGATCGGGAGATGATTTTTTGGATTTTTCTAACTCTGTATCGCTATCCTTAGGATCTAGATCATGAGTGATCTTGCCTGATACACCAGACTCATGACTCCTTTCACTTGAAATACTAGATCGTTTAGATTCGGTAATTGATTTTTTTCTCGATTCCGCATCCAATAATTCTATATCAGGTTCAAGATCACTCAAGATCGTTTCCTTACAGAGACCATGGCCTATGATGATTTCATTGATAATCTGCATGACCAGTGATCGAGTCACGTCCTCAATCACTATGATCTCCTCAACAATTTTGGAAGTGATCTTGCGCTTTTTCGCTACATACTCTTCCAAAATGTATTTTTCAATTCTGAGTCTTTTGGATACAGGGGCGTCTGGTTCTTCAGTCTTCGGTTCCTCTTCATCACCTTCTTCTTCATCTTCCAAGATCGAGTTCCGTGCCAAATCTTTCTTCACTATGATCCCCTCAATGATCTCAATGATGACGTGTCTGGGGACGTCCATTATTATATAAATTTCCGCAATGACATTCGACGAAACTTTTCGTTTTTTATTTACGAATTCCTCGATTATGTATTTTTCGATTTCTGATCTTTTCTCCATGGGTACCTCCAGGTCTTCGTCGTCGTCTTCGACTTCCTTCGATTCCTCTGCCTTAGGACTAATTTGATCCGTTGCTCTTCCTTGATCTTCCTTCCTCGTCGATGGGGTCTTCAAGTCCTCCACTTCGTCGGGAACAACGAAGTCTTCAGGATGCTCAAAGGATCTTGGAGCTTCCTTCGGCTTCTTAGTCTCGTCCACTGGTGTCTTCAAATCGTCCTTTGGTATCTTCGTATGATCCTCTTCTTGGTCGAATGACGTTCTAATCTCTTCTTTCTCTTCAAGGATGCTGGTGCTAGCGGAATGCTCGAATGCTCCTTTGACTCCTTCAAGGAGACTCAACTTTTCTGGGACTTTGTCCTCAAATAGACTTGCAGCTCTTGATCTACCTAGTGGTGTTTTCTCCCCAGTCTCGAAGAGACTATGTGATCTTGATCTATCCTTTGGTGTTCTTTCTTCGATGGGTGAGCTGTCCTTAGACGATCTCAAGGCGCCCATCTTTTTATCGGATTCTGCATCCTTGACAAGGATTTCCTGTTCTTTATCTAATTCCAGGTGCTTGTCATCTGCTTTCTCATCAGCAATGCTAGGAGACTTTGAGCCACTCAAATGATCTTTTACGTCTGCTTTCTCGCTGACGATACTTGCTGATCGTGATTTGTCCAGTGGTTGGGCATCGTCAGCCTTATCACCAGCTATACTGGGAGATTTTGATCTACTGACATGGTCTTTCTCGTCTGCTTTCTCGCTGATGATACTTGGTGATCGTGATTTGTCAGCTACATGGATTTCGTCAATTTTATCGCCGGCTATGCTGGGAGATTTTGAGCCACTGATGTGATCCTTTTCATCGACTTTGTCATCAGCTATACTGGGAGATTTTGATCCACTGACATGGTCTTTCTCGTCTGCCTTGTCGCTGATGATACTTGGTGATCGTGATTTGTCAGCTACATGGGTTTCATCAATTCTATCGCCGGCTATGCTGGGAGATTTGGAGCCACTGATGTGATCCTTTTCATCCACTTTGTCACCAGCTATACTAGGAGATTTTGATCTAATGATCTCTTCCTTGTCGTCGGGCTTGTCACTGAAAACGCTTGGTGATCGTGACTTGTCGGCTGGATCTATTTCGTCAATTTTATCACCAGCTATGCTGGAAGACTTTGAGCTACTGATGTGATCCTTTTCATCGATCTTGTTATCGTCAACTACGCTGGGAGATTTTGAGTGAATAATGCGATCTTTTTCGTCTGGTTTGTCGCTGACAATACTTGATGAGCGTGACATCTGAGCTGCTTGTGTTTCGTCAATCTTATCACCAGCAATGCTGGGCGATTTTGAACCAGCAATGTGATCTTTCTCGTCAGATTTATCGCTGAGCGCACTTGGTGATTTTAATCTGACATCCAAGTCTTTTTCATCTATTTTGTCACCAGCGATGCTGGGAGTTTTTGAACCACTGGTATGATCCTTTTCATCGATCTTGTCACCAGCTATGCTCGGAGATTTTGATCTACTGATGTCATCTTTCTCGTCTGGCTTGGCACTGACGATGCTTGGTGATCGTGACTTATCTGTTGGTTCCATCTCGTCAATTTTGTCACCAGCCAAACTGGGAGACTTTGAAGCACTAATGTGATCTTTCTCATCTGGTTTGTCACTCACGATGCTTGCTGATCGTGATTTGTCAATTGGTTCTTTGTCGTCGATTTTGTCACCAGCAATGCTGGGAGATCTTGACCCACTGACCTGTTCCTTTTCATCAGGCTTGTCACTGATGACACTTGTTGATCGTGATTTGGCACTTGGTTCCGATTCATCAGTTTTATCACCAGCTGCACTTGGAATCCTTAAGTCATCAATATGATATTTCTCATCGAGTTTGTCACTGACAATACTTGGTGACCTTGACTTATCAATTGGCTCTTTATTATCAATCTTATCACTAGCTACTCTAGGGGATTTTGAACCACCGACTTGATCTTTATCGTCAGGCTTGTCACTGACGATGCTTGATGATCTTGACCTGCTAGTTGGGTGCATTTCATCAAGCCTATCACCAGCAATACTAGGCGACTTGGAGCCACTTACGTGATCCTTCGAATGTTCATCAATCTTATCACCAGCTATGCTTGAAGATTTTGATTCGCTGATTTGATCCTTCTCGTCGGGCTTATCGCTGTCGACACTTGGTGATCTTGATTTCTGTATCAACTCTTTTTCATCAATTTTATCACCAGCTATACTCGGAGATCTTGAACCACTAACATGATCCTTTTCATTGATCTTGTCACCAGCTAGACTTGAAGATTTGGATTCACTTATGCTATCTCTCTCCGGCTTCTCACAAGTAATCGCTGACGTTAGTCTGTCTATTAATTCCTTTTCATCAATCTTATCTCCAGCAACACTTGGAGATTTCGAACTAATAATCTGATTTTTTTCGTCAGGTTTATCGCTGAGGGCACTTGTTGATCTTAATATATCGTCCAAATCTTTCTCATCTATTTTATCACCGGCGATGCTAGGTGTTTTCGAGCCACTGATATGATCCTTTTCTTCGACCCTGTCACCAACTAAGCTTGGAGATTTTGATCCACCGACATGATCTTTATCGTCATGTTTGTCACTGACGATACTTGGTGATCTTGATTTATCCGTTAGTTCCACTTCGTCTATTTTATCATCAGCTACGCTGGGAGATTTTGATCCACTAATATGAAGTTTCTCATCAGGCTTGTCGCTGATGATGCTTGGTGACCTTGATTTTTCAATTGGTTCCTTATCGCCAAGTTGGTCACTGATAATACTAGGTGATTTCGACATACCCGCTGATTCAATTTCTATAATCTTGTCTCCAGCAATACTAGGTGATCGTGATTTATCAACAGGTTCTTGTTTTATCGGCTTATCACCAATGAGATTCAGGGATATAGGTTTATCAACTGATATCCCTGCTAGTCGTTTTACGTCAACAATCTCACCAGCAATACTAGTAGACTTTGATAGATCGATTGGTTCCTTCTCGTAGGGTTTATCACTACTAATACTGGGGGACTTTGACAAACTTGGTTCTTTCTTCTCGGACGATTCTTCACAAGCTATGCTAGGCGATATTGATTTATCTAATGGTCCCTTATCATCTGGTAGGTCACCAACTATGCTGGATGATCTGGATTTATCAGCTGCTTCTTTCTCCTCAGGTTTATCACCAGCAATGCTGGGTGATCTGGATTTATCAGCTGGTACCTTTTCTTCTGGCTTATCTCCAGCAATACTTGGCGATCTAGATTTATCTGCTGCTGCCATTACTTCTGGTTTATCTCCAGCAATACTGGGTGATCTAGATTTATCAGCAGGTTCTTTCTCCTCAGGTTTGTCACCAGCAATGCTGGGTGATCTGGATTTATCAGCTGGCACCTTTTCTTCTGGCTTATCTCCAGCAATACTTGGCGATCTAGATTTATCTGCTGGTGCCATTTCTTCTGGTTTATCTCTAGCAATACTGGGTGATCTAGATTTATCAGCAGGTTCTTTCTCCTCAGGTTTGTCACCAGCAATGCTGGGTGATCTGGATTTATCAGCTGTTACTTTTTCTTCTGGCTTATCTCCAGCAATACTTGGCGATCTAGATTTATCTGCTGGTGCCTTTTCTTCTGGTTTATCTCCAGCAATACTTGGCGATCTAGATTTATCTGCTGCTGCCATTACTTCTGGTTTATCTCCAGCAATACTGGGTGATCTAGATTTATCAGCAGGTTCTTTCTCCTCAGGTTTGTCACCAGCAATGCTGGGTGATCTGGATTTATCAGCTGGTACCTTTTCTTCTGGCTTATCTCCAGCAATACTTGGCGATCTAGATTTATCTGCTGCTGCCATTACTTCTGGTTTATCTCCAGCAATACTGGGTGATCTAGATTTATCAGCAGGTTCTTTCTCCTCAGGTTTGTCACCAGCAATGCTGGGTGATCTGGATTTATCAGCTGGTACCTTTTCTTCTGGCTTATCTCCAGCAATACTTGGCGATCTAGATTTATCTGCTGCTGCCATTACTTCTGGTTTATCTCCAGCAATACTGGGTGATCTGGATTTATCAGCTGGTTCTTTCTCCTCAGGTTTATCACCAACAATGCTGGGTGATCTAGACTTATCGGTTGGTACTTTTTCTTCTGGCTTATCACCAGCAATACTGGGTGATCTGGATTTATCACCTGGTTCTTTCTCTTCACGTTTGTCACCAGCAATACCGGGTGATATGGATTGGTCTGCTGGTTGTTTCTCCTCAGGTTTCTCACCAGCAATGCTGGGTGATCTAGATTTATCAGCTGGTACCGTTTCTTCTGGTTTATCTCCAGGAATACTGGGTGATCTGGATTGGTCTGCTGGTTCTTTCTCCTCAGGTTTATCTCCAGCAATACTTGGTGATCTAGATTTATCAGCTGGTACCGTTTCTTCTGGTTTGTCTCCAACAATACTGGGTGATCTGGATTGGTCTGCTGGTTCTTTCTCCTCAGGTTTATCTCCAGCAATACTTGGCGATCTAGATTTATCTGCTGCTGCCATTACTTCTGGTTTATCTCCAGCAATACTGGGTGATCTGGATTGGTCTGCTGGTTCTTTCTCCTCAGGTTTATCTCCAGCAATACTTGGCGATCTAGATTTATCTGCTGCTGCCATTACTTCTGGTTTATCTCCAGCAATACTGGGTGATCTGGATTTATCAGTTGGTACCTTTTCTTCTGGTTTATCTCCAGCAATACTTGGCGATCTAGATTTATCTGCTGCTGCCATTACTTCTGGTTTATCTCCAGCAATACTGGGTGATCTGGATTTATCAGTTGGTACCTTTTCTTCTGGTTTATCTCCAGCAATACTTGGCGATCTAGATTTATCTGCTGCTGCCATTACTTCTGGTTTATCTCCAGCAATACTGGGTGATCTGGATTTATCAGTTGGTACCTTTGAATACTTGGCGATCTAGATTTATCATCTAGTATTTTTTCTTCTGGCTTATCACCAGCAATACTGGGTGATCTGGATTGGTCTGCTGGTTCTTTCTCCTCAGGTTTGTCACCAATAATGCTGGGTGATCTAGATTTATCATCTAGTATTTTCTCTTCTGGCTTATCACCAGCAATACTGGGTGATCTGGATTGGTCTGCTGGTTCTTTCTCCTCAGGTTTGTCACCAATAATGCTGGGTGATCTAGATTTATCATCTAGTATTTTCTCTTCTGGCTTATCACCAGCAATACTTGGCGATCTAGATTTATCATCTAGTATTTTCTCTTCTGGCTTATCACCAGCAATACTTGGTGATCTAGATTTATCTGCTGGTTCTTTCTCCTCAGGTTTGTCACCAATAATGCTGGGTGATCTAGATTTATCATCTAGTATTTTCTCTTCTGGCTTATCACCAGCAATACTTGGCGATCTAGATTTATCTGCTGCTGCCATTACTTCTGGTTTATCTCCAGCAATACTGGGTGATCTGGATTTATCAGCTGGTATTTTTTCTTCTGGTTTATCACCAGCAATACTTGGTGATCTAGATTTATCTGCTGGTTCTTTCTCTTCAGGTTTATCACCAGCAGCACTTGGTAGTCTGGATTTATCAGTTGATATTTTTTCTGCTGGCTTATCACCAGCAATACTGGGTGATCTAGATTTATCTGCTGGTTCTTTCTCCTCAGGTTTGTCACCAACAATGCTGGGGGATCTGGATTTCTCAAGAGGTTCTTTCTCCTCAGGTTTGTCACCAACAATGCTGGGTGATCTAGATTTATCATCTAGTATTTTTTCTTCTGGCTTATGACCAGTAATACTGGGTGATCTGGATTTATCAGTTGATATTTTTTCTGCTGGCTTATCACCAGCAATACTGGGGGATCTGGATTTATCAGCTGGTTCTTTCTCCTCAGGTTTGTCACCAACAATGCTGGGTGATCTAGATTTATCATCTAGTATTTTTTCTTCTGGCTTATGACCAGTAATACTGGGTGATCTGGATTTATCAGTTGATATTTTTTCTGCTGGCTTATCACCAGCATTACTGGGTGATCTAGATTTATCTGCTGGTTCTTTCTCCTCAGGTTTATCACCAACAATGCTGGGCGATCTGGATTTCTCAAGAGGTTCTTTTTCTTGTAGTTTATCTCCAGCGATAATAGGTGACCTTGACTTATCGACCTGCGTATCAGTGATATCGATAGCTGGTTTTACATCCATTGCTGTCGATGCAACCGTGATTATTTCTTCTGGTTTAATAGTCAGGCTTGTAGGAACTTGTGGTTTTATATCCGCCTTCTCGGCTCGTAATGATTTCTCAGATTCGGACGGGCTTGGCGTACGAGACTTCTCTTGTGTTTCTTCACCAACAATGCTCGATGATCTTAGCTTAATTTCCAATTTTTCTTTTTCTTGTAAATCTGCAACTCTAAGATCTTCAAACTTGTTAATGACTGCACTAGGAACTTTGGTTTTATCAGTTTCATTTGGTTTGTCAATTAGAGTCTTAGCCTTCATTTCATCCTCTATGAAAGTTTCCTTCACTACTGAGTCTGTTACTGACGGAATTTCTTTGATATCAGATTTTTCCAGAGATTCTTTAAGTTCGACTTTCTCCATAGGAGAAAGTTCTTTTCTCTCAGATTTATCTAATGGAGAAACTATCTTTGTTTCAAATGTATCTACCGGTGATGCTTTCGAGATTGAAGGTTTTTCCGTCAGAGGAATTTTCTTTTCGACCAACGATATTTCTTTAATTTCAGACATTTCTATTGGAGAAGTTTCTTTGCTTTCCAGTTTCTCTGTAGAAGGAACTTCAGAGATCTTTTTAATGGGAGAAATTTGTTTGTCTTCTGGGACTTCCGTTGAGGAAGTTTGTTTGACTTCCAAAATTTGAGTAGATTTAGAGCCTGACATTTCTGCAGCAAAAGATACTGGTACAGATTTATCTATGCTTCTCGGTGACTTTTCTAAACTATCCTCCAGCTCCTGCGAGTCTCTATGAGCAATAGGCGACTTGTCCAAGCTGTCTTCTGGCGTAATTTTGTCGGTATCCCGAATATCTGGCGTGGACTTTCCCGAAATACTATCTCTTTCCGGCGTGCTCTCTCCCGAGCGCAAAGAATCCTTATCTAGCACTAGAGAGTCCTTTTCAGGAGTTGATTTCGTTGAAACATCTTTCAAAGAGTCATCAGGCGTCACCGTCTTAGTAAATGTGATACTTCCAACCGGACAGATTACCGTCTCCTGTCCGCCATCTTCGCTACTGGCAGTCACAAGCATGCGGCGCACTGTGCTGTCGTCCTTGGACAAAGTTTCATGAAGAGCCTTTGATTCATCTTCTGAATCTTTTTCTTCTGGAAATTGGTCTTCTTCCGTTGATTCTTTGATGCTTCTCTTGGTACGTACAGTATCCTCTACAGGACTCTCACGACCTTTCTCAATTTTAGTTACCTCAGAAATTTGTTCCTTTGGTTCTGGTTCCATCGCACGTCCTGTGGCATCAGCCAATTTTGTTTCTGGCAGCGCCTTCTCTGGTGTTTCTGTAACATCCTTTGGAGGAACTACGTCATCCTTCTTTAGATCTTTCACAATTGATTCTACTGATTGAGGAATTTCAGGACTCGCAGGGGCCTTGATGTCCTTTAGAATTTCTGAAATATCCATGGATAATCTCTTTTCAGGAATTTTATCCTTTGAATCCTCAGGGACTGTTTTCTTTTCCAATGTCACAACCTCCTTTTTATCCTGCACAGGAGACACTGTGTCCTTAGAAATTTTATCCACTAGGTCCTTAGGCTTTTCTTTTTGCGTTAGGACATCAACTTTCTCTGTCATTTCTTCTGGACTCACAACCTTCTCGAGTACTGTCTTCTCTTCCAAGGGTTCCTTCAAATCATCCTTTGTTATCTCCTTCTTCTCTGGAAGGACCTCAATATCCTTAACTTGTGTTCCTGCGACCTTAATATCCGTGAAATCTTTGAGAACTTCTTCGCCTTTCTCAACGACCTCAGATTTCTCCGGCTTATCGGACTCAACTGTATCTTTCTTGACCTCCTCTACATGATCCTTCAGGTCAAGCTTATCTTTGTCGACCTCAATTTTCTCTTTTGCGATATCCTTAGCGGCATCGATTTCAGGGACCTCTTGCTTATCGATAACCTCTTCGACCCTGATGTGTTCAGGTTTAACATCGGCAGTCTTCTCCTTGGCCTCGTCCAAATATTTCTCTGTAGTATCAACAACATCAGAAACCTCGGAAGCGTCTGAAAGGACCTCTGCTTCTTTAACCACGTCCTGAACCTCCTTGATATCTTTAATAATCGTCGAAATCTTTTCATCAGCCTCAACAACTTCACTCGCTTCATCTTCAAGAGCCTCCTCAACCTCGTCCTTAGTCTTGCTAGGGACTTCCGCAGGAAGAGATCCAGCAGTAGTAACGGGAACTTCACGAACTTTGTATTCTTCTTCAACGGCCTCAAAATCATCCGCAAGATCCTTTTCTTGATTTTTTAGATCCTTAAGGTCTTTTTTGTCCTTTAATGGAATATCTCTGTCATCCTTGAGAATTACGGAAACAGAATCCTTCGAAGGAATACTGACAAACCCATCAACAATTTTATCCTCTTCAACATCCTTGACATTTACTAAGTGACTATCCACCTTCTCATCAAGGACCTCAGCAAAGATGGACTTTCTCTTCTCGTCCTTAGCCACGGAAACAGGTACACCTTCATCCTTCTCTAAGATCAAAGATAATTCTTCATCCATCATATTCAGGACCTTCTCCTTCGTTAATTTACGCTTAATAACAATTTCTTCAATGATCTCAATAACCACTCTTCTTGGTACCGACATCCTGATGGAAATTTCTTCAACGATACTAATCGTTATTCTGATTCCTTTAGTTATGTACTCTTCAATAATATACTCCTCGACCTGAATCCTCTTTAGAAGAGGAACGGATCCATCCTTATAAACCTGTTCGTCAAGGACATCCTCCCTTGGGATACCGTTCTTAACGATAATCTCTTCAATGATATAAATAAGACGTTCTCTAGGTACACGCCTCACTACAGTAATGTACTCTATGATCTCAATGGTGACCCTGGTCCTCCTGGTGACAATCAATTCCTCGATGACATCCTCGAGCTTGTCCTTACTGGATAGAACTTCCTTGATTTCAGAGGGTAACTCCTTGAACCTTGTCTCGAATTCATGTTCGTCTGTTTTTTCAAGTGCAAATTTAGGCGAAGTCGGTGCAGAGTCAGGTGTCACCATGACGACCTCGGCCTTACCAGGTGAGAGCTTCTGTTGAAAGAGTATTTCAGGCTCTTCAATTTTATCCTCCTCGTCTTCAGGTTTTTCGGACCTCTTTACTTCTTTCTTAACACAGGATTCTTCCAGGCCAGCTTCCATGACGTCGACCTTACCAGCGAAATCGTCAAGGGATTTATTCTCTTCCTCGATAATACTTCTTCTTTTCCTGGACAGGAGGACATCGTCCTTGATTAGCAATTCTTCGCAAATTTCCTTGGTGCTTTTCTCAGGCTCCCTAGTTGGTGAAGTTAATTCTATTCCTTTGTCCTTTATGACCTTGATGCATGGCTCTTCCAGTACTTCGACACCGTCCGCTCTCTCATAGACCGGCAAAGGATGAACAATGTCACTTTGTAGCATCTCTTCTATTTCCTCTTGGGGAGGTAACTCCTCGGTTATGCCGACCTTTTTGGGTATGATCACATCCTCGAGGACAGGCTTGACCTCTTTGATCTCTTTAGCCTCAGGAAGCCCTTTGGCGTCCTTAAGGTCACTGATCTCATTTTCTTTGTCGGATGGCCCTTCAGGTTTATGCACTTTCTCTTGAGGTTTTTCCTGAACTTTGGACTCTTCCTGAATTTTGTCCTCTGTGATTTTATCTTCGGGTTTATCTGCTTTTTCTTTTTCTTGTAACTTCTCAGATTCTTGGAAGAGGATTTTCTCCGAAAGGAAGTCGTCATCCTTGAGGACCTCAGCAACCTTCTTTACGATTTCGATTACGTCTTTTGGTTTGTCGTCTATTTCGATACCAGCGGTACCAGCTAGAACTTCGCCAACGTCCCTGACAGCTTCCTTGAGATCTCTTACAGGACCTTCGAAGATCTCTTCTTCGAAGTCCTCAAGGTCCTTACACCTGGGAATATCGAACTTTACCTTCTCAGGCTCCTTGCTCTCTGAAGATGCTCCGTCGAGACGAGGCTGGATTTCTTCGAGTCTCTCCACGACGCCAGCGAGGGTATCCTTAACGGCATCCTTAGCATCGATGTCCTGAGCTCTTTGTGCTATACCTTCCTGTTCGATTTTCTCCTCCAAGGACTCTAAGGAATCCCTAAGGCTGTCTTTGACAGTTTTGAATTTCTTTGAAGCCTCTTCGAGAAGCGCTTCAACCTCTTTCGCGTCTTCGATGGCCTCTTCGTCCTTGATGTTTTGGGCCTTAATTTCTGCATTCGATAATATTTCCTTAACTTCGTCATCCTTAATTTCAGTGACCGCTTGAACTGCTGGTGCAGGCTTGACCTTAGATAAATCAACACCGACCTCTTTCCTGATGGTATCTTGGATCTCCTCCTGAAGGAAAGCAGCAGTATCCTTTATCGCGGCAACCTTAACGTCCATGACCTTAGGCACAGCCTGTTCGAACAATTCAGACTTCTCAATCTTGCCAACCTTAGGGAACATCTTTTCCATGTCGACTTCTTTCTCGGTAGTCTTTTCCGGTGGTTTAATTTCCTCGAAAATTGCTTTCTCTTGAGGTTTGACCTCTTTAGGTGAACTTGATTTCGAACTGGATTTTTCCTCGTCCTTCTCAGCATCCCTCTTCGATTTTCCAGTGAGCTTATCGATGCCTTTCTCAAACCTATCGGCAACTTTACCGAAAAAACTGAAGACACCTTTTTGCTCTTTGACTGGTGGAGTTTCTGGTTCCTTAAGGTCTTGGGACGCAGCGGCTTGGACCTTCTCTTCCTTATCTTTTTCGAAGTCTTCCATTCTGTACAATTTGGGGTCAACTTCTTCATGAACTGGAAGGTCAGCAACTTCATCGGGAGTCTTTACAATGTCGCGCTGAAGCGTTGGAACACTTTGGCGCACATCGAATACTTTGACTTCAGGTTTAACTATGCTTGGGGTTGGCTGTGGAAAGATTTCTTTGACCTTAGGAGGAGCCTCTTTCTCCTTCACTTCTTCCTTGGCATACTTCTCGTTGATGTCCTCCTTGATCTCATCCAGGGGGATTCTTTCATCCTCTGGAAGGGTCGGGGCCGTGGTGGTAGCACCAGACTCTAAAGTGGAGACCCTCTCTTGAGACTCTTCCAGTTTTTCTTGAATAGGTTCTTTTTGGTCTACTTCAGGTTTGAGGTCTGTGTCAGTGGTCTTTTTCTCAGAGGAATCAAACTTGTCAGGACTCAGACTGGATGGCTCCTTGGTGATGTCTTCGCTATCCTTTTTACCGGAATCATCCTTCTCTTCCGTTTTTTGCACAATTTCTGTAGCCGAAGCAATTATGCCTTTCAGTTCCTCTTCTAATTGCTCCTTGTGCTCCGGGGACAGGTCCTTCTCAGATTCTTGATAACCTTCAGGAACAACCTCATCCTTTTCAGCAGCAAACTCCAATCTCTTCTCTGGTATCTCATCCTTCTTCTCTTCAGCTTCTTCCTTCACTTCGTCTTTAGCCTCGACAATAGCTTTGACCTTCTCGGACTCGACTTCGTCTAGAAGATGCTTCTGCTCGCCGTCGCCACTTATGACGGAATCCTCATTGTAAATCTCCTCCTTCTCCACAATCAGATACTCATCCTCCTCCGTGAGTTCCTGACTTTCTTTTCTGGAAGCGACTTTCTTTGGCGCATCTTCGATTTCAGCAGTGACATCTTCCTCGGTCATGTCCTCATCCTTCTTATCAGTTGCTTCAGCAGTAATCTCATCATCACCCTCGAGATGATCATCCTTGCGAGCCTCTTCAATTCTCTCTGCTTTATTAAGAACTGCTTCGATCTCTTCTACGACTTCTCTCTCCTCCTTAAGGTCAGCCAAGACCTTACTCTCGATAGAATCCAAGGATAGATCTTCGGATTTCTCTACAAGCTTCACAACGGATTCGGGCTCGATCGCAGAAGGCGTCGATACGGTCGAGGAGTCTGTAGTACCCTTATCGCCTTTCCTGGCGAGTCCTCTGATAACGCCATCTTTTTCAGACTTTACAGAGGCCGTTGGAGTGCTTCTGGTTGACTTAGCCGGGCTACCAGGAAGTCTGGCCTTGCTGGGACTTGCGGGTTTTCCTCTGCGACTAATGGACTTTCTCTCAGCTGGTTTTGGTTTAGCCAGGGTCCTTGACACACCTGTTCCTGTGGTAGCTCCTGCCGTAGACATCTCAATGTGTTTCTGTGCGACGACCTTTCTGTTATTGGCGTCCTTTGCGCTCTTGGCTGGCGTCGCAGAGGACGGCTTGCTCGTCATAGTCCTGGAGATAGTCTTCGCGGTAGCTTTCGTTAACTCAACTTTCGAGGCTGAGCCATTCAGAGTCCTTTTTGGAGTAGTCGGAGAGGATTTAATGTCCTTCTTCTCCCCGGGCGGTTTGCTCTTCTTCTCCATCAACTTAGTGCTCTTCGCTTCCGGTTTGCTAGACTTCACCGCAGGTTTTGCTTCTTTCACTTCTTTCTTCTTTGGCTCGGGTTTCGTCGCTTTGGCATCCTTAGCGACGGCAGTCTTATCAATTTCCGTCTTGATGGCATCAGTCTTTTTCGTCTCGTCCTGCTTCTCGATCTTAACAGATTCCTTCTTCACCTCTTTCTTTATCTCCCTCGCTTCCTTGACCTCCTTGACCTCCTTCAGCTCCTTCTCAATCTTCCTATTCTCAGCCACCTTCTTGGTCTTGACCTCAACCTTGGCAGGTTGCTTCGTAGGTATAATAGGCGTCGAACTGACGCTCTTCGGCGGCGACTCTTCCTTGCTAATCTTTGACTCCATCTTCTCCTTCCTCATCTCCGTTATCTTCTTCGTTTCCTTTTCAATGGATCCCAATTTCTTACTAGGCTTGTCTTTCAAGACGGCCAATGAGGTAGACGGCGACAGGCTCTTGGCCGAGCAGACGGGCTGCTTCAGGAAGTCCAGATGCTTCAGTCTTTCTAGGCCTTCGAAGATCTTGCTCTGAGACGTCGATCCCGGGAAGAGGATCCTGGTGATAGTATCTTCAGGATTCGCTGGCTGCCAGACTAAAAGCGCGCAGATCGAGACTAAGTTCTGAATCGGGAATATCAAATTATTCGAATCCTTCTTATGCGACCCAGCGAACAGCTTCGAGTCCGACGCGTGCCACTTCGCCAGGAATTCACGGACCTCGCGACTGTCCTTGCTTGGACTAAGGACGTACATGTCCAGGGTACCATGTCCGACCTTATGATAAAGGTTAATAGGTTCAGGATCCCGATAACAAGGATGCGGACGTAGACCAATATGGCGAAGATTCACCATCATCTCCTGTCCAATGTCCGTGAGATTAAGGATCAAAGGATCAACGTCCTTGTCACCATCCGGTGAATTCGCCTGTCTCCTCTCCTGCAAAAGATCATTTCGTCCCAGTAAGGTTACCGAATAAAAAAAGAAAAAGACCCAATCGCAAGCTCAGAATCAAAATCTACGCTCTCTCTCTCGCTCGTCCAGATATTACCCATGACCTTACCATTAAATTACAGAAAAAGTGTCCAATCTGGGGATAGACGTGCATCTCCCTCTTCTTGCGCAAAACGCTGGAAATTCCACCGATGTTGCTATTGTTGATCCTGGTGACCAGGACGGCGTCCAGTCTGTCAAGGTGCCTAGCAAAGTCCCAGAAACAGGCCTTCCTCGCGAATCCGCCATCAACGAGCATGTTGAACCCATTGATGCCAAAGAGGGCGGCGTCGCCCTGACCGCCGGGGAAGACATAGAGGGTCGGATGACTAAATCGAATATTCCCGACGACGTCGGAAGGTTCCATCAGCTGATCCAAAGTCTGAGCAACCAGGTACTGTTCCAAGTAGCTGGTGAAACTGGTGATTGCCGGGACACCAGCTGTCAGTACGTCATCAGGATTGACTCTCACCCTGCAGGACCTGGTCATCAAATACAAAAATCACTACAACCCACAGACCCAACCCTAACCCAACACTCAAAATATCAAAAAAATATTTTTTTTTTATTACGGCACAATCATCCTAAACATTATCATCGGGCTCAATCTATACCTAGTGCATGATTCCTTGGACAGACGACTGGTCGTCCAGTCTCCAACGGCGGCGCAGTGGATGTCGACGGTAACGCTATTTTCATATGCACGGAGAACGCGTTGCACCTCGTGTTCGCTGAACGCATCCAGAAAGTCAGCAAGACTGAAGGTTCCATCCTGAAAAGCAAAAAAAAAATGACCCCTCAAAATAGCATACAGTGTAAAACAAGCCAAATGATATTGTAATTACAGCTCTATATTTTCTCTTATATTTTCAATGCTAATCGTATTACGCACGTTATACGTATATATACGTATGGAAAATTATAATTTATAAATAACTGTTCGCAACTGACGAACCTGTAGTATCCAGGAACCATTACCGCTGAATGTGTAACCAGCGTGAATAATGTGTCGGTGCTTGGTGAAGCTTGCCAGAAGATTTCTAATACACTGTAGAAGTGTATTTGTCTGTGGGTGTATCAGTACTTCCGTTACGAGATTCTCCGTAGCGTATTGTATTAGTCGTTCGCCTGAAAGATTTACATCCCTTGTAAAGAACTTTTCGCGGAAGAATTGCCATCCAATTTACGATTTCACCTAAGCGTCGTATACGGGATCGTAAAGGAAAGGACAATCTTTTGAGTGCGTCTTGGAATTGCTGATTTTTTATGGAAACAAATTCTTTTTTTTCTTTAAAAGTATCATTTTTACTACTTTTTCAAAAAATTTTTTTTTTGTATATTACCATTTCTAGCCTCCTCTCCTTCGGGTGCCTGCGCCACCAGTGCCTGCAATTCTTTTTCGAGATCCACGTGGCAGCTGTCCTTGTCCCAGGACAAGAATCCTGCAAAGGAAAAAAAGAACATAAATGAGGAATACACTGAGACCGGGAAAAAAAATATTTTCAATAGAATAGGGGATGAATGCGCGTTTACCTTTGAAAAATTGCCACAGGGCGCACCCTGACCTTAAAGCCAACCAGGTGACCCAACCCAACCTTCTACCTCGTGCTCGGTGACATTTTCTAAGGGATGTAGGTTATATTCACGGTAGATACCAATGCAAAAACTACCACCTCACTCACAACCCCCATTAAGTGGCATTTGGGTTACAGTTCAGTTAAAACGCGGCTGTTATTCTTGATGGTCCCTTAGAATTACTTCTAACCTGAATCACGACCTCGACGCTATGCAGGTGCGTTAAATGATGATTTAGAGACGTGATTATCATTAAAATGTATTATCATGAATTTACTTTTTTTTTTATCATGCCACCTTCAATCTACTTAATCGCTAATAAGTTTATGAATCCGTCTTTTATGTCATTATAATTTATACGGGGTACAAGGGCACCCTGGCTGTTTTATATAATCATCAGGGAACATCATCGTAACGTGGAAAGTATGATAATAAAAAAAAAAGTAGTATAAAATCTGGGCAGTTACGTCCACCCGGATTAAATTACAATGATACTTCGAAATTTGAGCCATAAAGATTATGTGGTGAAATTTCTTTTTTTTTTTTAATTTTAGATTTATTTATCTCGAAATAATAATAATAAAAGAATAAAGTCTTAGTTATCAGTTCAAGCCAGTTATCAGGATCAGTATTTATTTCTCGTTCTCGCCGCGGGGGGGCACACAGCACAGTAGGTCATAATCATTTGTTGCCGTGTAAGACTTGCATAGGGGTGGCTTCCCAAAGTGAGGGGATGAGGTTGAGGTTAAGGTTAAGGTTAAGAAGATGATACCTGTCACGAGCTATTATGCCGGGATTGATAAGAACAATTCTGACGAATGACGGATTCGGTTGAGTGATGGTATCCCAACCCTTCGACCCCCCTTTCGCAGGAGGGTGACGTAAACGAGGAAATGAAGACGAGCCACTAGGATTTTTAGTGATCCTAACTTTCGAAGGTCGAGCAAATTGGACGACCTCTGACCTTTTTCAGTCAGACGTAATTTTACGGGCTACGTTTAACAGGGGTCGGCTGGCTGGGGATGGGGATCTGCCAGGACGAATTACGTTGACATTGACCGATGTAATCAATAGGGGTTGCGATATCAAGAACCGAATACACGAATCCTAAAAAGAGCAAACATCGAAAGGGGAAATTGGTAGTTTGGCAGGGGATGAAAGAAAAAAAACAAAAGGAAAAATGTGTTATCTCCCACCCCTTCGTTACCCTCGTCAGAAATTTCGTACTTTTTATTAGCAAATGGACAATTAGCCCTTTTCATTTAGTTTCACGTTAATGGAAAAATCGATACGTAAATATTGGTACAATAAAAGAAAGTCACCCCTAATGTAGATTCGTATGAAGATTTTTTTTTAACTTAGAAAAAAAAAATATTTTCACGGTTGTAACAGCATCCCTTATTTCATTGGGCATTCCCTTTACGGGAACCACCAAGTACTGTACCTTGTCATTTTCGTAACATGGACATTTCCTACAAGGGTGGTTTTGATCTTTCCCAAAGCGTTTCACACCCTCGGGAAACCGTCGTACATACTGAACGACTATGGGGCTGCCTTACGGAGGGTGTTATTAACCCTTAAAATTGCTGCGGCGAGGCAACGAGTCTCGTAATTAGCGTAAATGAATTAGCAGCATCGGCTGTTTCTAGGGGTTGCTTAGGGCGGAGATCGTGACGTCACTAGCACCGCACCCCCCCCCCCCCCC